TCAATAAAGACCAAAAGCTAGCACCACAATGTAGAGCTACCTCAATAAAGACACAAAGCTAGCAGGACAATGTAGAGCTACCTCAATAAAGACACAAAGCTAGCAGGACAATGTAGAGCTACCTCAATAAAGACCAAAAGCTATCAGGACAATGAAGAGCTACCTCAATAAAGACCAAAAGCTAGCACCACAATGTAGAGCTACCTCAATAAAGACCAAAAGCTAGCAGGACAATGTAGAGCTACCTCAATAAAGACCAAAAGCTAGCACCACAATGTAGAGCTACCTCAATAAAGACCAAAAGCTAGCAGGACAATGTAGAGCTACCTCAATAAAGACCAAAAGCTAGCAGGACAATGTAGAGCTACCTCAATAAAGACCAAAAGCTAGCAGGACAATGTAGAGCTACCTCAATAAAGACCAAAAGCTAGCAGGACAATGTAAAGCTACCTCAATAAAGACCAAAAGCTAGCACCACAATGTAGAGCTACCTCAATAAAGACCAAAAGCTAGCAGGACAATGTAGAGCTACCTCAATAAAGCTAGCAGGACAATGTAGAGCTACCTCAATAAAGACACAAAGCTACCAGGACAATGTAGAGCTACCTCAATAAAGACCAAAAGCTAGCACCACAATGTAGAGCTACCTCAATAAAGACCAAAAGCTAGCAGGACAATGTAGAGCTACCTCAATAAAGACACAAAGCTAGCAGGACAATGTAGAGCTACCTCAATAAAGACCAAAAGCTAGCAGGACAATGTAGAGCTACCTCAATAAAGACCAAAAGCTAGCACGGCAATGTAGAGCTACCTCAATAAAGACTAAAAGCTAGCACCACAATGTAGAGCTACCTCAATAAAGACCAAAAGCTAGCACCACAATGTAGAGCTACCTCAATAAAGACCAAAAGCTAGCAGGACAATGTAGAGCTACCTCAATAAAGACCAAAAGCTAGCACCACAATGTAGAGCTACCTCAATAAAGACCAAAAGCTAGCAGGACAATGTAGAGCTACCTCAATAAAGACCAAAAGCTATCAGGACAATGTAGAGCTACCTCAATAAAGACCAAAAGCTAGCAGGACAATGTAGAGCTACCTCAATAAAGACACAAAGCTAGCAGGACAATGTAGAGCTACCTCAATAAAGACCAAAAGCTAGCAGGACAATGTAGAGCTACCTCAATAAATACCAAAAGCTATCAGGACAATGTAGAGCTACCTCAATAAAGACCAAAAGCTAGCACCACAATGTAGAGCTACCTCAATAAAGACCAAAAGCTAGCAGGACAATGTAGAGCTACCTCAATAAAGACACAAAGCTAGCAGGACAATGTAGAGCTACCTCTATAAAGACCAAAAGCTATCAGGACAATGTAGAGCTACCTCAATAAAGACACAAAGCTAGCACCACAATGTAGAGCTACCTCAATAAAGACCAAAAGCTAGCAGGACAATGTAGAGCTACCTCAATAAAGACCAAAAGCTAGCACGGCAATGTAGAGCTACCTCAATAAAGACCAAAAGCTAGCAGGACAATGTAGAGCTACCTCAATAAAGACCAAAAGCTAGCAGGACAATGTAGAGCTACCTCAATAAAGACCAAAAGCTAGCACGGCAATGTAGAGCTACCTCAATAAAGACCAAAAGCTATCAGGACAATGTAGAGCTACCTCAATAAAGACACAAAGCTAGCACCACAATGTAGAGCTACCTCAATAAAGACCAAAAGCTAGCAGGACAATGTAGAGCTACCTCAATAAAGACCAAAAGCTAGCAGGACAATGTAGAGCTACCTCAATAAAGACCAAAAGCTAGCACGGCAATGTAGAGCTACCTCAATAAAGACCAAATGCTAGTAGGACAATGTAGAGCTACCTCAATAAAGACCAAAAGCTAGCACGGCAATGTAGAGCTACCTCAATAAAGACCAAAAGCTAGCACCACAATGTAGAGCTACCTCAATAAAGACACAAAGCTAGCACCACAATGTAGAGCTACCTCAATAAAGACACAAAGCTAGCAGGACAATGTAGAGCTACCTCAATAAAGACCAAAAGCTAGCAGGACAATGTAGAGCTACCTCAATAAAGACCAAAAGCTAGCAGGACAATGTAGAGCTACCTCAATAAAGACCAAAAGCTAGCAGGACAATGTAGAGCTACCTCAATAAAGACCAAAATCTAGCACCACAATGTAGAGCTACCTCAATAAAGACCAAAAGCTAGCACCACAATGTAGAGCTACCTCAATAAAGACACAAAGCTAGCAGGACAATGTAGAGCTACCTCAATAAAGACCAAAAGCTAGCAGGACAATGTAGAGCTACCTCAATAAAGACCAAAAGCTATCAGGACAATGAAGAGCTACCTCAATAAAGACCAAAAGCTAGCACCACAATGTAGAGCTACCTCAATAAAGACCAAAAGCTAGCAGGACAATGTAGAGCTACCTCAATAAAGACCAAAAGCTAGCAGGACAATGTAGAGCTACCTCAATAAAGACCAAAAGCTAGCAGGACAATGTAGAGCTACCTCAATAAAGACACAAAGCTAGCACCACAATGTAGAGCTACCTCAATAAAGCTAGCAGGACAATGTAGAGCTACCTCAATAAAGACACAAAGCTAGCAGGACAATGTAGAGCTACCTCAATAAAGACCAAAAGCTAGCACCACAATGTAGAGCTACCTCAATAAAGACCAAAAGCTAGCACCACAATGTAGAGCTACCTCAATAAAGCTAGCAGGACAATGTAGAGCTACCTCAATAAAGACACAAAGCTAGCAGGACAATGTAGAGCTACCTCAATAAAGACCAAAAGCTAGCAGGACAATGTAGAGCTACCTCAATAAAGCTAGCAGGACAATGTAGAGCTACCTCAATAAAGACACAAAGCTAGCAGGACAATGTAGAGATACCTCAATAAAGACCAAAAGCTAGCACCACAATGTAGAGCTACCTCAATAAAGACCAAAAGCTAGCAGGACAATGTAGAGCTACCTCAATAAAGACCAAAAGCTAGCAGGACAATGTAGAGCTACCTCAATAAAGACCAAAAGCTAGCACGGCAATGTAGAGCTACCTCAATAAAGACCAAAAGCTAGTAGGACAATGTAGAGCTACCTCAATAAAGACCAAAAGCTAGCACGGCAATGTAGAGCTACCTCAATAAAGACCAAAAGCTAGCACCACAATGTAGAGCTACCTCAATAAAGACACAAAGCTAGCACCACAATGTAGAGCTACCTCAATAAAGACACAAAGCTAGCAGGACAATGTAGAGCTACCTCAATAAAGACCAAAAGCTAGCAGGACAATGTAGAGCTACCTCAATAACGACCAAAAGCTAGCAGGACAATGTAGAGCTACCTCAATAAAGACCAAAAGCTAGCAGGACAATGTAGAGCTACCTCAATAAAGACCAAAATCTAGCACCACAATGTAGAGCTACCTCAATAAAGACCAAAAGCTAGCACCACAATGTAGAGCTACCTCAATAAAGACACAAAGCTAGCAGGACAATGTAGAGCTACCTCAATAAAGACCAAAAGCTAGCAGGACAATGTAGAGCTACCTCAATAAAGACCAAAAGCTATCAGGACAATGAAGAGCTACCTCAATAAAGACCAAAAGCTAGCACCACAATGTAGAGCTACCTCAATAAAGACCAAAAGCTAGCAGGACAATGTAGAGCTACCTCAATAAAGACCAAAAGCTAGCAGGACAATGTAGAGCTACCTCAATAAAGACCAAAAGCTAGCAGGACAATGTAGAGCTACCTCAATAAAGACACAAAGCTAGCACCACAATGTAGAGCTACCTCAATAAAGCTAGCAGGACAATGTAGAGCTACCTCAATAAAGACACAAAGCTAGCAGGACAATGTAGAGCTACCTCAATAAAGACCAAAAGCTAGCACCACAATGTAGAGCTACCTCAATAAAGACCAAAAGCTAGCACCACAATGTAGAGCTACCTCAATTAAGCTAGCAGGACAATGTAGAGCTACCTCAATAAAGACACAAAGCTAGCAGGACAATGTAGAGCTACCTCAATAAAGACCAAAAGCTAGCAGGACAATGTAGAGCTACCTCAATAAAGCTAGCAGGACAATGTAGAGCTACCTCAATAAAGACACAAAGCTAGCAGGACAATGTAGAGATACCTCAATAAAGACCAAAAGCTAGCACCACAATGTAGAGCTACCTCAATAAAGACCAAAAGCTAGCAGGACAATGTAGAGCTACCTCAATAAAGACCAAAAGCTAGCAGGACAATGTAGAGCTACCTCAATAAAGACACAAAGCTAGCACCACAATGTAGAGCTACCTCAATACATGAACACGAGACGCCACCACAATCAATGTTACAATCAATGTTACAATCAATGTTACAATCAATGTTACAATCAATGTTACAATCAATGTTACAATCAATGTTACAATCAAATGTTACAATCAATGTTACAATCAATGTTACAATCAATGTTACAATCAATGTTACAATCAATGTTACAATCAATGTTACAATCAATGTTACAATCATTTTGTAACCGGTGCTAAAGTGGGCTGACACTGTGACAAGTGCTAAAGTGGGCTGACACTGTGACAAGTGCTATAGTGGGCTGACACTGTGACAAGTGCTATAGTTGGCTGATACTGTGACAGGTTTTCGAGAGGACGAAGAGTACGCATGTTGTGAGTCGTAAAGAAATTCAACATTTTTACACAGCACACAAATAAACATGGAAATTTTGTTGAGTGTTTTATGTTTGATGTTTGCACAAACCATTTTTTTTTAAATGTGATCTAATATTTAATGTCCTAAAGTTCATTTCTAGATCCCTGCCTGCCATTTTAAAATTCTCATTGATGCTCACGTTTTTAACTACTATTTAAGTAAATACTATACGAATAATTTAACATGCGTTTAAAAATAATTATTAATTTATTATTAAAAATTCGTTGTTTTTCAGAAGACATTTAAAGGGAGAAAATGAGTTTAAAGTAACTCGTAAGTTACGTCCCTTCTCACGAAAGGGTTTCTGGGATACATTTATTCAGCCAAGTAGTAACAGCTTAGGTTACTATCACATGTTTTAACCCTTGAAGATAAATCTAAACACACTTAAGGGATGCCTAAAAATAAAGGTAATATACGTTTATTATTCAAAATAAATAATAACCGCACCGTTTCTGTTGTATTACACGATTTAGCTGATTAAAACGAGATCCTCTTAACACTGGTATCTCTTGTTCATGTGGTAAACAAAAGAAAAAAATCTCAAGTCTCAACAATGGTGGGCGCCATTTGTATTATTTTTTTATTAAAAAAAACCTACACGGATATAAAGATTCTGTCCAGATCTAGAGACATTCAACACATTTTTTTACTGTACTGTAGTTTTGAATTGTTACACAGCTAGATGGAGTGACTTTCTAGGTAAACCTCCATTTCAGCGTATTTTATTCTCCGTTGCTTGTTTACCTCCAGTTGAGCGTATTTTATTATAACCGAAACACACCAAAACATTAGGAAAACACGATTTATTTTTTGTATTGTATTTTTGTTTTAGCAAATGAATAAAAATGAATATTTAAAAAACACGACTTGTTTATTTGTATTGTACTTTAAAAAAAGGCATTTGTGTTTTGTCTCATGGTGAAACTGATACACTGTTAATCATTCTGTTTTATATTTTTGTATTTATGCAATAAATGTACAAACTCTGTGTTTTTTAATTTGACATTTATGCTAAAACTGAAAAAATATTTTACTATAGAGTTGTATGTTATTTAAATTCATAGTAAATCTACCATCCTTCCTTTTTTTGTATGAGTAAATTTCTGACTTTAAAAAAAAAATTGATGTGGGGTCGTCCATAAATGACGTCACACTCGTAAGGGAGAGGGGGGGTCAGCAATTTTGTGACGGTGTGTGATGAGGGGGTGGGGGTTTCAGATGGTGTGATGTCATTTTAGGGGGGGGGGTCTGACTTTTTGTGACGACGTGTAACGGAGGGGAGGGGGGAGGTAAAACTCGTAAAAAAAGCGTGTCGTCACAAAAAGCAAGACCCCCCCCCTACGAGTGTGACGTCATTTATGGACGACCTCTAACATTATTTTTTTTTTAAATGACAACGTGAGTTGTCACACTTTCTCTAACACTCCAAGCAATCCCTCACCAAATTCCACCCCCCCCCCCCCCCCCTCGGCCCACTTTCGGCAGCATCATTGTGCCTTTTAATACTTTTATTCAGTTTAGTTGAAATTGGAACACTTAATTGTACAAAGTGTGCATCTCTATTTTTGTAACAAACAAACAAATCACTTCAGTCAGTCTCTTTGTTGTTTTTTATTCATTTATTAAAACAAAAATACAATACAAATAAATAAGTCGTGTTTTTTAAACATTCATTTTATTCATTTGTGAAAACAGAAATACAATACAAAAAATAAATCGTGTTTTCCTAATGTTTTGGTGTGTTTCGGTTGTTATAATAAAATACGCTCAACTGGAGGTAAACAAGCAACGGAGAATAAAATACGCTGAAATGGAGGTTTACCGACTTTCTAATAATAATAGACTTATTTAGTCAATTTTTACCTCAATCAATATGGCTGAAAATTTCAGGATAGCCTAATGATTAGTATTTCTCGCTAACCCGGAGGCGTGGCCGGTTGCTAACAACAATATGGCGCCCGGACCGGACGCTTGACTTCCGACGATTTTTCGGCCAAATTCCAGAGACCTTCTACTAATTAGTTTTTAAAATGTTTACCACGCGCAAAATGGCGGGACTTTCACGTTATAACAACAAGCTATAGGTGGCAGGGCTATATATGCCAGAAAAGCATTTTAAAATTTGCGTTGGAGAATGAAGGCTAAATTTAAAAGTTGGTTTCATCAAAAATACTAGAACTTTTTAAATATAGATTTCCCTATTACAAAATTGATTTCCCTACTAAAGCATTATTAGTTTTATCAGTCTATGAAAAAATAAATCAAATATAGTCAACCCTTTTTTTTATAAGAGTGGCCAAAAAATGACAACCAAATTTTTTTTATTTTTTTGACCACGTGACCGCTATTTGATGATCACTAGTGGGGAACTCTGGGTACATGGCCACTTAAAAAGTCTAACCGCATTTGTGGTTCTCTTTAGCTTCAAGTGCCTTCAGGGGTAAGAAGAGTTGTCATGGAGAGATGTGTTGTCCAATGGCAGTGAGTGTCAATAAATATTAAATTAAGTAATTTAGTTTAAAACGAACTAAAAACTTCAGAATTAGTCCCTAATGGATTAAATATGGATGTCTATCATTCAGTAGTCATGTTTAATTTGAAATTTGGGTAAATTCTAGATTTAGTAAGAAAAGCTACTAATGATTGACTCTTGCTTGTGATTGTGACACTCTTGTCTTGGCTCATGCAGTGTAAATCCACCTTACATGACAACTAGACCAAGGCTTTATAGAATCTAGGTCTATTATTACATGACCACAAGCAAGGTCATAAAAATCTTACTAACAACTAGCTAGTCTAACACTACTACCTACTTACTCTCACAGATAAAATAAATCTAGAATCTAGGAAAAAACTGAAGTAGCCTAAATGATATTTTGTAGGCCTACAGGCCTACATTTTTAAAAAGGTTAGGGATGATTATAGATACCGGTGTCTGATAATGGAGTCTTCTTTGAAAAAGGGGTGTTGGGTTGTTAGATCTAATAGTATTGTAATCTCGACTAATTTTATGGTTAGAAATTAGGGTTAGGTGTATGGTAGGACCAGGGTATGGTCCTATCATACGCCTAAACCTAATTTCTAACCATAAAATTAGTTGAGATTACAATACTACTAACAACCCAACACACCTATTTTATGGATCCAAATTTAGATCAAAAGATCAGCAGCCTGTCCCATCTATAGTAAGCGTAGGAATAGAAATAGTGCCAAAATAGGTTTTGTTTAGGGCCTACATTTGTTGTAATATTTTATTTACCAAACTGTATGATCCTTTGCAGTATATTTTTTAAAATCAGTGGAACTGATGTGAGAAATGCATTGTCATGAACTATTATGCAGGCAGTTGCCTTCATTTATTATCATAACAATCCCTTGAATCTATGATTATAACATTTTAAACTGATAATTAACCTCAACATTCAAGAACTCAAAGCCATTGTGATATCAAACAGTGATCTAGACCTGATTGGTTAAATATTTACCAAATGTAAAGTTACAAGTTATTAAATTTACTTCTTTTTTAAATCAAAAACACATAATTGAAGTTCTAACATGGTCACAATTTAGTTGCTGATTCCTTTTTGTTTTTAAATTTTGTATGTCAACATATCACAATTTTTATTTTTACTTACAATAGGAAAGGGAGGTAAAAACAGGAGAAGGGGTAAAAATGAGAATGAAAATGAGAAAAGAGAGTTGATCTTCAAAGAAGAGGGTCAGGAATATGCCCAAGTGACAAAAATGTTAGGCAATGGCAGACTTGAAGCAATGTGTTTTGATGGAGTCAAAAGGTTATGTCACATCAGAGGCAAGCTCAGGAAGAAGGTAAACTAGAGCTACATTATAACAGACTAAAGAGTTATGGCTTCTTGAGATATTCTGTAATGTATTACATACTATTTGTATTACTTAAAAGGTGTCTATATCTATGGTAGCTAATGAGTTTTGTGGTTGCTAGGTTTGGACAATGGTGGTGATGTTTGTATCTATGGTAGCTAATGAGTTTTGTGGTTGCTAGGTTTGGATCAATGATGGTGATGTTTGTATCAATGGTAGCTAATGAGTTTTGTGGTTGCTAGGTTTGGACAATGGTGGTGATGTTTGTATCAATGGTAGCTAATGAGTTTTGTGGTTGCTAGGTTTGGATTAATGGTGGTGATGTTTGTATCTATGGTAGCTAATGAGTTTTGTGGTTGCTAGGTTTGGATCAATGGTGGTGACATTATCTTGCTGGGTCTCAGAGACTACCAGGACACTAAAGCTGATGTGATCTTAAAATATACAGCTGATGAGGCTCGTAACTTGAAGGCATACGGAGAATTGCCAGACTCAGGTACCCACCTATCGTTTCATTTTTCTCAAATATCTTTTTTTAATTTAGTTTTGTAATATGCTTCATAGTTATTTAATTCAAACATTGTCATATTCATTGAGCGTAAACCAGTTTATAATAAAATGTACCATTTTGCAGCTAAAATCAATGAGAACACCTTTGAGGATGAAATTGATGAGAACATCACTTTCGATGGTTTTGATGATGATGACGACGACGATGACATTGACGAGGTAAGTGTCTATTGATGACCATTTAGCACTATATTTGACGACTTTTTACCTATTAGATTAATTTTCATATCATAAAGAACTTGAGGCACACCTAAACAAGTAAAAAAAATGTTTTTGTCTCTTTCAGATCTAGCAGTCAGTGTATAGTTGTTTTAGATATTCTTTTGTCAGTCACTTCACCATAGCGGAATACAACTTGGCACATCTTGCGCAATTTTAATAAGTATTTTCTGTCATCATTCACATGTTGTTTTTGTTTTATGTTTGTACATTTGTCTTTAACTGAATGGTTCAATTGACAGTTTTAAAACCAGAAATTAACAATTTTACAGATAGGAATTTTTATACCTAATTTATTATAGCAGAAAAATATTTATTCTTATGAAACTCATTTTAATTAAAAAGTTGTATTGGAATATTTTTTCCATCTATGTTAGGCTAGGCAGAGAATCAAAATTATCTGCGCAAATTAATTTAAAGAAACGGCCATGTGACAATTATTTATTATGAAAAAAGTTTTTTATCACATATACTCTCATACAACTAGCTGTAGTAGTGTATCTTTCTTCTTTACTACATTTTCTCTACTCCTAATGGAAGTTTTTCTATGGGCAGTTGTTTAATAAAAATATCCAGAAGTGGTCAGGGTTTTTAAATTTCTAAATAAACTTGTGAATTATTACCTTACAATTTGTTACTTACTGTAGGCCTATAGTATATCTAGCGAGGTAGATCTTTGGTTGTTACATGGGGCTGGTGTCCCTCAACTGATGGCATTGTAATTGTACAAGAGATGGAATGAGCTTCTAAAAATAGGGAAGTTGTAATAATACTTTTGACTGTTGAAATAGAACAGCACAGAACTTGCATTTTGATATTTTTAATCAATTTCTTGTTTAAAACTTATTTTCTCTTTATATTTTGGGGTTGATTAAAAACTGGCACTGTAATATTTTTGGGGTTTATTAAAAACATGTACAGATGTAAAAACAAACCAAAACAAAGCTTTTGCTGCAACAAGAAAATGGATGTCTGGCTATTAACCTGAAACACTTTAAAACAAAACTTTGTACATATGACATGCAAGGTGTATTTAATAAAGTATTAAAATGTTCTTTTACTTGTTTTTAATATGTAATCTTGTTCATTTAGTGGCTCATTAAGCATTTGCTCATGGCCATCAATTTTTATAGTAGATAGTTAATGAGTCTATGTGTAAGAAATTGTAAAGGATTGGAATAGAACTGATGTCTTTCACACCAAATATCTCTTGCCTGTCCCAATCTAATTTATTCACCTCACACTTCATCTTTCAGGATGTGTCATCCTGCTAAATCTTGTCATTTTCAGTAAAATTTTTCCACAATAGAAGTACTCATTTTAAAATTGTCTGTGCTAGAATGCCAGATCAGAATTTTGCAAAATTCAGTGTTTAAAGTAGTATACTCACTCATAGAGGGTATTGAAAACAAAATTCTACACTCTGTTGCAGGATTGTTTTTCATATAGAAAAAATTTCACATTTTGACATGCAAATCAAATGTACATTTAAAGTGACATGTATTTGAAATCTAGGACACATCTCACAAAAGTTGATATAGTATTGGAGCCTTATTTATATACAACCTGTAGTCCTTTTCATGCTGGTAGTAGTGAAAAAGATCAACAATCTGAGTATTAATGTTGGTGTGTTAGATTTGCTGTGTGTTAGTTATAAAACATGTCAGTCAGCAGCAGGCTTAGCCAGGCAAAAAGATGAGACAAAACAAGCTTTCTTACAACAGCCATATTTGTAAATTCTACAGAAACAGTACAAATAGCTTTGATTTAAAACAATATTTACATCAATCCTGGCCACAGTGTGGCTTGGCCCATTTGCTAGATTGGCATGTATACTAGTGAGGGGAGACCACCTAAACCACTTATCATAGCTTATTTAACAGGTAGAACCCAACATGTTGTCCATGAGCAACAGAGTAGCTTGTCTACACATTGACAAATCTAACAAATAAGCATTCAGTCTTATAAATGACATGACTCAATCTGTAGAGTGACATGGTTTAGATAAATATTGGATGAATTTGAGCAATGTTTGCATGGTATGTTATAATTGGTCAATACAAAGCTGTGGTGAAGATTTGGTCAATGTGAAATAGTTATGGGAATGCCTAGACTGATGTGCAATATTTGTGGAAATAACATGGTCACGGTGAAGTATTTATGGGGATGACTACGTTAATAATGAGAAATATTTGTGATCATCACTTGGTCAGTTTGATTGATGTGTTCAACTTGACAGCAGCTTAGGGCAGTTTGCAGATATTAAGGGAAAAATGTTTTTTTTTTCAAGTGAGTTTAAAATACAAAACTGTCAGCAACCAAAGAAATTCTTGTAAGTTAGACAGTACAAGAGACATCACAGGACATAGTAGATAATTTTTTTTATCACAGGTTAAGTTACATTTTAAAAAATTCCAAAAACGTAAAATATATTTTTACATATCTAACTCCTGTTGAAGTTTACATTTTACACAATAATATCACATCCATGAACTGGTTGAAGTTACCATTTAACTTAACACAATATGCTGGTGAAGTTAACATTTAATACAAAAATAATATCACACATCTAACTCCTGTAGAAGTTAACATTTAGAACTGTCAGTTTGTGATAGATGGGAAAAATGTGTACTACTAATTTTAGCAACAACAACAACAGTGATATACACTAAGCAAGTACTGTTGGAGAACCATTGAGCAATGTACAACTGGCATCAGCAGCGGAAAATCTGGCATGGCTTGTATTGTAGGTGTAGGGGCTGCACAATATTACCTGGCATAGGAACATAACACCAAAATATATAAATTGCACAAACTTTACACCCACAGGTAACAAATGTATAAATTACTAAATTTACACCCACAGGTAACAAAAATATATAAATTACTAAATTTACACCCACAGGTAACAAATATATAAATTACTAAATTTACACCCACAGGTAACAAAAATATATAAATTACACAAACTTTACACCCACAAGTAACAAAATTTCATAAATTACACAAACTTAACACTGACATGGGCAGCAATCACAGACAAGCACAACATGAATTATTGACTGAGCTTAAGCTGATATTCACTTTTGATTAGACTAAAACAAACCTGGTTCCACTCCCTGCCAGACTTGGGACTCCAGCCTTGAGATCTTCACCATTTCTGTCAGGTACTGAGAGAAGATGCACATGGTCAGAATAAATGTCTCACTCAAGTCATAAATATCACTAAAAGATTGTTGACTATCCTCAATATTTTGTTTAAGTAGGAGCTTGACACATGCTGAATAAATGCACTTTTTAAAGATTTGTTATACATCCTCTAGTTAAAGACCACTAACATATCTATGTTAGAAGACATACAACTCCCACCTCAACTATTTCACTGTCGCAGTCTTTGACCCCAATTCTGGTCATTATGTTGGACACAGTGGAACAGTACGTGTCACGTTGATCTTTCGGACTGTGGGAACTGGGGACATGAAAAGCTGAATCAGATAATTTAATGGACACACTGGGACAGTACAAGTGACATTGATCATTAGAACTGTAAACATGAAAGGGTGAATCAGATATTTTAATGGACACACTGGGACAGTACAAGTGACATTGATCTTTAGAACTGTAAACATGAAAAGCTGAATCAGATAATTTAATGGACACACAGTACAAGTGACATTGATCTTTAAAACTGTAAACATGAAAGGGTGAATCAGATATTTTAATGGACACACTGGGACAGTACAAGTGACATTGATCATTAGAACTGTAAACATGAAAGGGTGAATCAGATATTTTAAAAAAAAATTTCACTTTCCAGTCAAATTTTGGGAACTTGATTTGACAGAAATTACTATTAATGATTACAAGTGAAATCCAGCTTTGTAATAATGCCAAATACAATATGATGGCAAATGTCAAACATTTCATAGCGAACGTGAAATGGAAAAATATGATTTTTTTCCCATATATAGGGTCATAAAATGTTTTTTTAAATTTTAGAATTTTTTTTCTCATTTAATCTCTTCTTTTCTGTACTAAGAAATGGACAAAGAATCCAAAAAGTGCAAGAAACCCATTATGACTAAAAATCAGAATTTCTGTAATTTTTTTCTTGCGTATATCCCTTAGGGAAATTGCATTTTGGATATGATTATCTGTATATAATTATATTCTCATTAAGAAACTGCCTATTACTATTAGACAAAATTTATTCATTCAAGAAATTTACTATTAAAAGACAATTTATAAAACAATCTATTTAATCATGCAAGAAAATGATTAGACATACAAATAATAATAGTCTATAACACGGCTACTACAAAACTTACTATAAAATGCTCCCAGATGAGCTCAAACAAAACGAGTGGAAAAAAATAAAACTTTTGGCCATGATGCACATCATCCACCTGTAAAATACAAAATGTCACCAGAAAAATAACTAGAATATGTGACATCAAGTTATCAAGTAATATTGATTTAACTTATTGTTGGCTAACTATGACATTTCAGATGGAGAGTACTGACCATTCAATGAAAGACAATAGCTGGATATCATTTTTAAAAACTTTTTTCTTCGCCATTAAAAAATTGATCCAATGACCCTGTTAAAAAAAATAGAGTTGTATAAATTAAATTAGTAGTAAAAAAATGATATACGAGTTGTATAAATAGAAGGTCCAACCGAATATTATTTTAAAATGGATTTTGTCTCCACATTGCATGGTTGTATCTGGCCACTTTATAAAATGTATTTTAAAAAATTGATATTATGAACAGATTTTAGTACTGGTTCCCCCTTAATCAATAGTACAATTTGCAAGTAACAAAAAACTACTAACCTGATATGGAACTGCAGTGATTAACCTTCTCTCTACATCCAGCACAGTGCAGCTTTTCTGGAAGTCAGGTGTTTATTATGGTCAAGTTTATGTCCGACTTATGTTACATAAGTACTAAAATGGCACCAGGTATATACAAGTCTCTTACCTTGATGGCACCAGGAATGTACGAGTCTCTTACCTTGATGGCACCAGGAATGTACGAGTCTAAAGTTCTCCTCTCTGGCCTACAAACCCCCACCAGTTTGAGTTTTGTTATATCTACAATTTTAAGTGGCTTTGTTGTCCATTCCAGCACTGTTTGGCGCTTTCTGTTGGAACAAAATTACACAGCATTTAATATCTGTTCATGCTGAAATTATCTCACAATCTTCACATGATAACAGCGTGTTACAAAAAGCAATGTCTACCTTTTTGTTGCCGGGACAAATACAGACAGGGCATTGACTAGTTTGGTCACCTCTAACTCAAACTTGGAGCTTCCAGCAACCAGGACTGGACGTCCACTCAGGAGGCTGAAGATGACATGATGAATGTGCTGGTAGTTGTAGAACACCTCAAGCAGGCAGTTACCTGGGGACATAGGGGGCCAAACTTCAAGCAGGCAACTACCACATAGGTGGCCAAAGAATAAAACATCCAAGTTAATCTTGTTTGTAGGGCACCTAGTTACTTAAACTGAAATTTGACTGGAAGCTTAACTTCCACATAAAAATGGACATCCGAACTGGTAACTCACCTGGCCTGCCAGGTACCAAGTTATTAATCCAGTCCCCCACAGTGTACAGACCACACCTTGGTTTCCTGGAGGACATGGACAAATATAGAGTTTCCCACTTGACTTGTTTTTATGATTGACATAGTATCTGACACCAGCACACAGACTGGTAAACTACAGCATCAATTAGAGCTACTACATACACACACAACAGACCTACCATGTCCTTGTATTGACTGGCATTTGAATATCCAGGTACTCTGTGTAAAAATAGGGCAGTAGTCAAATCTATTTTTTTTATAGGAAATGGATTCACATACATTTTATAATTCATGTTAAATTCTAATAATACATATAAAGAAATGATAAAACTAGCTTTTAGCAATACAAACTTCTGATGATTTGTTATGAAACACTAGAATCTAACTATGTACTCACCACCTGTGTACTCACCACCTATGCACTCACCACCTATGTACTCACCACCTGTGTACTCACCACCTATGTACTCACCACCCATATAGGTACCACCTGTGTACTCACCACCTGTGTACTCACCACCCATGTACTCACCACCCATGTACTCACCACCTGTGTACTCACCACCAGTGCACTCATCACCTGTGCACTCACCACCTATGTACTCACCACCCATATAGGTACCACCTGTGTACTCACCACCTGTGTACTCACCACCCATGTACTCACCACCTGTGTACTCACCACCAGTGCACTCATCACCTGTGCACTCACCACCCATGTACTCACCACCCATGTACCCACCACCTATGTACTCACCACCTATGTAGTCGCCACCTATGTACTCACCAACTATGTAGTCGCCACCTATGTACTCACCACCTATGTACTCACCATCCATGTACTCACCACCCATGTACTCACCACCTATGTATTCACCACCTATGTACCCACCACCCATGTACTCACCACCTATGTACCCACCACCCATGTACTCACCATCGATGTAGTCTCCGCCTGCGGTGCCATCAAAAGAGTCCTGCCTGACCTGACTGAGTCTGTTGGAGCCGCTGGCCTGGTCCACCAGGTGGGGGAACATGTCCCTCATGGAGATCTCAGTGAAGGCTGAGGATGTCTCAGACTCAGCACACGACTGGACAGAGTTGGCCATGTCCTCCTCCACTGCCAGCATCTTCTGTCTGACCCGCGGGTTGCTGACCCCTGTGACCTGGTGGGCGTAGGCTGCTGGGTTGGTCTGGGACACGCTAGATAACTTAGAAGAAGAAGAGCTACAGTGGCTCTCTGATGCTGTGTGGAAACTTTCTTTTGGTGTTTCAGGTTCTGAAGAGCTGACCTCGTTGGCTGAGATTTGCCGTGAAGGGGCTGGTGTACTTGTTACCGTGGCAACACAGCCAGCTTGTTCTAGCATGGAGGTCAGCTTGCTAGTGCTGTCTCGTTTTGGAGTGTTGTCTTCTGTCGTAAGCCCATCTTTCTCCCGCATGACAGCTTCAATGTCAGAAATGTCGTGAGAGATGTCAGCGCTGACAATGAAGTGCTGGCACGGGGAATTATCAGAGCTGACAACAATTTTATTCTGAGAGGTCACAGCCCCATTTTGGTCAGGACAACTCTGGTCTGTGCTGACAGAGTTATTAGACTTGATGCCAGCCAGAGTTAGGGGCCGTGGATGGCCAGGCTCATTGTCCTGTGTTTCATGTCGCGTCAAGTTGGTAGGACTTGAGTTGCCAGTTAACACGGCTGTATTGTCTTTACTGCCAACATTGTTGTTCTTCTCCACCACTCCGGCATCCTGTTCTGGAATATTCTGGGAGTCCCTGGCATAGTTAGAACCAGCTGTGTCAATGTGGTCAGCAGGCAGGCCATGGTTTTTATAAGAGTTCAAGTTCTGGGCCAAGTGAAAATTTTCTGACAACTGTTTGTTCAAACCATTTTCTACATGACAACCAGATGGTAAAGATTTATTTAGACCAGCACCATTAGTTGCTATAGTGGAGTCTGGGAAATCCAAATCTGATATAGATCCAAAGCTCAGGATAGACAGGTTGCTCTGGAGCTGTGCAACTTCTGATCTAAACTGAACTTCAGTTTCTGAAGAGTGGCCAGGAATCCTCCCCTCCCCTTCTTTAACCAGACCTTGAGAAAAATTCTCCCCCACACTACCTGTGCCTGGGTTTAAACTGGGGGCATGGTGGGATAACTCTGAGCTCTCCAGTCTCTCTGTGCTGTCTTCTAAGGTGGTGTCCTCCCTTTCCAAGAGGTCAAAGTTGACTGACATCTCTGCCACACTCATCTGGTCTTCTGCAGCTTCAATGTCTTCGTAGTACTCATTCTCCATCAGCAGGTTGATGTCTGGGGGGGAGGAGGCCGCGGAGTGGAAGCCACGGGCGCTGGGTTGGGTTGACAGATAGATGAGACAGTCAGGGTTAGATTGTACTCACACAGAGAAACATGAGTAGATTGTGGTGTTTACAGTAACATAGAAGCAATAATATACCAGGAGAATATGTTCAATGATGGAATGAATGAATCAAATCAAGATTAACTGGAGACAGATACAAAGCCACCTAGCTGAGGCATAATAAGCCTCATAAAGTTTAATTACTTCAAATTCATGTTATTTTGCAGTGTATTCAATTAAATATATAGGCTATATATATGTTTTTAAAAACTTGGAAAAAACATTTAACATAAGATTAGACACACATTTTTTAATTAAGGGAAAAAAATCTAGACAAGTGCAGGAATAAAAATCACAATTAAATGAGTTAAGGAAAAACTGTAGAGTTAAAAGACATTTACGGAAAAAGACATTTATGGCAAAACTTTGAGATGATATCATTATGTAGTACATCAGTTGTTATCGTGAGAGTAATATTTTAAGACATACAAACGTGACAAATGTTACCTTTCATAAGTGTTCATGGAGGAGGGTGAGGTGTTGAAGCCGTACAGAGAGCTGTCCACAGACTTGAAGCTATCAATAGACTCCAGCTGGCAACAGAACAATTTTATAAGGTAGGTGGTGACACATTTTTAACTGGTGATACTTAATATAAGGTGGTGACACATCTTTAACTGGTGACACCAAATAGGAGGGGGCCCACACCTTTAACTGGACTACAGTTAATTACAAGACAAAGTCAGGTGGCATGACAGTCAGCTAATGTCAATGCCAAACATGACAACACAAATGAACTAAGTGTTGTACCAGTGAGAGAGAAAAGTTGGAAGGGTTCTAACACCTATCTCCAGTCATCTGTACATGACATGCAGTTGACTTAACATTATCTGAGCTTAACATGAGGCCATTTTTATACTTAATAACTTAGAAATAAGAGATCATTGTCATTTCAAATACTGACCACTATAACAAATGACCACAATGACAAGCAGGTAATGACCACCATGGTAAGTGGGTAATGACCACTATAAGCATGTAAGAACCACTATGGTAGGCAAGTAATGACCACCATGGTAAGCGGTTAATTACCACCATGGTAAGCGGGTAATGACCACAATGACAAGCAAGTAATGACTACTATGGTAAGCATGTAAGGACCGCTATGGTAAGCTAGTAATGACCACCATGGTAAGCGGGTTATGACCATTAATGTAAGTATGTAAGGACCACTATGACAAGTGAGGTATACAAATTACCGATCCAACCGTCCCCCACTGATAGTTGTAAAACAGACTTCCATTGTCCTCATCAGCAGATGTCTGGGACTGTCTCCTGGAAACAAAACAAAGAATTCAAGTACACCTCAATAAAGATATCAAGATTTCAACTCATTATTTTTTAAAGCTTTTCTCTTCTTCTTTTTAGTTCTTAATTTTTAGTGTAGGAAGGGATCCAGCCTTATATGCCAGGGGGTTTGAACTCGAGACTTTTTTAAATTTAATAACCATGAGCTTTTGCCAACTCGACCATGCCTCTAACACAGTTAAGTATAAGTGTCAACTGGTTATGCGCCATTGAGGCCATTGACTCCGATTTCAGCTTTGCTTTTCTTTTTGGATTTGCTTCCATAGCCTTTGTCCAGCCAAGAACAAACTACAAGGCAGCAGTTGTTTGACTTTGGAGCTATCTCTCCTAGAAGAGTGGCTGTCCCCAGCTAATGAGCCTCATCTGCCCGAGATTTCGAACACAGATAAGTTTGGGGGGAAACTTTGCTATCTTCCCCACTTTCTTGATATGTTGAGATCACAGAAACAGATTAACTACTACTTTATCTGCCCTTCAGGCCTGAACACACTTACCCTACCACCTTAGACCACCAACAGACCAGACCTACTGTAAGAAAAGGTTAAACCTGGTAATAAAAAGGGCTGACTTACACATGGATGCCAGTAAAGAAGTTGCCTGTGATACACTGGCCATGGGAGATCTTACCACAACACGGCCCTGTAGATACACAGGTCAACAACTTGGTTATTTCCTTCTTAAAGTTTTAATAGAGAAATGTCTTAGACAATTGAGAATGTGGACAAAAATAGTTTTAGGAAAAACAACTAGAGTTTACAAATATATTGAGAAATATTGAAATAAAATGTATTTACGGAACAGGCGTGACTCGTTTTTTTCTATTTCAAGAATAAGCAAGTCTCGTTTGAAATACTGTTGAGAGAAAAAACATTTTAATGTTTAGTAAAACTATGACTATCAAAAAATTCCACAGACAAGTAACATCTATTATTGACACTTATTTGTGAAATCGAGAGAAACTTCCTTTTTGTCAAAGTAACTTTCATATAATGAAAACACATTTACATCCATTGTTGAATATCTCAAGTAAACTGAAGATGAAACTTTTATATGATAACCTATGGCCTCATGACTGAGGAGCTAAATCACCTTAAGTCAAATGGCGCAGCAGTAAGGTCAGAAGAGAGTTAAAGTGACCTAAAAGTAAAGTAGGTCTGTGTTTACCTCGTGGATGTGACGCAGCTTCCTGAGCCCTTCTTTAGCTCCCCAAGAACAGAGCTCATGTAGGCCTCTCAGTGGAGCATTGAATCTCTTGGCCTTCTTCGTTTCAACAAGCACTGGCTGAAAAGGTTTACATGAGGTTAACTCTTTGGTTGGCAAGTGTGATCAGGCTTTAGCATGTGGCAGAGAGTAAAAGTGAATTGGCAGCCATCAATAGCAATCTAAACAGAGCACTACTTGATGCCTTATGCACCAATAGAGGTTGAGAGATGATGATGAAAATAAATGTGGATCTAATAAAATTTGGTTTATAGTGTCTCAGTACAGAAGTAAAATTCTGCCAACCTAATTTTTTTTTTTTGGCTTAAATTTAAAAAGTGTCAGAACATAAGTAAAAAATCTGGCGACCTGACCTTGTATTCTCTAGGCTTGAAGAGTGTAAGTGGAGACATCCTGGGCTCATTTAGTGAACCACCTGGAGAGGGGGAAGACAGGCTATTTTTAGCAGTTTTTTATTGCTCATGCTTCATTTGTAATAATAGGCAATATTTTTACACACTTCTTTAAATAAATATAAGACAGTTTAAGAAAATTTAAAGCCATTTAAATATGAATAACCATATGGTCAGAATTTGTGCGTTATCCTCACATTGAAAGCTATATCCACACAGGTCACTAACCAAATGTGCGCTATATCTGCACATTTTATGTGCTACATCCACAGTTACAATAAACCAGCTATATCCACAGCTACCATTAACCAGCTGTGAGCTGTACACACAGCTACCATTAACCAGCTGTGAGCTGTACACACAGCTACCATTAACCAGCTGTGAGCTGTACACACAGCTACCATTAACCAGCTGTGAGCTGTACACACAGCTACCATTAACCAGCTGTGAGCTACCATCAACCAGCTGTGAGCTGTACACACAGCTACCATTAACCAGCTGTGAGCTGTACACACAGCTACCATTACCCAGCTAACATGCTATACCCACATCTTAAGTCAAGTTCCTCCAGTGAAGAGAGGTCGTTGAACCAATTTTCCTGCAGACTCAGCTTGTCCTGACTGGATGAAGTTGGCTTTTGGTAAGCTCTCTCTTCCAGCAGTCTGAACCTGTTCTCTAGCCGCCTGTCACTCTAGGGGACCAAAGCTTTTCTTTTACATTTTGTTTAACCTTTCTCACTCCAACAAACATACTTTAAAGATAATCTACATTTAAAATATTTATACCCTCTTGTTTAATACCTGAGTTGTTTAAATTTGTGAATCTAAAACAAACAGAACAAATATTTTAAAAATAGCAATAAATTAATAAACTTATACAGCCAAGGATAGGTGGTGGAGATAAAGTTGACCACACACACCAGTAGTAGCTTGAGTGTGGAGAGGATTAGCTGGGGAGGGGTGGGGATTAAGTTGACCATACACCAGTAGTGGCTTGAGTGTGGAGAAGATTAGCTGGGGAGGGGTGGGGATTAAGTTGACCATACACACCAGTAGTGGCTTGAGTGTGGAGAGGATTTCTTTGATCTCCGAGCTGGACTGACGTATGGTCTGCAGCCCCCTGTACAGCTCATTCTCTGCATTCTTGCGGGTGTCCTGGGCCTGACCGTCCACAGTATCAACATCCTTAAGCCTCATCTTGGACACTTGGTTCAACAGGAAACCTGAGGGACAACATTTATTTCACTTCAGAACATGGTACAATGATAGACAACACAGGACAACATCTTGGACACTTGGTTCAACAGGAAACCTGAGGGACAACATTTATTTCACTTCAGAACATGGTACATTGATAGACAACACAGGACAACATCTTGGACACTTGGTTCAACAGGAAACCTGAGGGACAACATTTATTTCACTTCAGAACATGGTACAATGATAGACAACACAGGACAACATCTTGGACACTTGGTTCAACAGGAAACCTGAGGGACAACATTTATTTCACTTCAGAACATGGTACATTGATAGACAACACAGGACAACATCTTGGACACTTGGTTCAACAGGAAACCTGAGGGACAACATTTATTTCACTTCAGAACATGGTACATTGATAGACAACACAGGACAACATCTTGGACACTTGGTTCAACAGGAAACCTGAGGGACAACATTTATTTCACTTCAGAACATGGTACAATGATAGACAACACAGGACAACATCTTGGACACTTGGTTCAACAGGAAACCTGAGGGACAACATTTATTTCACTTCAGAACATGGTACATTGATAGACAACACAGGACAACATCTTGGACACTTGGTTCAACAGGAAACCTGAGGGACAACATTTATTTCACTTCAGAACATGGTACATTGATAGACAACACAGGACAACATCTACACTTTCTCAAACTTTATAAGACAACACCTCCACATTCTCAAACTTTATCGTACAACAACTCCACTTTCTCAAACTTTATAGGACAACACCTCCACTTTCTCAAACTTTATTCACCTTTTGTGTATTCAAGGTCTTTTAAATGTCTTTCCAAATCTCCAATAAAAAGCAGTTTGTTTCCATACTTTAAAAACCTGGCCACCTAGAATAACAGTTAGATATTAAAACTCTGGTGTCCACTAATTTGTGATGATACAGTCACAGGCATCAACATACAACTGATTGAATGTTGATAATACACACACATAGTCAACACACATGTGATGGTATAATTAGAGACATCAACATACAAATGATCATCATCTATAACACACACACATAACCAACACACAAATGATGATGATGCAACCATTCACTAAAACATACTGTCACAACCTTTTTGTGTGACTGGGTTCACGATATAAACTTGCCACAGGCCTTTCTCCTACCTTTATCTATCACATACGAAATCACAAGACAAGCCTTCTTTTACGTTTTATATATATTTATTTTGTCTTCACATAGACGGCGTGTTCAGCCAAGCTACGCCATGTTCTTGCCTTCTTCTCTTCTTCCTCTCATGCATGCGCACAACTACTGTCTCTCTGATGCAATCTCACCCACACACTCCCAAGATACGATCCAACAATGTTTCACTGTTATACATACCAAGCCACAAATTTAAACAGCACACTTGCTTGCTGTGGAAAACACACAATGATACACAAAAACTGACATCTAATTCAATGATACAAAGTATTAAATGAAATGGGTGAAAGTTCTTTAGTTTAAAATAGTCTCACCTTTTTCAACTGAAGGGAAATTTCTTCATAAAAATGCATCAACTTTCTAGAAAGAAAAAACATAAAAAACTCTAATGACAATTTATGTCTTTATTTTATGTTTAGGTTTTTTTCCTTCTTAGAACCCTGGGTGCATACTTTTCCCTTTCTTCATACCCAGCCACATTTTATTCAATTTTTCATGTTTCCTCAGGCCCAGTTGCATGAATTGTAATGTTTACAAACACAAAACTGAGCCTTTGCCTTTTACTGCAGTACAGGGCAGAGTGCTTATTTGAAAGAATAATGGTCAACCCTACTATCACTTTTTAAATTTAAAAAAAATTTTTTTTTATTTTTTTGTTGTTGTGGCCTTATCATTTCAACTGATGGGTTGTCACATTTTAAACTAAATCATAGGTCTAAGTAGATTTAGATGGTCTGATCATGAATTAGACATAAAATAATAGAAAGTAAACAGACAGTAAAATTATGTCTGGGCTGAGGGAATAAAGGGAATCAAAGTAGGTCAGGGCTGTGCTACAAATAAACTAGAGAAATAGAAAACTTGGGATATTAGAAAAAGCTATTTACTTGGACTCCATGGTGACGTAAGCAATACAATATGGTCTGACAAAACCTCTGGCTGTGTTGTCAAACAAAACTAAATGATGAACCTGCAAGTAGACACATTAAATATCAAATCATGTACCAAAATGATATCAGGATTATTAAGATGACTTGTAATCCCCCTGTCCCATCTATTATGTCATAAAAAGCCAGTCTCCATCCCCCCCCCCACACACCTCAAAATATCATGTTGTATCACCTCAAACCCAATGCAATGCAATTATAAAAATTAGCATGCTTATTTTTAAGTTGTGTCTTTTAATAATGTGCAATAAACTCCACATTGCAATTTGAACCCCCATCTTCAGTGGGAGTGTGACATCTTCCTCTAATATAGAAACAGAAATTAACTAGGGACGTATGGGTAAAGTTAACTAGAGATGTACGGATAAAGTGGCATATGTTATAGCCTATCTAAAAAAAATTTCAATATCTGATCTGAACAGTTTTTCACATGAAGGATACCTTAACATTTAATGTAAATCTGGCAATTAATTTTGTAATCCAATAAGGATAAATTTTTACCTGTAAATCCATTTTATTTAAAGTTGTGTATTCAGTTATTTGTTTAAAAGAAATGAATGCAATGAAAATTGTAAATTTAAAAAAATGATTTAAAGAGTTTTGACTCACAAAGGCAAAAACTCCTGTGTCAACATCAGACAAAACTACCTGCGCATCTTCAGTGATTGTGAAGCCACTAAAAACAATGAAAGGCAAAGGTTTTAAATATTTTTTATACAAAAGAAAAAAATGGTATGTCAATTTTATACAAACGGATAGAAAAAAACCTAGCCTTACGTTGATGAGGTCTGATGGTCTACAGCTAGGATCCGAACAGAAAAAGAATTCTGATCAAAATTTGAGCCACCATCTTTAGGGATCGTCATCTGAAAATATCTATCAGAAGTCAACAAAGAGCAAAACTTTAAATAACAAATCCAGTGGTTCTCAATAACAAGGGACAGTGGTATTAAGTAACACAAGCAGATGTAATTGAATGTCTCAAGTGTTTTACCATGATGAGACCACTGGCTTTTTAATTAACTAGACTACTGATTGACAATGAGCTTGGATAAGTCATACGAGCCGACCCGCGGCATATCATACGCCACTATTTAGTTGATTTATTTTCTACTTTTCAGTAATTCATAATTTGTGAATTTGACAGTACCAATGCTGCCACTGAAAATATTTGCTTTAAAACACTATTAGTAGGTCATTGAGGACCTTACTACCCCCACCCTCCTTTCCCCCAACCCCTACCTTACACCACCCCCTCGTGAAAGCGGCCTCCTCTTAGTTACCTCCCATAAGTTTAAAATCGTTTCAAACTAAATTATCTGCCCCTAATAGTCGTCACTAAACCCGGCTCTGCTTGTAAACATTTGGCGTGAACCACAGCTCACCAGACCATGTAGGGGTGGGGGTGGTAGGGAGCGCGCTTCCAGCTTGTTTTCTAGCATCTCCCAGAAGAGAATTATATATAGAGATACTGTAAGCCTATTTATTTAGATGGGCAACCTAACCCTTACCACTGGTTTAGGGCCCTCCAGTTCTGAAAACTCTGCTACCAAGATGAAATCTTCAAATGCTTTATCCTTTCCACAAGCCCAGGGTTGAGGAGGCTGGAAGGGAGGGTGAAGATAAGAGGGTAGTGGGTCTTGAAAATTGTCATTGTAGGTTGTTCCATCTCTGGTCTGCTGTAAGTATGTGGCAATCTGAGCATATTCCCCAAACATTGCACAGCTGCTGTTGAATTTCATTAAAATTTAACAAGATAATAATTTAGGCCAAACTTTAATTATTTTTATTTTTGGGGGAATTTTTATACCAGTGTCAGATAAAAGAATCTTAAAAAAGGGGCGTTACTAGTAAGTAAGTAAGTTTCCCTTTCAAACCTGACGGTCTATGGGGCAAGTGAAGTAGAGTTCACTTGTTTCTGTGACCTCGGTATATGAAGAGATAGTGTGGTCAGCACTATGCCCAGCCGCCTTTACTTTCCCTAACGTGAGTTAGGTACCTATCAGAGTTGGGTGGACTCAGGGACGATCTACTGACTTAAACCCGGATTCGAACTCGAGACTTACGGGTTAGCAGTCCAGCTCTCTACCGCTAGACCACTCCGCCCCAGTAGTTAACTAAAATACACACATGGCTTGCTAATCATCAACTAATGTCATTGCTAACCCTATCCCTAACACCAACCAAAGCCCTACCATACGCCTGAACCCAATTTCTAACCATAGAACTAGTCGAGATTACAATACTACTAACAACCTAACACCAATTTTTAGAAGAGTCTATAGGCCTATTTATAATTATTTAATTAACTATTATATTATCAGACATCTGTATCCTTTTTTTAGTGTCCTAGATCTAGATAGTAGTAGTAGTAAACACTCACACACAGTGGTGGTAAGTAACAAAAAAATTTTAAAAGTAAATTAAACTCTAAACTCTTTAATGTATTGTAAACTATTGTAAACATTAAAGGACCACATTAAATTTTAACAACAGTGAATTCACTGTTTCATGAGTGAGACTGTTTCAGTCAACCCCAACACTCAGTAACACAGGCCAACAACATGGTCCATAGACTCAAGTCAACTCTATTCTAGACTCTATAGAGTCGAGTGCTAGTCTAACACCGTACTAACACGGCCTAGGCATAGCGGCCTACTATGGAAATGTAAAAATGAAAAATTATTGCAATTACTTAGATCTAGCTCTACATTAAATAAGTAGTGAACGCAGTAGGCCTAATAGTTGCTGATTTATAGACCCTATTTATTTTATTCATAGATCTGTTATATTAGTTATATTAGTGTTATTTTATTTTGAGATCTAGGCCTACCCTACAGATCTGCTAGACTTAGACTATCAAGAAGGTTTGTAACTTCTTTTAAAGAGAGTGTAAAGGGTAAAGTTCAGCCAAACTCGAGGCCTAAAATCTAAATTCCAAATTATATTTACATACCAGCGAAGAAAAGAAAAAAATAGGCTTTGTTAGCCAAATAACGAGCTGTAGAAATGTATTAATTACAGTTTAGAACCCCCCCTCCCCCCAATCGAAGTTATTAAAAAAGCCACAATATTAAGTTGTTTTTGTTTTGTTTTTTTTAGACAAATAATTCTTAACATTTTTTTTTAAAGTGGCAATAACTCAGCCGTATGAACTGGCAATAGTTAAAAATCAAAACAAAACAATTGTCTGCTAACATAACAGTAACAACTAACAGCTGGTAAAAAAAATCAATTTACTTTTTAAAGTCCGAATTTATTAATTTAATTGACAGACGTAATTAATAGACTAGTAAAAAGTAGTAGTAGTATGGCTCACTTATTTCAGTTTTATATTTAGCAAACGATTTGAAATAAATTAATAAAAACTTCGGTAATCTCTAGTCACCTAGTCTATCGATTTTTAAAATTTTTTTTGGTAATCTATCCGACTCGTTTTGGGTACGTAAAATCGCCCGCGGCTATTAATGTACGAAAACGTTACCTCATTGTCAAGGCTGTAATAGAAGTATATTGTGATATGTTTGTGTCAAATATTATAAATAAATGAATAATAAACCTAAATCAATGGCTAAATATATCATTATCAATATAGGCCAGAAATTAACTTTAAACAGCAGTGTCTGCAAGCAAGATTTGAGTATATAAACAGCAGCCATTTGTAAAATAGAGTGACTTCCACCTGAACCTCGCACTATAAGTCTATAAAAATAAAACTTTAACAAGAAGGCTGCTATAGTAAATGAGCATGGTTGCATCTGCTGGAAACATCGCTGGTGTTCATTAATAACTGAAAAGTTTTAATTCAATTGTTTAAAAACAGGTACATAAATGAAACAAGGAAACATGTTTGTATTTTTCAAAACATAAATCCTCCTCAAAATGTGAAATAATTATTAAAATGTAAAGAGTCACCTGTTTTTCACATTACTAGTCGCGGGCGATTTTACGTACCTAAAACGATAGATTACCGATTTTTTTAGTCTTTTAGTTTAGACTTTTTTAGTTTTTAGAGTTTCTAGTTTAGATTATGTAGTAGTATGTACTAGTATGTTCTATGTAGGCCTTATAAGTATGTATGTACTATGTAAAATCGACCGCGGCTAGTATTGTGCGAAAAAGTTACCTCATTGTCAAGGCTTTAATACTTTGAAAATTAATAGAAGTATATTCAGTATATACTATATTGTGATATATTTGTGCCAAATATTATAGATAACTGAATAATTAATAAACCAAAATCAAGGGCTAAATAAAAAATATAATTATATTAATTAATATATCAATATTAGCCAGAAATTAACTTTAAACAGCAGTGTTTGCGAGCAAGATTTGATATAACTAGGAGCCATTTGTAAAATAGAGTGGCTTCCCCTGAATCTCCCGCTATAAACGGCTATAAGTTTACAAAAAAACAACTTAAGATGGCTTCTAAAGTAAATGAGCTTGGTTGCATCTGATAAAAACAATGGCAAATCTTTATTTATTACTGAAAAGTTTTTATACAATTGTTTAAAAACAGGTACATTTACATAAATGAAACTTTGAAACATGTTTGTAAATTTCAAAACATAAATCCTCCAAAAAATGTGAAATAATTATTAAAATTTAAGAAGTCACCTGTTTTTTACTAGTCGCGGGCGATTTTACTTACCTAAAGCGATAGATTACCAAAACTTCTAACTGACTGTCACTCAGTTCACTGACTCCAAAAAGTTACACTCAACTGTTACTGTAAAATAAAATTATTTTTAGGCTAATTTATAAAAATAAAAACAAATGTGAAATAGGGCCTGCCCTCTTCTAGGCCCTAGGCTAAAATTACTAAAAATAAATTATAAAAGAAATAGGCCTACTAAAAATTTAACATTTTAGGACTTAATTTAAATTATAATTATAAATATAATACGGTTAATAACTTAATTATCTTAATAACTAGAGAATATTAAAAATTACTAGATGATAATAAGTGTTACTCCTCTGTTAGGTTAGAATCCAATGCCTCACCTAATATTAATAATATAACATTACCTAGCCAAATAACTTATATTATAAGTAATAATTTAGTGATTTAAATCTAGAAAGAATAGATGAGGTATAACTCTCTAATTTCAGGACCTAAAAAATTTGCCTAAATGGGCCTACTTAATATTTTATTACTTATAACATAATTTTAGGCTTATTACATACTCATGATTAAATGGATTGAACACTTTCTTCATGTTATGGTATGACTTACATCCATGTCTCTACACTTGCTAGTTCCGGAAAATGGAGAGTCAAACAAAAAGAGATTTTGGTTCCTTCCACTCTTCAAATGTCCAAGAACTTCAATCACTGTCTGAGGTAAAATAACAGTCACAGCTGACATCTCTTTTTTAAATTGTAATCTATGGTACATAGTCATTATGTTTAGACAAATAATTAATTGAATTTTTTTTCTTTGTAATTGTTTCACAGGAAGATTATGTACCTCCGAAAATTCCATTTGTTTTGCCAACCTTTAGCAATTATATTAGCGATGAAGAAAAAATTAATTTTGGAAAAAAGTTCAAAAAGGAGTTTTTCTTACTTGAGGTAAGATCTAATCATTTTTCTATGAGTTGATAACAAATTATAAAAATACAGCATAACCACAACTGTACAAGCTTCTAGATCTGTATCATTAACGTACTTTAAACCATAAAAGTAAATTAATCTTATTGAATACATGTTATGTAATGCAGGCATAACATTTAATGATTAATAGATGCATTTTGTCATGATAAGAATAATTTATTTCTGGATTTTTGTTACTGGACTTGTTTTGAAATTCGACTCTTTAATTGTCTTGGGTCACTGTTAGTAAACATCAAATTAGATCTACTCTACACAGATGTTGTTCTTTGCATGATTTGCTTTTAGTTGCCCCAGATGAAAGGGATTTTTTGTCTCAAGCACCAAGGTTTTTGAAAACTAATTGACTAATGAAGTGTGTAACAGTTATTCAAATCCACCATTTGAAGGATGTCATGTCATTCCCCTATGATCATTCTCTGATTGTTTGTTTACCTTATACAAATTCTTTTTATCTGTCAGTAATAATAAATAAAGTTGCACTTTCAAACCTTGAGCTTGATCGGGCAGATGAAGAAGAGTTCACCTGTCTCTGTAGACAGATCATGCCCAGCTACTTTTACTCTCCCTAACATGAGTCAGGTACCCACCAGAACTTAGTGGACTCAATGCTCACCAGTGGACTCAGGGGCATCCTAGTGACTCAATGCTCACCACTTTATTTTTGTTGTCAGTTTTAATTTTTTTTTGTTTCTCTTACTATTCGCAGGAAGCTTGCTGTTTTTTAAACCATGGTGCATTTGGTGGAGTTTTAAAACCAGCTTTGGAGACTGTTCATGTAAATGCTTTGTTTAAAAAACAATATCCCAAAATTGTATTAATTTTAAATTGAACAAAGTTGGTTCTGTGCTTAATATTAAGTAGTTTTGCCAAGCTATTTAAAAAACATTAAAACATTAATTTGATAATTAACTATTTTATTGGTATTACTGTAAATATATTTAACATTAAATAGGCCTAAATAAAAAAATTAACTGTCAATTTTGCATTTAAATCTGAAGCAGTTCTCACTTTTTGAAACAGGCTGATATTTAAAAAAAAAATATTTAAATAAAAATATGCATTTTCTATGTTGTACACATACGTTTTTTGGCATAATACTGCATTCAAACATTTTAAAATAAATTTTTGGGAACTTAAAACCAGAAATGGCAGGAATATTCAGAGAAGCAACCTCTGCGTTTCTATGACAGGGAACTGCTGCCATTGTTGGTGCATGTGTGTCGGAGACTGGCTGCATTTGTTGGTGAGGCTGTGAACCTTTGTACTTAAGATTCATACACTTGGCATTTAGGTACTTCAAGTAGCAGAGTTAAGATCCATTTCCTAACTCTTACCCAACTTAGTCCAATCCCTCTGTACCCCTAAACTCAACTAACAGCAGAAAAAATAAACTTGAAATTATATTATTTATTACTTTACTGCATCAGCAGTGCCTGTAGAAGTTCTGATATTTATAAGTCTATTAAAAAAATAGTTGGTTAGCCAGAAACTAGCATGAGAAAAGTATAACCAAGAACTATTTGATGGATTTATTGTCCCTAGGTTGTGATGCCTGTAGAAGTTCTGATATTTATAAGTCTATAAAAATATTGAGTTGGTTAGCCAGAAACTAGCATGAGAAAAGTATAACCAAGAACTATTTGATGGATTTATTGTCCCTAGGTTGTGATGCCTGTAGAAGTTCTGATATTTATAAGTCTATAAAAAATATTGAGTTGGTTAGCCAGAAACTAGCATGAGAAAAGTATAAGCAAGAACTATTTGATGGATTTATTGTCCCTAGGTTGTGATGCCTGTAGAAGTTCTGATATTTATAAGTCTATAAAAAATAGAGTTGGTTAGCCAGAAACTAGCATGAGAAAAGTATAACCAAGAACTATTTGATGGATTTATTGTCCCTAGGTTTTGATGCCTGTAGAAGTTCTGATATTTATAAGTCTATAAAAAATAGAGTTGGTTAGCCAGAAACTAGCATGAGAAAAGTATAACCAAGAACTATTTGATGGATTTATTGTCCCTAGGTTGTGATGCCTGTAGAAGTTCTGATATTTATAAGTCTATAAAAAATAGAGTTGGTTAGCCAGAAAGTAGCATGAGAAAAGTATAACCAAGAACTATTTGATGGATTTATTGTCCCCAGGCTGTAATGCCAGAGATTTGGTGCTGATCAACAACGCAACATTTGGTACCAACTCCGTGCTCAACAGCTTCCCACTGTCTCCAAATGATGTCATTTTAAGCTTTAACATCACCTATGGTAATAAATGTCATCCCCCCACCCCAGTCATTTGCATTTTGTAAAGAATGACTTAATAAAAAATCACTTTTAGTTATTTTTACTTTTATTTGTGCATGGAAAACTTCATAAAAAACCATTTTTTTTTTAAACTTCAGGAGCTGTAAAAAAACATATCCAACATATTTGTATGAAGACTGGGGCTGTCAACAGGGAGGCTGTTGTCCAGTTTCCTGTCTCAGGCAATGACCAGGTCTGTACACATGCATAGTCTCAAGTGTTTTGATTATTTAATGACAGGTCTACATAGTCTCAAGTATCTTAATTATTTAGTGATATGTTGCATTGTCTCAAATGTTTTAATTATTTAGTGATATGTTGCATTGTCTCAAGTGTATTAGTTATTTAGTGACAGATCTGGATTGTCTCAAGAATTTTAATTATTTAATGACAGGTTGCATTGTCTCAAGTATTTTAGTTATTTAGTGTGACAGGTTGCATTGTCTCAAGTATTTTAATTATTTACTGACAGGTTGCATTGTCTCAAGTATTTTAACTATTTACTGACAGGTTGCATAGTCTCAAGTATTTTAAATATTTAGTGTGACAGGTTGCATTGTCTCAAGTATTTTAAATATTTAGTGTGACAGGTTGCATTATGTCAAGTATTTTAATTATTTACTGACAGGTTGCATTGTCTCAAGTATTTTAATTTTATACTTCTTAAAATATATTTTTAATATAACCATACAACAAAAAAACTATTAATAGATTAACAATGCACTTGTCAACTCATTAAAAATCAACTACTAATGTTAACTTTGCTGAACATTCTGTGAGAATCTTTTCTTTGGAGTCTTGATTTAAAAAACTTAGAACACAGCATGTTTGTTGTTCCAGATACTCCAACTATTGGACCAAGAGTTGTCCAGAGGAGATGTAAAGCTAGTGGTGATTGATCACATCCCCAGCAACACACCAATCATCATGCCTGTTGCTGACATGATTCAAGCATGCAGAAAGGTGTAGGTTGTCTCGCCTGTCCAGTTGTTCTTGCCAATTAAATAGATCAACTTCACATTTAAATAGTGTGCTACTAATTTATGGTACTATTGGTTAACCTAGATGTACCAGCAAATGGTTTACAAATTAAGTCTGGAATTACCACTTAAAAGATTTTATTTGCAAAATATTGCGGTAATTGAAAAAAATCTACATTTTCTTTTTGAATTTGTTTTTTTTTTCTTTCTTGAAAATAAAATATCCATCATATGCTGTGGACGATCAGTTATGGCACAGAAATCACAAACTTATCGCCATTGTTTTAAATTTCAGCAACGTGAAAGTTTTAGTTGATGGGGCACATGCTCTGGGTGCTCTCCCTCTAAATATCAGCAGCCTTGACCCTGACTTTTATGTTTCCAATGGCCACAAATGGCTGTGTTGTCCTAAAGGTGTGGCCTTCTTGTATGTGAGACGAGAACTGCAGGGTCAAGTTCGTCCTGCTGTGGTGTCTCATGGTTTTGGCTCAGGGTTCAGCTCTGAGTTTGTCTGGGCAGGTAAGATATCTGTATGTTGTGGAGGTCTGATACTCGCATTATTTTATAAACCACACATTTATTTTTTAAACAAAGTAAGAAACACTTTAAGATTTTTCACTAGATACTTTGTCATGAGCTTTAGCATTAAACCCTGTATTCTATAAAGATGGAATAAACTTGTAATGATGCAACTGGTGTGGTTTGTATTCAGGGCTACATGACTACAGCTCTATGTTGTCTTTACACACTGTACTAGACTTCTGGCAAACTTTTCAACCTTCACACATTAGAGAGTACATGTACAAGACAGCCCAAGATGGAGGTTAGCATTTGTTATCCAATCTTATTATGGTCCTGTTAGTTTTAAAATAACCTTTTTAGTAAAGTTTATATTTTGTACAGCAGATGTAATTTGTAACTGTTAAATGTCAGTGATGTATTTTTATATACTTCTGTTTTACAGCCCAAATTTTGGTCAAATCCTGGAAATCTCAATTAGCTGCCCCATCCAGCATGTTTGGTTAGTTTTTTGTGGTCTGTTCTTGTTTAACATTGGTTGGTTATGTTTGTGTGGTCTGTTCTTGTTTAACATTGGTTGGTTATGTTTGTGTGATCTGTTCTTGTTTAACATTGGTTGGTTATGTTTGTGTGGTCTGTTCTTGTTTAACATTGGTTGGTTATGTTTGTGTGGTCTGTTCTTGTTTAACATTGGTTGGTTATGTTTGTGTGGTCTGTTCTTGTTTAACATTGGTTGGTTATGTTTGTGTGATCTGTTCTTGTTTAACATTGGTTGGTTATGTTTGTGTGGTCTGTTCTTGTTTAACATTGGTTGGTTATGTTTGTGTGATCTGTTCTTGTTTAACATTGGTTGGTTATGTTTGTGTGGTCTGTTCTTGTTTAACATTGGTTGGTTATGTTTGTGTGATCTGTTCTTGTTTAACATTGGTTGGTTATGTTTGTGTGGTCTGTTCTTGTTTAACATTGGTTGGTTATGTTTGTGTGGTCTGTTCTTGTTTAACATTGGTTGGTTATGTTTGTGTGGTCTGTTCTTGTTTAACATTGGTTGGTTATGTTTGTGTGGTCTGTTCTTGTTTAACATTGGTTGGTTATGTTTGTGTGGTCTGTTCTTGTTTAACATTGGTTGGTTATGTTTGTGTAAACTGAATGTCTTTAATTGGTTAGTTTTTTGTGGTCTGATCTTGTTTAACATTGGTTGGTTATGTTTGTGTGGTCTGTTCTTGTTTAACATTGGTTGGTTATGTTTGTGTAAACTGAATGTCTTTAATTGGTTAGTCTTTTGTGATCTGTTCTTGTTTAACATTGGTTGGTTATGTTTGTGTGAACTGAATGTCTTTAACTGGTTAGTTTTTTGTGATCTGATCTTGTTTAACATTGGTTGGTTATGTTTGTGTGAACTGAATGTCTTTAATTGGTTAGTTTTTTGTGATCTGATCTTGTTTAACATTGGTTGGTTATGTTTGTGTGGTCTGTTCTTGTTTAACATTGGTTGGTTATGTTTGTGTGATCTGTTCTTGTTTAACATTGGTTGGTTATGTTTGTGTAAACTGAATGTCTTTAATTGGTTAGTTTTTTGTGGTCTGTTCTTGTTTAACATTGGTTGGTTATGTTTGTGTGGTCTGTTCTTGTTTAACATTGGTTGGTTATGTTTGTGTGGTCTGTTCTTGTTTAACATTGGTTGGTTATGTTTGTGTGAACTGAATGTCTTTAATTGGTTAGTTTGGTTAAATTGTGTTTGTTTACTAATTGAGGATACCCTTTAAATATCTAAAGCTGCTTAAATTAAATTTGATCTCATAGGTTGAATATGTAAGAGATTTAAATAATTTAAATATTACTAAATTAATACTTTGGTTTTATTCCCCCATTTAAAGTCTCTAGAAACTAAAAAACACTCCTCTAAAGCATGAAATAGTTTTTTTTTCTGTAACTGTTGTTTGAGGTGGCTCCGTGATCATCTGCAGGTTCCATGGTCCTGGTCCAGCTGCCCAGTTGTGTCCACTCCATGTTTCCTGTCATAGACTACAGCGCTGCAGAGAGGGTCCAGAACATGCTGTATCATGACTTCAATGTAGAGGTATGTCAGTCATAGCTTGTATCATGACTTCAATGTAGAGGTATGTCAGTCATAGCTTGTATCATGACTTCAATGTAGAGGTATGACAGTCATAGCTTGTATCATGACTTCAATGTAGAGGTATGACAGTCATAGCTTGTATCATGACTTCAATGTAGAGGTATGACAGTCATAGCTTGTATCATGACTTCAACATTATGACAGTCATAGCTTGTATCATGACTTCAACATTATGACAGTCATAGCTTGTATCATGACTTCAATGTAGAGGTATGACAGTCATGACTTCAACATTATGACAGTCATAGCTTGTATCATGACTTCAACATTATGTCAGTCATAGCTTGTATCATGACTTCAATGTAGAGGTATGTCAGTCATAGCTTGTATCATGACTTCAACATTATGACAGTCATAGCTTGTATCATGACTTCAACATTATGTCAGTCATAGCTTGTATCATGACTTCAACATTATGACAGTCATAGCTTGTATCATGACTTCAATGTAGAGGTATGACAGTCATGACTTCAATATTATGTCAGTCATAGCTTGTATCATGACTTCAATGTAGAGGTATGTCAGTCATAGTGACAGTCATAGCTTGTATCATGACTTCAACATTATGACAGTCATAGCTTGTATCATGACTTCAATGTAGAGGTATGTCAGTCATAGCTTGTATCATGACTTCAACATTATGTCAGTCATAGCTTGTATCATGACTTCAACATTATGACAGTCATAGCTTGTATCATGACTTCAACATTATGTCAGTCATAGCTTGTATCATGACTTCAACATAGAGGTATGTCAGTCATAGCTTGTATCATGACTTCAACATTATGTCAGTCATAGCTTGTATCATGACTTCAACATAGAGGTATGTCAGTCATAGCTTGTATCATGACTTCAACATAGAGGTATGTCAGTCATAGCTTATATCATGACTTCAACATATGTCAGTCATAGCTTGTATCATGACTTCAACATTATGTCAGTCATAGCTTGTATCATGACTTCAACATATGACAGTCATAGCTTGTATCATGACTTCAACATATGACAGTCATAGCTTGTATCATGACTTCAACATAGAGTTATGTCAGTCACAGCTTGTATCATGACTTCAACATAGAGGTATGACAGTCATAGCTTGTATCATGACTTCAACATTATGTCAGTCATAGCTTGTATCATGACTTCAACATATGACAGTCATAGCTTGTGTGGCAGCATTCACGATCAGCAAGATTGATGAGGTCGTTAAATCAAAAATAATAATAATTAATTATATTACTCAAGAAAGTGAATTGTTTTATAATTCTTCAATAGATGACACATTTGGACAGAGACATTCTCATCAAGAGAAAACCTTGATGAACCCTAAGCCCTGTTACCAGATATATCTTTGTGTTGCAGGTGCCCATCAAAAGTGTCCAAGGAAGTTTGTACGTTAGAATCTCCGCTCATGTCTACAACGAAGCAAGTGATTATGAAAAACTGGCCAAGGCAATGCTACTGTTATCTCAAGATAAAGGAAATAAATTTTTATAGAAAATGTAAAGTTGTTATCCTCTTGTTAAAAAAGCATTAAAAAACCCAGTGGTTCCCATATCAAAATAACAGTCACACTTAAACATAAACTAGGTCTCCACATGAAATGGATGCTGATCAAATATAATTTTATTAACAGATATGTTTTAGAAGAGTCTTTATTTTAGTTTAGTCTGCTTCAAAGGTTTGTGTCACAACTTTGCCAGCCTTCTGATGTTTAAGAGATTTTGAGTTATTTAACTAGCTATAAAACACAACAGACACCTACAATCTGGTATTAAAATATATGCCTTGATTTAAATACAATCTGAGAAAGATTAGATTTGTATGACTATTTTATTATTTAAAAAGTGCATGTTTTATAATTTAATTACTACTAAACCATTATTTTGGTTTATAATTAAATTTAGAGATATTGGTTAATTTACTAAACTAATTCAATAATAAACATACAATTTTTAAAATGAATTCCAACACCGATAGTTGATAGAGTAGAATTTATTTTATATATATATATATATATATATATATATATATATATATATATATATATATATATATATATATAAAATTTAAGCTTTTAAATGTTCTGAAAATTGACAAATAATAAAGCAAACTTACTTTATTTAATAAAGTATATAAGCAATGTCATGACACCCCCCTCCCCACACACACACTCAATTATTGTTTGTTGCTTATTTAATGTTAAACATTGTATTATTTCCCTTTAATGTTTAATTGATTTCAGTGAAAATTTTCACTGACGTCTGTCTATTTGCAGCAAATCTAATAACCCTGTTTTTAATCACTCCAACAAATGAAGTGAATTTCCAGATATATTCGTTCCAAAGATAAAGCAATAGTTATTAATTTGTTATCTAATTAGATATTAAAGTAATAATTTAAAATCAATTTAAAATTAAAGAATAGTATAATCAATTTTACAAGGGGAGATAACAAAGGAATATATATGCCTGATAGGTTGAGAATTGTTGTGGAACCTGTTTTAAGCGAGTTTGTCTGGCCAAGCAATACATCTGATCCTTGATATGCTACATTTACATTGTTGCCTTAGTTTAAACATTCCATCATATTTTAAAATGGACTATCGGGTGTGAATGTTGAATTTATTCTTCGCCCCTGCTCGTTCTGTCATATCTACGTGCTCTAGTTTTCTTCTTGCACTTTAGGCAAACTTGACCTTGTGCCAAATTTAACTTCGCTCATTAAATCAATGTGAAGGCTCGTCCTTTAAATGGCTCATACAACAGGTACTGGGTGTCTGAATTGCTGACTTTCTTATGTGGCCTTGAAGCTTATAATAAAATACAGGATAGAGCACTTAATAAGCTCCTGTCATACATTACATCTGTATCAATTATTAAGACCTGATTTAGTAGGTGATCTGTTATGAGTAATCTGAGTTGTCGGCAGAGTTTCTTCCAGGCATCTCTTCTTTCCCCCCCCCCCCCCGAAAATTTTTTACCGCCCCCCCCCCCCCCCCCCCCCCGAACGAAATGAAATTTATATAGAAAATATATACTTTTAACAGTGTCCGCCCCCCCCGAAGAAAGTTTACCGCCCCCCCCCCCCCCGAAGATTTCAAGTGCCCCCCCCCCCCCCCCGGAGAAAAAAGTCTGGAAGAAACACTGGTTGTCGGTGGTCCCTTCGTTGAAATCTATGTAGTGGGCTGGGTGACTTTTTAGACCCAGCCATATTGTCAAAGACGTTTTCATTGTCTTCTTCCACAGGGCTAGATTCGGGAGGTCTTGCTGTCGGTCGTCCAAACGTCAAGACGTTTTAAGAGGCACCGTTTGTTCACGCTCAAGCAATCTATGAACGGTTTTAAAAAGGAGATCATTGTTAAAAGCCAAAAGCTTTATAATTTAACTTGTTTTCTCTGTCGTCAGTCTGTCTAGATGGAAACGCTTGAGCGAAATTTCGGGCAATGCTAACTGACAGATTAGTTTCAAAGTTGGCACGTGGGCCAAGACATAAAGAGAATGCACTGACATTACATTTGACTTAACTGGATGCCTAATTAACGTTTTATGAATTAATTAAAATTTTGTCCTGATTAGTAGGCTGTCTTGTCCAACTATTCTGCACTATTTTACGCGCTTTATCATGTTCATTAGGTGCGCAACTATAGTCTTGCAACTCTATTGAAATAAAAAATAAATGTAAAGTACTGAAAAAAATGCATGACAAACGTTTTAATAACAAGCTTTTATGTAATAATGCACTAATGCGGGGGGGGGGTGGATGAGGACGAATTTAACAATTTGAAACACGTAACAACGGGGATTTCCTAATTCCATGAAAATTGCTGACATAATGCTTAGAAATAGGATTACACACCTATCAATTACTTTTAAATTAATATGTAGATTTATGTCTTTATTATTAATTAAACTCAAAAATTTGTTTTCATAAGCCAATACAACATTTTTTTTAAAGATATTTTATTTAATAAATTTAGTAATTTAGTTGGTGAAAAAAAAATTATCCTACTAATGTACTAATAATAGATATTGAATGTAGATCTACATCTACACTAATCTACAGCCATCTTTGACAATCTTTGTGGCTTTAAAATTCAACAGAATTGTTTTGTTTAGTTAATTAAAAGGTATGGTTTATAGTCGGCTTCAATATATTTAACTTGTTTGTAATATTCCTAACACATGAGTGTTAAAGTTTTACCAAATAGTTTATCATTTTTATCAACACATCATTTTTAAATAACTGAAAATACTTTAGTGACTTTATTATTAGTCTTTGAATAGTTATTTAGTACTAGTGTCCTGGTTTTAGCTCCCTTGCTTCTAAGTTCTGTAGCAGGCTACTTAGATTAATAAATATCTTGTGCTAAGTCGACATATTCAGATATGACAGACTTTTACCTTTTAAAATGGTTATTTCTTATCATTATTCAATATTATAATACTAATAGTAATACCATCGTGAATCTATTGTCATTGCTTCTAGATATAGATCTATCAGTATCAGGCATCAACAACAGGTTAGCAAGAATGGTGTAGTTAGGGAAGAGCGGGCTTCGACCCTATTTAGAGAAAAAAATTGCGACTCGGCTTTATGGACGTATCTGACTATTTTTTTACATGAATTGTGAGACACCAAAAATAAAAACTGACTGGTAAAAAAAAAACAACAATCCACAGCAACCCATCCAAAAAAAACCAATCATCAAAGCCCATCCAATACGCCTAGTTATTAAAAAATGAAATTAATCTATTTTCAGACACTAATGAAATTTACAACTAAAAATAAATAAATTTGGAGGTGTATAGGATTTAGGGGGGGGAGGTGAATTGTGTGTAAAACACAAAAAAGTATCAAGAAAATTGAATCCGTGTTATATATAATTTTATGTTACCGCTAGATCTATTTCATGTAAAAAATGCCACCACCACCCAACTCACATGATACCCAAGTTGAACAGTGTGCTGTTTGTCATGGAACTGGGAGCAACAAGTTTGTTAACTTCCATCCAAATGTCTGTCCTTGAGATTCATCAAAGCACAAGTCTGTATCCAGCTGTTGCTACAATTTCATCCCGACCTTGCTTAATGTTCACTAGATCTCTTTACTGATAATCATACCCATACTAGGTCGGATGACACCAGTGTTTCTTTCAGACATCTCCCACCCCCCAGAGAAAAATTTCTGTGGGATAACACATGGTGCGGTAACTTTCTCTGGCAACAATGTATCAATATTGTGGGCAATTTGGTGTCACCCTTTGATAGTATATTTAACTTATATGAACTATCGGGAATCAATCATATTTGCTGTTTTTTTGGCTCGCATCCCTACTGATTATACCTTTACCACACAAATGTTATAGTATTATTTAATTTCCCCTTAGCTCAAATGTAGGTATTATTATACTTACATTTGAGCTAAGGGGAAATAATACAACAACTGACAACACGTAGCTAGCCCAACTAAAAATGCACTGTCTCAGGGGTTCTCAACTATTTCTACCCTAGCCTTAAAACAATATGTAACACATATGGTTACCAGCCAAGGGAGGGAATAATGAAGTTTTAATTCATTGGGTTGCAGCCCCTGTGGGACCGCAACTGAACTGTTGACGTAGTTTTTTTTAATGCTTTTGTGAGCGATGTTACCTGTGTCCCATGTCATGTGACATGGGACTGTGGGTAGTTTCGTGCCTAGCCGTGTCAGTCACGCGCAAAGCTGCTGTCTGTGGACACGGTGACCAAGATGTAGACCTAATGAAGGTAGTTATATAAATTACGTTTGTTAAAATACTTATTTGTGTATTCCTGCTAGTGCTGCATGTGCACACTAGTTAGGGTGAGTATTTATATAAGTATTTATTTGTAGTACTACTTATTGGTACTTGTTGGCAGTACTGTGTACTGGCCGAAACATATTTTATTGTACCCGTGTATATTGTAGCCTGCACGTGGTGTTGTCATGAATGTAACTTTTTATTTACATTTGTTTTAGGGCTACAGTTTGTTTTTCTTGGTTTCTTGTTGCTTCAGTATTTTCTCTTTGAAATTGTCGTACTACTGTGTTGCATCGCCAACATGGCTCGATGCAGTAAATAAAGCGAGTACTTGACAACTGTCGGTGTCAGTGTGTTCTAAATCTCAGGGTCAGCCCGTCTTAACCACAACACCTCAGTGGGTAAAAGCATCCCCATTGAGTGAGGGTTACAAATACATACTCTCATAGAATTTCAATTTAAGTTGCTACTTCAGACCAAAATAATATAGTTTTTTATATTTTTATATTCAAAGAAAATTTTATTTTGTTGTTCTAGTGAACAAACAAAATTTTGTTATTATAAGAGTTATGTTTTTTTTTATTTTGAGCTTCATTTTTATAATTGAAACAGTATTCAACAAACATATTTAGAGGGATATGGTACATCCTGGTATAAATCCAAGAAGAAAATGGATTGACTCCGAACTTCCTTGGGAGAAAATTGGCTCAACAAAGCAGGACAAGAGACATAACTCATTTATACCTTCAAGCTACCCCAAACCATTAGGCTTTTCCATTGACATTTAATCAGTTATCAAATGTTTGGCAACAATGACGACGCCAAGAAAAGCCTGTTTAAAAATGTGTCTCTACTACCACAACAAATAGGAGACCATCTCACCCAAATCACAGTTTATGCGCTGTTCGGGGAAAACCCTTTAGCCTCTTTACAGAACAGGATCACAAGCTTCAGGGGTGGAGGCGAGAGATTTTTGGATCAGCTAAATGCCAGAAACATTTTCCGCTGGGCGACTGTCTGTGTTCTAGCCAACAGCAACTTCTACTGGGACACAACAGGAGGGACTGGCCAGATCAAATGCTTCAGGTGAGTTGTCGGTTCAACAAAATGTTGGGCCAACTGTGTTAATTTATTTTTCAATTTTGAAAGTATATAACTATAACAAATCTCTTATTTTTTCTTAAAACATAAAAAAGTTCTTTTTAAATAAATAGAATAAAAGTTGTATAATGTTCAAGCTCTAACCTAAACTAGTGGTCAGTATGCGGCTATGGGCCAATCGCAGCTTTTTAAAAATTAAGTTGACTCCTAAGGATAAGTAAAGGAAAATGCCATCAGAGTAACTAGATCTGTCCCCCAGTTTCATACCCACACCCACGTTTCTTCCAGGCATCTAGAAATATATACTACTTTAACCAGTGCCCCCCTCCCAACCCCCCCCCCCCCCCCCTCTGCTACTATTGCAGCAATGTTTAAATGTAAAAATAATTTCACAGAATATTGTTTTTTAAAAGAATGTCTTTCCTCTAGCCGAGTTTTATGTGTTGTGTATTATTCATGTGTTTGTTTAGTAAGTAATGTTAATTATGTTAATTCTAAGTATTGAACGTAATTATTAGGTGCCATGCTGTACTGGACAGCAACATCCAGGTGCCAGAGAACACAGAGAGGAGCTGGTATGAGCACTGCCACAGCCCACAGTGCCAGAGATCTGCTGACCAGCCCAACCAGACCTATGAGAGCATCTGGAACTTGAACCAACCCTCCCCCAGACTTGAGGCTGTTCAGGAGTCTACTCCACTCAAGTATTTGCTTATGGCTAAATAGACAAATAAAATATACAAATGTCTTAACAATATAGAAAAAGTGTAGATTGGTATTAATAATTTCATATAGGCTCACACAACAAATTTTTAAAAGTAGCAGCTAATACTAATAGATTGTCACCTTATGTACATAGATGTATATTATTTACTATTACAGACCCTATACTTAATATTTACTTACATATATATATATACATATATATATATATATATATACATATATATATACATATATATACATATATATATATATATACATACATATATATATACATATATATATATATATACATATATATATTTATATATATATATATATATATATATATATATATATATATATATATATATATACATACATATATATATACATACATATATATATATACATATATATATATATATATATATGTGTGTGTGTGTGTGTTGGTGAGTGTGTAGGCCTAGTATATGCACATAAATACACATATACAGTGTTCTCTAAATACTTTGTAGCTCATATATCACTGAGTCGCAGGTCTTAGTTTTCAAACAAGGGATTGTCTCCTGATGAAGTTCATCATGGAGTTTATAAAGCTGTGAGGTTGAAAAAAGACAGGGTGGGAGGGTTTGAGTGAAATGACTCCCTAAGGTGTCAATGATCTACTTGACGTCCCTGCTCAACCATTTACAGACAGAGACTTGGAGGATCTGAGAGAAGAAGAGTAGATGGTTGGCTGATATTACAACCTTGGTCAGGAAGGTTTTAAACTTCAGCAACTTGCTAAAGATGAGAGTTGAACTATTGTTGATTTCTTGCAGTTGAGAAATTCAATTGACAATGCCATGTCAGCATACAAAACAATGTTCACTCAGACAAACAGGCAGCATCTAGGTTTAAAACAGTTTTTGTAAACAATTAAATAGATATGTATGTGTACAGTATGAAAAAGTTCTTATGGCAATGGGAAAGGGTTATGGAGTGTAGGAAGAGTTTATAAAGACTTAAAAAATGTATAAATACTAAATTAAGTGTAGCGTCAGTATTTCACACAAGTTTGCTTATCACATGTGAAGGAACAATGTATATGTGTGTGTACATATATATACACACTCACATATATATATATTATATTATATGTACACAATCTTTTGTCCAGCCCCACAGGAGGTGATGTTAGATTAGCTGCCACATTCCCTGATCAACTCTCAGCCCTAAATATCATCCAAAGAGTACCATCTATCCCCACGGTCAATGTCTGCCAGTTTAATGGTGAGAAATGGTGTTCTGTTGTTTTAACAGACATTTTAACACTTGAGTATAAATTATTTTTAAAATGTGACTGAACTCATTATGGAGAGAAAAACACTTAACATTTATTTGAGCACATATCATTTCTATGTTGGTATGTATTAATTGCAACCAAGAGGTTAGGTTACATTACCAACACTCACTGAATAGTTTACAAACTGATAAACTGACAATATTTGTTTCTCCAATTTACTGCATACAGGCCTACTAACTCTAGATACATTTTTTTTTTAAACTACAGCAAACAAAAGACGTCAACAGAGAATCTTATCATATGGAAATGTATCCTGGGCAAGAGGTGATTTCAGCCCAGAAAATTTGGCAAGCATGGGATATATCTATACAGGTAAATTATGACAATTATTTTTGGAAGTTGTTACTGACCCTGGACAATAACATGCTCACAGTATAAAATAGAACATGTACAATAGAAACAAAACATGGGTATGCTAATTAACTTCAAGTATGTTTCAAACATTACAGGCAACTTGGATCAGGTCAAGTGTGACTTCTGTGGCTTTAGGTCCCCTGCAGACTGGACAGCTGGGTCAAGTGGCCAAATTTCTTCCTTGCTGAGAAGGCATGAAGAGTTTAAGCCTGACTGCCCCTGTGTAATCAATTCCCGCAGGTTGTTACCTTAAACCTATCCGGCGGGTTGTTTCCTTAAACCTAACCAGCAGGTTGTTACCTTAAACCTATCCGGCGGGTTGTTTCATTAAACCTAACCAGCAGGTTGTTACCTCTTAAACCAATACGGCGGGTTGTTATTTTAAACCTAGAACTTTATCCAAAGCTAGGCTAATTTTTGGTCGATAAATAATGTTTTTACATGTTCCAAGTTTAACAGAACAAAAAACATTTCCAAGTTTTTCTTATTATTATTTTAATATATTTATTTCTTTGAAATTAAAATAAATCTATATTCTTTTTAAAATAATGGTGGTGGTAATATTTCAAACATTTCGTGATTTTTAGAAGCTTTAATTTAACTTGCTTCCTCTTGCTTCTGTCTGTCATGCTTCGTCCATCTGATCATCAATTGAAACTGGCAAGCAAAATTTCAACCACTTCTAACTAACCGATTTGTTTCAATGCAATCTGACATCAAATTTGACATAGGATGTCTAATTAATTTTTAAAGATTTAATTTAAGTTTCCTATATATTAAAGTACTATTTACAACGCTATTATAAGCAAATGTTTCATGTTCATTTAGTGTGCAATTGTTTTTAGTCCTGCAACTTTATTAAACAAAATTTTTTTAAAGTACTGAAACAAAATGCATTAAAATTAAAAAATTCATAAAAGAATTTTTATTACAAGATTTTATATAATTATGCACTAAAATTTAAAAAGGAGAAAAGAAACGGTACACTATTATTTAAATAACTATAAAAAATATTTCTAATATACATTTATAACTGTCCATTATTTAAACAAAAATTATATTGCGCAATGTGCACAATGTGCACACCGATTCCAACTAGTTCCAGCAGTTAAAACCTGAATTTGTCAATTAAACCTACAATCTAACAGTCCTACGATTCTTTCAAATTTCATTTCAAACGTTTATATTTTTCAAATTTAAAAAGACCTGAGATGTTGGTGTAAAGTTACTTTTTATCTATTCTGAACTTTAAAAAAAAAACAACCACTGGTTGCTTAAAATAAAGAATCTTTCTGCCATTGTTGAAATGCATTTTTCAAGAATGCACTATCAACTATAAACCATGTTTAATTTAAAAATAGATTAAAAGTTTTAAAATTATCTAAAAATTATTTTATTTTAAAATAATGAAAATATTTCCAGTCATGGATACATTTTTATCTTAACATGCACAACAAAGTTAGTTATTAAAATAAATCTCAAAAGCAAAAGAATAAATACAAAATAATGCTTGAATTAATAATTAATTTAAAATAATTTTTTTGTACAATAGATTACTTTTTTCGCCTTTGGTTTTAGCTTATAATGTTACCTGTACCAATGTTTAAATTCTTTTTAAAAAAATATTTGTAGAACATTTTATTTTGTCCTGATTGTTTAATTTCATGCAGTTGTGTAGAATACATTTTTTGTGTAATATGTAGCTTGTGTTCTTGTTCATTCCTTAAAGGGTATGTATAGTATATGTGTGAATCCAGCCTTTACTCAACAGCACCCTCACACAACTCACTCTCTGGCCAGTTTTCAATCTGAAATTAATGAGCTGCCAGTGTGTCCATTTATTTTAGGATTTTTCCCAAGTACTCAGATCTATCTGCATAGGGTAAAACACCTGTGTTGTATATATTTAACATATATAACTTAACCGTCAAAAATATAAATTGACTATGCATACATTCATCATTTTACCTGATTTTAATCACTCTTGAACATTTTGATTGTCCATAATTGGTTAAAAGAAAAGCAGAAGTTGATTTTTTAATATAAAGAAGTGTTATGTACATTTTTTTGTATTAAATAAAGCTCCACTACAATTGGTTTCATTTATCACCTTTATGGTTTTCTCTGGAGTAAGATTCATATTTGTTTACAAATGCATATGTTTCTGGCCTTTATTGCTAGACATATTTTATGGCATGTTAAGCACAGTGTTAAATATTAAAAACGTCCGTCACACATTTCCCCGTTTAAAAAAAATTGCAATGTTCCTCTTTGCTGACATTGGTCATTTAATTACTTAGCATTTTTCATATTTTACTTTATTAAGTAAGTCTCAAATAGGATACACATTATCCACCAGTATCATGACATAAGGGTTACTTTGTTGATATAAGAGTACCCCTGGGAGTCTTTCTGATGTTGATTTTTGTCTTGTCATTACAGCCAACACTGATAAGACTAATTGTAGCTTACTGTATCAAACATTCCAAAATATTTAGTCCCTAAGCGATTGGAATGCAGATTGTTTATAAATGTGTTTATTTTAAAAGTTATTTATTAAAAAGAGCAGATCCACTGCCCTTGTATTTCAAGGAACTGAGTGCGTTGTAAAACATGGCATCATGAAAAGTCATCTCGGTTTGTATACTAACGTTTGGACTTGCAAGACATTTGGTCTGAACCTACACATGTGTGATGTGGACTAAGAGAAAACATGAAAACCTACAGCATCTCACTAACTCACTGAGTGACACTACAGGGCAGCAAGTAGCCGCACTACATTAATCCATTTTTTCCCATTCCACCTTACATTACACAATCATAATGTAAAAAAAATTAATGAAATTTATAGAACAGTTTATTTTTTCAACACTTTAAACAGTCATAGTTAATCAAATATATACAAACCAAAACATAAGAATTCTATTTTTATGGCGGTAATTGATTTTTAATTCGTTTTAACGTCTCTTTTTACTTTTCAGTAAATAAGTGAGTATTCAAAACATCTTAAGTCATAAGAAGCTTAAAGATTTGAAATTATATAGAATTATAAATTCAATATAAATTAATTTAATTGCATGTTACTGTTAGCATAGAAATTACAGTGTATTATTACAGCAGTCAATTGTTATGAATAAGAAAACCAACACCAGCAAGTAAAATTCCATACATACCTTCTTCAACATCACTGTTCACAGAAATAAACATTTACTTTTTAGGCTTGAATCCAGGAAGAAAGTACACACGGATTACAATGTCTGTTTTTCCAAAGGCCAATTCAATTTGCTCTTTGACCTCCTCCCAGATGAGTTTGTCCAGCCCGCATCCAATGGCTGGCATGGCCAGTACAGTGACGCCCCGCTCCAGACATCTGTCCCTCAGGTTCAACAGGCACTGCTTCATCTGGGCCATGGTTGGTTTGTTGTTGTATTTGGTTTTGGTCACTAGATAGAACAGGTGGCGATGTCCATGTGGCAGGACAATAACCTCACCAACATCAGCTTCTGGAGGTAAACATTTTTTTTACTGGTTTCAAATGTAATAAAAGATATTTAAAAAATCATTTCTAATTGCTTTAAATCTATTTGCAAAGGGCACAAGTAGGGGTTCGTGCATTACGTAAATCTATTTGCACAAGTAGGGGTTCGTGCATTACTTAAATCTATTTGCACAAGTAGGGGTTTGTGCATTACGTAAATCTATTTGCACAAGTAGGGGTTCATGCATTACGTAAATCTATTAGCACAAGTAGGGGTTCATGCATTACGTAAATCTATTAGCACAAGTAGGGGTTCGTGCATTACTTAAATCTATTTGCACAAGTAGGGGTTCATGCATTACGTAAATCTATTAGCACAAGTAGCTGTGCATTACTTAAATCTATTTGCACAAGTAGGGGTTCGTGCATTACTTAAATCTATTTGCACAAGTAGGGGTTCGTGCATTACTTAAATCTATTTGCACAAGTAGGGGTTCGTGCATTACTTAAATCTATTTGCACAAGTAGGGGTTCGTGCATTACTTAAATCTATTTGCACAAGTAGGGGTTCGTGCATTACTTAAATCTATTTGCACAAGTAGGGGTTCGTGCATTACTTAAATCTATTTGCACAAGTAGGGGTTCGTGCATTACTTAAATCTATTTGCACAAGTAGGGGTTCATGCATTATGGAACCAAACAGAAGCCTGAACATCTGACCAATTTGCCTTACTTGGATGGGGTGATTGTTGATACAAATTTTATATCTGCTCAAGAGAAATTTTTTTTAACACAAGAATACAGGAACATTTGTGATATTTTAATAAAAAAACAATCAGATTTTTATAACTGGCCCATGTTGCTAACTGATTGATATGTTTAGAGGATTTAACTTCATTTGCTAAATAAACTAGGCTATTTATTTATGGTACAGTCAAGTATTTTAATTAAAATAAAAATTTTATAAAGAATAAATGAAACAAAAAATTAACATAGGCAAAATAAACCAAGAATTTAACAGCTGTCAACATACTTTGAGCTTTAGCTTCATTCTCACATCCAAACCTTTTCTTAAACTCAGCAGCGATGCCTTTCCCCATATGTAAATCTTTGCTGACACACTGAACAAGACTTACTGTCTCATCACAGGAGAACAGATCTCCCTCCACTTCTATCAGTTTCATAGCTCAACTGAAACATCAAAGTTTTATCAGTTTCATAGCTCAACTGAAACATCAAATTGCTATCAGTTTTCATAGCTCAACTGAAACATCAAATTGCTATCAGTTTTCATAGCTCAACTGAAACATCAAATTGCTATCAGTTTCATAGCTCAACTGAAACATCAAAGTTCTATCAGTTTCATAGCTCATATATATATATATATATATATATATATATATATATATATATATATATATATATATATATATATATATATATATATATATATATGAGTGAAAGTATATGTGTGTTTGTATCCTTTATGCATTACTACACCTTTTATCCGATCGCCAAGAAACTGGTGAGTTATTGTGAATGCTCCTGGAAAGGTTTGTGCGAAAAAAAAGGTCTTACATATTGAATTTTGAATATTCAGAGGAATTAACCAGGCTGAGATTTTGCGAAAAGATTAACTTGGTTGTTTCCCTTTGTTCAGTGGGACTCTAATCTATCGTTCTAAAAAAAAAAGATTAGTAGTAGGCCTACATTTCTAAAAAAAAAAAGCCATTGGTAATCTATCTATGCATTTTAAAATGAAAGTATGTGTGTTTGTCTATATGTTTGTCTTTTAATGCATTAATCAGCTTTTGGAAAGTTGTTGAGAATACTCATTTGGGGAAAAATTATTAATTGAAGTGGTGGTGACCCAGAAGGGTGCTATTTGGCGCCCCCTGATCAGTGTTTCTTCCAGACTTTTTTCTCCGGGGGGGGGGGGGGGGGGGGCACTTGATATTTTTTTTGGGGGGGGGGCGGACGCTAGTAAAAGTGTATGTTTACCATATAAATTCCATCTCGTTTGGGGGGCGGTAGACTTTTTTTCGGGGGGGGGGGGAGGGCAGAGAGATGCCTGGAAGAAACTGATATCATCTTGATTTATTCCTAGGAATTGCCTAATCGAGCGCCATGTTTTTTTAAATATTTCGGAAACTGCTTACAATTCCATCTCTCCTATATCTAGTAATTTATCATTCGAGATGGTGTTAGTCCTGTGGATGACTTTTATCCTTCGCAACCAAAGCACGTGATGCCTGGAAGAAACTCTGCCCCTGATCACCTGCAAGCACTATGGCATGGCGACCACATTTATTTTAAACAGCACTATATGATAGAGACACGGTTGTGGTGGTTGGATGGTTGTGTTATGGTGGTTAGGTTCTTGTTGTTGGGTGGTTGGTGGTGTGGTAGTTGGGTGGTTGTCGTGGTTGGGTTGTAATGGTTTTGGTTGTTGTGGTGGTATCACTTTCAGACGGAGTGGTTCGGAATTGGTCAAAATACACGTCAATAGAAAATAAACATACAGCAACGGACAAACGTTTTTGCACATTCAAAGAATGTTTGAAATTGCATAGTTTCATAGCGGGTTTCGGAATATTTCGTGCCCATACTTTCACAATTTGTAATGCATTAGAATTTTTAATGCGCTTATAGTGATTTACTAATTTACTGGTTAGTAATTATGCGATTTACAGCTGTTTGATGCGGTCCCTATTACACCCATATCGCCAAAAATGGTGTCAATGGACACCAGCGAGTTGACGAGATTCCTTCCATAGTGTTGTTTACATGGAATAAAAACGTGCTTTTTTAGATTTAGACCGTAAAAAAAATAAAAATAAAAATTTAAGCCTAAAATTAATTCAGAAATTTTATATTTTTAGAATAAATGCTATAAAAGTTGCAATTCCAGAGAACTTGAAAATAATTTGTTGAGTTTAAGGCTACATTTCTATTTATTTTCATCAAGCCTAAGTTATAACCGGATGTTTCACTTTCGTAAGACAAATATTGATTGGCTGTGAACTTAGTGATCGATAACTGTTTACAAAACTTTGCAGATCAAGTTTTTAAATAACAATGCAAATTTAAACCCCATGATCTAGCTTTTCTATTTTTAGCTTTTACCTTTGAGACTTTTCTCGCTGGCGTCCATTCGTTTATAGATGCACAAACATAGTTTAAGGTAGATACTACCTGAGATGTTTATACATAATTTTTTTTTCTTTTAATTTAAAAGCATAAAGTTATGTGCTATGTAAAATCGCCTACTCTCTTCAAAAGTACACAGTGAATTCCCTAATAAGCACATTGTGACAAAAGTGCGAAACCCATTCCCAATAGGCTTGAAAAGTCTATGTAATCATACTAAACAAAAGTAAAATCTTTAAAAAATATGTAAGGGGTCGTCCATAAATGTCACACTCGTAGGGGGGAGGGGGGTCCATAATTTTGTAACGGTGTGTGATGGGGGGGGGGGGCCTCACAACGTCACAATTTTGCATTATAAAAAAGCAATGTTAGAAAACGAGTTTTAACCGTTATTTCGCGTTTTAGAAAACGGTTTAAATAAACTGTAATAGGAATTGATCAAAATACTCTATATAGACAGAGTTCTGACAAGATTTTGGAAATGTATCGATGTTGTAAGAAAAATTCAACTGCAATTTTGAGGGAGGCTATAGGCTTGACGTCATTTTAGGGGGGGGGTCTGACTTTTTGTGACGATGAGTGACGGAGGGGAGGGGGGGGAGGTAAAAATCGTCCAAAAAGCGTGACGTCATTTATGGATGAGACACCCCAAGCGATAAAATTCTAGTTAAATGTATCAAGATTAAGCCATCTGGGAACCATTGATTACACTCTTTTTCCAATTTTTGTATGGAATATAAGCCGTTGAAAAGCCATTTTGAATTGCGTCACACATTTTTCTCACTGAAAAATGTCTGACGCAATTCCTGGTCATAATTCCTAGGCATATCGGTTTGCACGAGCGTCGTGCCACGTAACTGATATTCCCCTTAACGGATATTCCCCTTATGACACGTTTACCCGTAGGGCCCTAACGGATATTCACTCATGACACGTTTAACAATCTATAAAATACAAGAAAAAAGACTGGACCACGCGCTAAATATACTAGTAATGAAAATGTCTCCACTGGTACTAGATCTACTCAAGATTACGTGAATGTTTCCAGGAGGCACCGCGCGTTATCTAAGGTAAATTAAGCCGAGTTAACCGATTGTAATCGAAATGTAATAGACAGTACAGTTTTAACGGGTCATCCATAAATGACGTCACGCTTTTGGGGACGATTTTTGCCCCCCCCCCCCTCTCCCCTCCGTCACACGCCGTCACTAAAAGCCAACCCCCCCCCCTAAAATGACGTCACACTTCAGCCTACAATCCCCCCTCAAAATTGCAGTTGAATTGTTTTTAAACATCGATATTTTTCTAAAATCTTGTCTGAACTCTGTCAAAATAGAGTATTTTAATCAATTCCTATTACAATTTATTAAAACAGTTTTCTAAAACGCGAAATAACGTCTAAAATTCGTTTTCTAACATTGCTTTTTACTTTCTCGTATATACGAAGTATAGAGAAAGTCTTGTAGTCGTGCAAAAAAAAAATCGAGATTTTTGCAGATCTCGAGAGTCGGAAAAACAGTTTTGCAATCTTGTCCGTATGTCTGTGTGTGTATGTGTGTCTGTGTGTCTGTAAACACGATAACTTGAGTACCGTTACAGCTAGGTTGATGAAATTTCATATATAAGTATAATATCAAAATCGTAGATCCGTATAAACTTTTGAGCGATTTCCGATAACCGGAAATGGAATTTTTTTACTTTGAATTGTTCAAAAGCCTATAACTTGAGTACTATTTCAGATAGATAACTGAAATTTCACATATAAGTAAAATATCTAATTCACTGTCTTCTTTCAAATTGTGAGTAATTTCCGTTGACGGAAGTATTAATTTTCGCTATTTCCTATTTCTAAAAAAAACTCATGTGAATTTATAAAGTACTAATAATATTCCGCACCATTATGCACATTTTATTTGGCGTTCACTTGGTGTGCAATAGTTTTTCTACGAGATTCTATTCTATTTTTAAAAGTTTAAGTATTAAAAATGGATTAAAAATCATATCTATATCCCGAGTTGCCATCCCCTGTTGTTTTATATAAGAATATTCGAGAAAATTTAGGGGAGATCACTCCCGGTTTATTTATAATGCAAAAGTGACGTCGCACTATCTGACCTCCCCTCCCCCTCCCCCTCACACATCGTCACAAAAATTACGGAACCCTCCACACCCCCCCCCCCCCTCTACGAGTGTGACGTCATTTATGGACGACCCCCTAATGTATTCTCGTTTAAAGAGAAAAAGTTTAAATTCTGAACACTCCCGCTGGGCATAACGATCTGCTTATATTTAGAGGGACTGTCAGTCTATCGCCAGATCGTGTATTTTACTGGCCATATATCTTAATACGGCGTTATACTTGAAATTACGAAGTACTTGCGCCGCGCTGGGTGTTAAGGATACAAAAAATATTGTGTTAGTCGCTGGACTGAAAAAGATGCAATTTTTGCGCTCTGGTGAAGTTTTTCATTCGCTCGATAGCCACCCAAGGACACAGACGTTCCATGATTTCATTGAGTGTGCATGTGCTTAGATATAAACAGTGTTTTTCAAGAAAATATTCGGTAGGGGCTTGGGAGAGGAGGGGGAGCGAATTAAGGGGATATGCGCGGAAAAACATCACAAATTTTCTTGTTTTTGTCATGATGGGTTTCTTGCACTTTTGGATACTTTGTCCATTTTTGTATAAAGAAAATAATAACTTTAAAGAGAAAAAAATATTTTATGTGTTTAAATTACGATTTTTATGACCCTATTAATTAAAAAATAATCAATTTTTCCCAATCTTACAAGCTCTCTATGAAAAGTTTTATAGCCGTCATTATATTGTATTTGACATCATTGGAAAGCTGGATTTCTCATGTATCTAATAAACTTAATTTCCTACATCTCGGAAACACCCAAATCTTACAATCGGCTTTGCAGTTTACACAGATATGGTACTTTCCTGACCTAGTTTTCGTTACTTTTGGCTGTTTTTCTCAGTTCGCATGTTTTTAACACTAAAAAGCCTACTACTTTTTTATTTATTAACCAATGCCAACCATATTTTCAGAAGTTGTTCTTCGTGCAAAAATACAACTTTTGTCACGAGGGAATTGTGATTGCTTTCATAGAAAAAAAGTATTTGGTAATTAATATGCACATTTTGAAACTTTTGAATACTAAAAAGAGTACGATTTTTCACACCTTGTAAAATTCTTACTAGTAATTATTTCAAAAAGTTGTCGTGACAAAAGTTTTAATATATACTGAAATATAAGCAGTTTAAATTTGATTGCTATAGGTGCATAAATAAAAAAGCCTTAGTATTTTTAAAAGTATCGAAAAATTCAAAATGGCGGAGGTTTTTTGGGTTTCCATGACAACCAAAATTGTTTTCGACCTTTTTTTTTTTGCTGTTTAAAACTTACTTTTATATGCCAAATATGATAAAAGTATTCAAAAGGCTTTAGGTCTTAAACTGTAAAAAATAGAAAAAAACATAGCATATCCCCTTAACAGTACATTATTGCGGATAGTTGATTTAGGACATTGTAGGGCTAGCTTGTCTTTACGGAGGGATGCAGAGTTGGACTTAGCGAGTATTTGCTATTTGATTAGTTTGCCGCGGATAGTTTATGTGTAGTGCGAGAATGAAGCGGTGAAGTCTCCCGCCTTGTTGTTAGGCTCCTGGCAAATATCAGGCCCTTGTCTCGCTCACATCGCCATTTGGGCTCACACAATATATTTAGCTCCTGCAGTACAGCTCTTGAAACAAACTAAGCTCATTTTAACATCTGCTTACATTTTAAAACTAACATAAAACTCAAAGTTAAATTGAGACGAGTGTTTGTTTAAAAAAAAACACACCAACGTGTAAATAAAACACGTTATTTATATTACCAACGTGAGACAGCTTAAAATTAAATGCAGTTTCTAACATAATTGCAAAAGTGTGTGGTAACACTTTCTAAAGCTCTGCACCCGCCCCTCTGGAGTGTGACGTCATTCATGGACGACCCCTAATGGACACCAGCGAGAAAAGTCTCAAAGGTATTTGAGAGGTCCATAAATTAATTTAAAAATCATGTACAGCGTAGTTACAATTAATATGGTTATAAAATCATGCCTTTCTGTTTTTTTCGGACTTTACTAAAGATTGGATGTATTTGATGTTTTTAATATTTTCGGTAACTAAATACAAATTTAAAAAAAAAGCAAAAACAATTTGGTTTTCACGTGTAATGGCGACATAAACAATGGCATCCTGCTATTGGATAGGCCGCCATAAATTTTATTGTACACATTGTAAGCTAAAAATATAAAACTAGGTCATGGGGTTTAAATTTGCATTGTTATTTAAAAACTTGATCTGCAAAGTTTTGTAAACAAATAGTTATCGATCACTAAGTTACTGTACAGCCAATCAATATTTGTCTTACGAAAGTGAATCATCCGGTCATAACTTAGGCTTGATGAAAATAAATAGAAATGTAGCCTTAAACTCAACAAATTAATTTCAAGTTCTCTGGAATTGTAACTTTTATAGCATTTATTCTAAAAATTTAAAATTTCTAAATTAATTTTAGGCTTAAGTTTTTTTTTTTTTTTACGGTCTAAACTAAAAAGCCAGACACCCCCCCCCCCCCTAAAATGACGTCACACCTCAACCTACAACCCCCCTCAAAATTGAAGTTGAATTTTTTTAAAACATCGATATTTTTCTAAAATCTTGTCTAAACTATTACAATTTATTAAAACAAGTTATCTAAAACGCGAAATAACTTCTAAAATTCGTTTTCTAAAATTGCTTTTTAAAATTGCTTTTAAAAAATGTGTCACGTCGCAACATCTGAACCCCCCCCCCTCCTCATTACACATCGTCACAAAATTACGGACCCCCCCTTCCCCCTACGAGTGTGACGTCATTTATGGATGACCCCTATGGTACTAAGTTTTGAGACGTCTACCAAATTTGTGTGCATTTCTACATTGGAGGGGGGGGGGGGGAGTCTAGTTGTCGGTAACCATATTACTGTGGGTCATTTCAACAAGTGTTTAATCCAGACTTTCTTCTCCGGGGGGGGGGGGACTTGAACTTTTCGGGGGCGCGGTAGACTTTCCTCGGGGGGGGGGGCGGACACTGTTAAAAAGTATATATTTTCTATATAAATTTAAGTTTGGGGGGGGGGGGGGCGGTAGACTTTTAGGGGGGGGGGGGGGCGAAGAGATGTCTGGAAGAAACTCTGCAGTAGACCGATGTTAGCAGCCCCTTTCCTGCTAATCGGTCTGTCACCACCCGCCCCGCCCCGTATTTCGGTGTTTGGCTACTTTACTAGAACTCTAAAACTGCTTCAAAAAGCCAAGCTGCAAGTTAAGTGATGCATTAAAACAAGATCTAGATCTATATTAGACATGCAATATGTTCTAAATACCTGGACTAATAACTACATATGTAGTCTAGATCTAGACTAGATCTAAGAGTAGGCAATAGAAAAATTAAAGAGGACCTCGAATCTAGATTCTAGATCTAGAATATCGAGATCCAGATCTAGATCTATATCTAGAAGTCTATATGCCTACTTAGATATAGAAGTTGAACTAAAAACGAAAACCGATCTTTGCTAATTTAAACGGTGCAATAGAAAAATATATTTGTAAGCTATATACCAGTACAAAATGTGCAGACGTGAAGTAGAATAGAGATTCTAGCTCTAGTAGCTGATCTAGTTTTCTTATACTTTTTATTTAGAAAGAAAATGTTGGCACTTGGCAACAAATCAACAGGAAGTGACGTCAAAATGGTGCGTAAATTGTGCACATTTCTCAGCTGGATTTTAAAAAAAAAATCGCACTGCTGGTCCGACAAATTCCCAAACTTGATATCTTTAAGGCTGACAAAATCCCCCCCCCCTCCCATTGGTGACACAGTGACTGACGTAATCCCAGCTTGGTTTTAAACTGAAAGAAGTGCTGAAGGCCATGACCAATAGGACACTTTAGTGGACTGTTAGACGCTTGGAAAACGAGGCAATCAAATAACTGGCTGTGAGAAGTGGATGAGGGGTGTCATCTGAATGGAGAGTGACACACCACCCTGAAAAAAAAGTCTGTTATATATTGAGACAACATGACACAGGAGTCCCACTCAAAGTTCATAACCCACGAGCAGATGGTTGTAGTGGAGTCAGTTATCCGTCATTTGAAAATATCTGTGATCGAACTATATCATTGGCACAATGGACTAACCTGACCACAACCCCCCCCCCCCTAGACCCCACTGGCAGGTTACAGAGATCTTTCTCGGTGGAAGAGGTTAAGGGAGTGTGGGAAGGGTCGTCTTACGAACAGGCACAGGGAAGTAAAGTGTTTCTACCACCCCCCCCCCCCCAGGTGAACGATAGATGTAAAGTCACGTGCTTTGGTTGCGAAGGATAAAAGTCATCCACAGGACTAACACCATCTCGAATGATAAATTACTAGATATAGGAGAGATGGAATTGTAAGCAGTTTCCGAAATATTTGAAAAAAACATGGCGCTCGATGAGGCAGCTCTTAGGAATAAATCAAGATGACATCAGTTTCTTCCAGGCATCTCTCTGCCCTCCCCCCCCCCCCGAAGAAAGTCTACAGACCCCCCGAACGAGATGGAATTTATATAGTAAACATACTTTTACTAGTGTCCGCCCCCCCCCCCCCCCGGAAAATGTTTAACGCCCCCACCCCCACCCCCGGAGAAAAAAGTCTGGAAGAAACACTGGATGACATCGCAAGAACGGCGCTTAACTGGACGCCTCAAGGAAAAAGAAAGCTGGAAAGGCCAAGGGAGACGTGGAGGCGTACAGCAGGGAAGCAGCTGACAGAGGCAGGACTGTCTTTGAGGACTTCACTAAGAATAACAGGAGGCAAACATATGTGGAGGGAGCTTTCTGTGGCGGGCCCATGTGTCTTGGGCACAAACAGGAAAAGATGAAATCACGTGCAACCTAATCAGTGAGCTACATTACAGCTAATGGTAGCTCTAGGCTTGCCGGATTTGTCTTTAAATTGTCGTGACTTTTGTCCTACCGAACACCAAGGTCGTGACTTTTGTCCTACCGAACATCAAGGTCTTAAGTTGTGTCCACAAGGACACTACTATCGGTCACAAGCTGTAGTAGTCTAAATTTCGTTCCATCAAATGCTCCAGCCAGGAAGTCTACCGCCCCCCCCCCTCCCCCGAACGAAATGGAATTTATATAGAAAATATATACTTGTATCATTGTCCGCCCCCCCCCCCCCCGGAGAAAAAAGTCCGGAAGAAACACTGCTCACCATTCACTATACTGCAACAATTTTTATTTTGGTTGCCAAACAATCGATGAAGAAGGTAGTTACATCAACCAGTAAAACCAAGTAGCATTCTATTCCTAAACTTTGATTGTGAATAGTTCAGTAATACAGCTCAGAATTTGCTTTTTCTACCCTTTTAGGCGCCCCCTAATGGTCGGCGCCCGGGGAGGTTGGCCCACCAGCCCTCCCCTAGATACACCTTTACTCAAAGCAGGAGAATGCGAGTACGCTGAATTCGATGCCGACCATTCATAAATTCAATGATTGAGTACATTGTCAGATCGTGGTGCTATTCCACGCTGTACTATCGCAGACCTGCTTGAAGAAATAATACAGGTAGTCGTGTTTGTTGTTCTCGGCAGTGGTAGCTAGTTTTATCAAATGTTTAGTTGTTAAGTAAATAACTTCACAACTAAAGCGTGCAGCTATTGATCAAATCAACATTGATACAACATAATTCAGGGATTAAGGAAATAAGACCATCTCCAATAATTTGCATTTTATTCGAATTAAAACATTTATTGTTTACTAAATACATTCTTTTGTTTATGATACGCTTACACATTTTGTTGTACACAGCAGATGACAGATTGCCGGTCTACATGTTGCAAAATGTCACATCATGACATCACTGATTATCCTCTAGTTTACTATTTACACAATCATTTTTGTTTTAAATAATAACACAACGTGAAAGACCCACCTGCTCAATAGAAACATTCTGATCCAAAGAACTCATAGCTTTAAAATCCTCTTGTCAAAACCACAAAAATATAGTAAGGTAGATCACTACACAATTTTAGCAGTTTATATTTGACACTTTCTGTTATTGAAAATATACTTTTTACTGCTGTAACTGAAATGACTGGTTAAAAATTGTTATACTTTTCACTAAACTATTTCATAATATTCTTAAATCAATTTTCAAAATTGCCAACACTTAAATGTTTTTTTTCCTTAAAATCTGGCTTTCCTTACATTTTTTGTTGAACAATAGTAATCAGTAATCTAGTCAAATTAAAGATAATTTTCAGTAATTCTTTATTTTTCGTTCTGCTAATCGTCGAATGGACAGGGTCAGACTAGCGCAAAACTGGAGACGAATATTAAATATAGCGGCGTTTGGCAGATGACACTCTGTGACTCACTGGCCCAAACAATACCAAATTACGTCGTTACAAAATATACGGGAATTTCTTTTTCTCTCATAACAGTATTGTTAGTATTGTATTCTATGACGTCGTTCGGGAATTCCCTTAAAGTAGACGTGGCCGCTGCTTATAGGGCTGGTAAGTAGGTCACCAACCAGCTCTACAGCTCAACAAAAACTAAATGAGCCATATAACTGGTTGGTGACCTACTTACCAGCCCTATACCGTAGTCAACTTCAAGTATTGGGAGAACATACGTTGGAGACAATTCAGTAAAAGAAAAAAAAAAGAAAAATTTACAAAGTGAAAGTGTTTGTTGGTATATTAGGACATATAGATCTATATGTGTACATATAAAAAATAAAATACTTAAAAAAAACTTTTTTAAAAACCACGTTTTTCTTGTGGACTAAAAAGTAGAAAATAAATTTTCATACATTTGATGACAAAAAACGTGGGTACGTTCACCATCAAATTTCCCGACCCATCTGCCCGACCCACGTTTTTTGTCATCAAATGTATGAAAATTTATTTTCTACTTTTTAGTCCACAAGAAAAACGTGGTTTTTAAAAAAGTTTTTTTTAAGTATTTTATTTTCTCCTTTTTAGTCCGTTGCTACACATGAAAAACGTTGTTTTTAAAAAAGTTTTTTATATAGTTTATTTGCTACTATATCTAATGACTTGATTAAGTATGACTTGACTAAGTGTTTATAAATACACGGACTAAAAATCTTGAGCGACCAGGATTCGAACCTGGGTTGTCGCGGCCACAACGCGAAGTACTAACCACTATACGATCACGGCCAGCGCGCTCACATCGATTGGGGCCGAAGTAACTGTGCCAATAGGCCTCCAGTCTTGTCGGTATCTTTAGAAATCATGTCCTCAATTTTATGGTCCTTGGGGCGTAATTAAATTAAGCTAATTACGGTCTCTAATTGCTAGTTTTTATGATTGCATCTGAAATTGTTAGGCGAAAGTAGCCTACATGCCAAATTTCAGATCTATTGAGCAATCAGAAGTGGGCTAATTTTCGATGTCAATTTTAACAACAAACAAACAAATCCACAAACGCGAAGCTGAGTTAAGAAAAACGTGTTAATATAATATGGATAACTATTTGTTCTAACTTTGTCCAAGATGGTGGGGATTGGGGGGGGGGCATATATCAGCGAAGTCCAGATCTCCGTGAAATAGTGAGCGAGAGGTGAGCGGGAATGATGCACCACCGACCTAAGTGTCCTAAGCAGATCTGCAGGGTGGCATTAATATAGAACCCCCTATCTATATACATGGGTGGCTGCAGTGAAATTTATTACATGAAATCTGCAAGATTCACTTAGGAGTCCTCATACGGAATTCCCGATAGTATCAGTACGGGATTTCCCGTTGGAAGCTGAGTCAGCAGAGACGGCAGTAGTAAAATTGCCACTAAGCAGGATGTGGTGTAGTTCGGAGCTTGAGTTCAACATTTTAAAAAGACACCACTCATTTTAAAACGTTCATGTTTCCATCATGTGTCACAGCAACCAGATCAAGCAGTCTACGTTCTGAAGGTCCAACGTAAGTACAACATCTCCATTCTTTTAGACGTGCTCAAGTCAAGCTCAACTAATTAGACCACTTATTGTGATATGCCACTGTGACCAGGTTTACGTCATATATCGCGAGCATCTAAATTCTTTCTTTTATCAAAACTAGATAATACATGAAGTACCCCCGTAATACAAATTAATTAATTACGAACACAATTAACTACCAAGCTTACATGTCATATCGGGAATGTTTGTGATTTACAGATACATATCTTAGGCAGCTGTTCAAGAAATGATTATAAGTTTAAAGCAGTTTAAATCTCATTCAAGTCTTTGAACATTCATTTAGAATGTAAAAAAAAAAAAAAAACGTCAGAAAAACTGCTATTGTTTGGACGTCAAAAACATGTGCGGCCTAATGTAAAAGTGCACGTAGCACAGAATTTAAACACGTTTTGGAGCGGCACATCTCCATTTTGATGAAGGAAATTAGGACAGTAAAAACATAGGCTTAGCACACGTTGAGTAGATTTAATAAGTCGCAAAAATGTTCTAAGATATATTTTGATTTACTCATTGAGATTGTAGAATTTTGGGTGATTATAAATATTGGTGATATTTTAAGTAACATATTTTGTTACATATTTATTTGAATAACCAATAGAATAAACCGGGAGTGATCTCCCCTAAACTTTCTCGAATATTCTTATATAACACTCCGGGGGATGGCAACTCGGGATATAGACATGATTTTTAATCCATTTTAAATACTTGAAGTTTTAAAAATAGAACAGAATGTAGTAGACAAAAGAATCGCACACCAAGTGAACGCCAAATAAAAAAGAGCATAATAGTGCGCAATATTATTAGTACTTTAAAAATTTACATTAGTTTTTTGAGAAATCGGAAGTAGCGTAAATTACTACTTCCGGTCAACCGAAATTACTCAAAATTTAACAGAAGGTAGAGAATTAGATCTTTTACTAACATGTGAAATTTAATTTATTTATCTGAAATAGTACTCAAAGTTATAGGCTTTTGAAAAATTCAAAGTAGAAAAAGTATCACTTCCGGTTATCTGAAATTGCTCAAAAGTTGATCAGGATCTACGATTTTGATAAAATACTTATATATGAAATTTTATCAACCTAGCTGTAACAGTACTCAAGTTATCGTGTTTACACACAGACAGACACACAGACAGACACACAGACATACGGACAAGATTGCAAAAGTATGTTTTTCCGTATCATTGAGGTGTAAAACGTCGAGATTTGTAAAGATCTCGAATTTTTTTTTCACCATTACAATACTTTCTCTATACTTCGTATATACGAGAAAGTAAAAATTGGTACATCATGATGTTTTGGTTATTTTTTGTCGTATGTCTTTCCTCAGTTGGTTTTGTCCGTCCGTGTATTGTTGACGTTGTGTGAATGACCGTATTCGTACCGTGTCGGCTTTCTGTTTTGATGCTATGCTTTGTGTAATGAGCATGATAAATGTGGGCAGTAAAGGCGGCTGAACTTGTGTTGTCATGAGATAAGGACATACAATCAAATCAAACTGCCTTCTTCCAATTTCGCGTTTCTTCAGTTAGCACTAAAATAAACACGATAAAAACTGAGTAGGTTCAAACATTCTATTAAATTCTACTTCTGTTAAATATTTGTACAACGGAATTTAAACCTACATACTTAAGAATATTTTAACGTGTAAGGATTAATAAACAGGTAATTAATGTTAAGCTATTGATAAAATATAAATCATAACATTGACCCTTTTAAAAATATTTCCTCAGTTTCTAAACTAAACAACGATTGCTTGAGTTTTTTAAAAAGTTGATCCCTAAAGAAAAGAAACAATGGATTACTTCACGACGGAGCTTCTAAAATTTCTGTGTGTGCTGGTCGCCTTGTTCCTCATCATGGCGGGGCACGTGAAGAAAAAAAGATGGCTGTTTCTCATCACGCTGATCGTCACCATCATCGCGTTAAACAACTACCAGCTGGTGGGTCACGTGGTCCAGACCCAGACCCTGCTACAAGCTGGCCTCGATCTTGTCCACTCCATCTTCACTCTAGTCAGCCTTCATCTGACCTTTCCTAGTAGGGTCAAGGCCGGTCTTTGCAGTGTGCTGTTGTTTCTCTTTGTGTGGGTTCTGTATGTGTGCAGCTCTAGTAACCATGTGTTGAACATTGGATGTTTCTCTAAAGTGATGACGAAAATGTTAAGGAAACTTCAAGACGTGTCATCTAGTCAAAAGAACATTCAGCTCTCAGATATAGGCAGGAAGTTAACTATGCATGAGGTACGGGTCAAAGGTTACAAGAATAAATTACCATGGAAGCTAAGTAAAGCAGAAAGGTTACGGCTAAAGCTAAACCCAATCATAGCTGCAGCTAGCCGTGACGTGATCGCCTACCCAGCCACGCCCCTGTACCATGACTACGAGAGCAGACTGGCAACCTTCAACAGCCACAACTTCCGGGCATGGGGCGTGTCAGGTCTGCCGCTGGCCAGTGCTGGCTTCTACTACAAGAAGAGGCGTGACGTCATACGTTGCTACAGGTAACCAAGTTGTTACACTAAAAAAAAATTGCACTTAAAAATTAACAATTTTTTTTTTAAAATCAGAACACATTAAAAACTGAAATTTTTGTGAATATGAAAAATATAGCAGTCTTATGTTACCTGATATTTTACATACTTGAAGAGACATATTCGTCAATTCTTAGTATGGGTTTTCTTTTAGTCCTGTATAATGTATAACAGCTATGGTAAACAGCGAAGAAAGCCACTGTGACCACTGGGTCTTTGTTTTAAAATATTCTATTTCCCTTCCCACCCCACCTCACCCATCCATCCCCATCACCAAATCATTTTGATCTGTTCTAAAATTCAAAGTTTTCATCTAGCTCAGGTGAGCATGACGTGAGTATCGGTACAAGAATTTCAGTCAATAGAAAATGTTTGGGCTTAGAGGGCTTGACTAGACCTAGCGTAAAAAAATATATGGGAGGTGTTTATTGAGATTAAACAATGCGACAGGTGTTTAATATTTTAATTAAACAATGCGAAAGGTATTTAATTATTGTAATTCAACAATGCGACAGGTGTTTAATTATTGTAATTCAACAATGCGACAGGTGTATAATTAGAATAAACAATGTATCCACCAGGTGTATGAGAGAGATCGGCAGACATGAATATACTGGCCAGAGAAACCTGCACGACGAAGACTGTCCAATCAAAGACAGGCTACCAAACACAGAAAACATTCCTACACTGTTTCGCAGGTCAGATTGTTGATACGGCTAGACTTTAATACATCCAGTCTAAACAAAGCTCGAATATTTTTATTAATTTTTTTACTGATAGATATATCCAGTCTAAACAAAGCTCGAATATTTTTATTAATTTTTTTACTGATAGATATATCCAGTCTAAACAAAGCTCGAATATTTTTATTAATTTTTTTACTGATAGATATATCCAGTCTAAACAAAGCTCGAATATTTTTATTCATTTTTTACTGCTAGATATATCCAGTCTAAACAAAGCTCGAATATTTTTTACTGCTACATTTAGTCGGTCTAAAGAGTCCATTAATTTCCCCAAACAATAAACAAGATAATCATTTCTTGTTTCACTCGTGTATTCACAGGTAAAGCATGAACAACGAAACAAGGCTAGAGAAAGGGAAACAACTAAGGGCATTAAAAAAATTGTTCAAACAACCTGGACAATCAACACGTTAGAGTTTATTAATAAATACAAGTCTGTCGAAGCAATGTGGGAAGAATCTAAGTGTCACAAAGCTAAAGAATACACCAGACAAAGGGGCAAGATATTACTAAAACACAAGCAATGGTTGGCCGACATGTTGCATGTGGGCTGTAGTAGGGCCTACTTGGGACAGAGGTTTGTTGATATACCTGGACTTTTTAGCACAAAGAACTAGTCAAATAGACGGGTCATCTAATGTGCTGTTGAGATGGAAATATGTTTCTGGGTATCTGTGATTATATTTGTGTCTGTGTGGATCTGATTATACACGTGGATCTGTGTGTTAGGTAAAGTAGCTGACAAAAGTTGACCATAGTTTACACGACTCAGTGTGTTTTCCCATCCGGTTTGTTGCAAAAAATTTATCGTAATTGTTGGCCATATAGTCAACCCAATGCGATACTTAAATCATTCGTTTAGATCGTTTATTTACACACATTTTATTTTATAATTTTATACTTCATACTTTGACAAATATTTTTATAACAAATATTTTTTAAATACGTGCTATAACAAGGTAATATTTGTAAACGCTTTCAAAATAAACAACTGCTGAAGTTTGAGAAATGTTTGTCGAGTATAAGCCATGCTAAACTTGTTGGTGGTGTTATTAAAAAACTTTTAGGTTTAAAAAAAAAATTGTACTCATTAAAATATACACCACTAACACATGGTCAAAAAATATTCTTGTATTATTTTTAATGCGACACAAGTTTAAATAAAATAATTACAGATCTAAACATTTAAAATTCTACTTAATGTTTTGCCAAGCGTCCCAACTCTAACATCGACTTAAAGAACAGTGGGGTCAAGTTGACTTAAAGAACAGTGGGGTCAAGTCAATAAAACGCCAATGGATCAACATATCACCCAGAGACAATAGTGCTAACTCAATAGCAGTCGGTAAACACTTCCTTCCATAAGTGTAGTTCTAACAAAACATGTTTCTTTATTAACAGTTACTTCATGAGTGAGTTTTTTAAATAAATTCCACACGTTTTTTTCTTCTTGAAGTTTTTTCTTAAAATCACGGATATGGCTGTTTTTATTATATTTCTTTTATAGCTTTATTATATTTAACCTTCTTTGTTCGGTTTTATCATATTCAGTCTATTTTTTCCTGGCTTTTATCATATTTAGCCTATTGTGATAATGTGCATTTTGTTTTAGTTTTGTATTTTTTAATTTGCAGTTATATTTTAATGGGCTTTAGTTTTGTGGTTTATAAAATCTGGATTTTGGAATTTTATCGCTCTTTGTATGGCTTATACATAAACATTTTCCTTTCAATAAATAATTAAACATGTTTTTATTAAAATCTGCTTTTTATTATTTGTTATTAATTGTTAACACGCATATGTAGGTTTGATGTATCCATGGCAAATATTTTAAAATGATTAATTTAGTCCATCTTTTTGGTCTAACTTTTAAATCTGTTATCAGATTTTAAAACTCCAAAAAACCCAAGCAAAAAAGTTTTATTTTTTTTTATGTATGACATGCATGTGTGACAATGGTTTTATCTCTTCTAATAAACTAAAATATGTTTTCAATAATAAAAAAAACTTATCTCATAACTACTATCGTAATAAACACATTAAACGCGTCATAATTACAGCTATTAATAAACCGGGAGTGCCCTGCCCTAAACTTTCTCGAATATTCTTATATAACACTCAGGGGGATGGCAACTCGGGGTATAGACATGATTTTTAATACAATTTTTAATTACTTAAACTTTTTTAAATAGAATAGAATCTCGTAGAAAAAAAAGAATTGCACACCAAGTGAACGCCAAACAATCTGTGTATAATAGTGCGGAATATTATTAGTACTTTATAAATTAACATGCTTTTTTTGGAGAAATCGGAAATAGCGTAAATTACTACTTCCTGTCAACGGAAATTACTCAAAATTTGACAGAAGGCTGGAAATTAGATCTTTTACTTACTGTAAAATTTCATTTATATATCTGAAACAGTACTCAACTTATAAGCTTTTGAAAAATCGAAATTATAATAAGTGCCATTTCCGCTTACTGGAAATCGCTGAAAATTTGAAACAGAATTACAAGTTTGATATAATACTTATATATGAAATTTCATCAACCTAGCTGTAACGGTGCTCAAGTTATCGTGTTCACAGACATACATACATACACAGGCATACGGACAAGATTGCAAAACTATGTTTTTCCGACTCAGGGAGGTGTAAAACGTCGAGATTTCCAAAAATCTCGATTTTTTTTTTGCACGATTTACAATACTTTCTCTATACTTCGTATACGAGAAACGAAAAAAATCGGGAATTCCAAAAATGAGGAAAGTACGGAATGACTAAAAACCGTCTGTTTTAAAAATATAAAGAAGTAAACTAGGCAGATTCGACAAACAGAAGGGGTTAACCCTGCAAAGTCTAAGGTCGGGGGGGGGGGGGGGGGGGGAGAGAGTTATATACTGACACATCAAGCAGCTGTTTACATAAACACAATATCATAAAAAAAACTAGATTTCTTTCTAAAATATTTTACTCAACATTGAGTATAAGAAGTAAAAGTCATTAAAAAAACTAAGAAAAAAACCCGCTAAAAAACCTGAAATTCAACATTTAAAAGTGCAAGAGTGTCACACTCAGAGTTTCTTCCAGGCATCTCTTCGGGGGGAGGGGGGGGGGGGGGGGGCAATCCCCCCCCCCCCCCCTCCCCTCGAAAAAAATTTTCCGCCCCCCCCCCCCCCCCGAACGAAATGAAATTTATATAATTTATATAGAAAATATATACTTTTAACAGTGTCCGCCCCCCCCCCCCCCCCCGAAGAAAGTTTACCGCCCACCCCCCCCCCCCAAAATTTCAAGTGCCCCCCCCCCCCGGAGAAAAAAGTCTGGATACGCTGGGTAGACTATCTAGTAAGAGGTAATTGGGGGGGGGGGTAGGTTATTAAAAATTAATGTGGTCCAGTTTTTTAATGTCATATCTTTGCTGCAATCTCAGTTATAATGAATTATATAGTGTTATTTAACGTTTAGTCGAACACAGTCACACATTAATTTTCATCTACCATCAACAGCTCTCTACTCCGATAAGGCCAAACATTTTTTCACTCAATGACTGTAATGAAGCGATAAAACAAATCTTTAAAAACTAACGCAATGCACAGGATAGAAGCCGTGTGTGTCGCATCTGGGGGAGGGGAAAGGTGGGGTTAATGTATCAGACCCGACGACAGATACAGATCTTACTTGAGGGGTGTCAAGACGATCGGTTAGAACAGAATAAATTTATCACTTCGTTTTTTAATCGAGCTTAATGTTTAAATGTTAAAACGTATTAGAAAAAATGTAAATCGTTAATCGCGCAAAATGTATTTAATAAACTAGTCTAGCGACCGAAGATTTTATTTTTAGTGCTAATGAAAATGTGTTATTTTTAAATATGCGCGCATAATATATACAAATATGGATTTGACGTTAAGGGTAATTCCCATTAAATCTAACTTAAGGTTTTGTTGAGTTCAAACTCAAGGAAATTCCCAATCTGATGATATAATAGGCCTACTCTATTTCTGGTCACGGCAAAGTGTGTTACTGTGTTTACAGTTCATCTGAGAGGGTCGTTGGCAAAATGTCTATTGTTGCAGTGGAGTGATACAATTTATGTTGACTGTTTGGTAATGATAACTAGTTTTTGTTTGTTGAATAGCACATAGTTTAGATCTAACGTTAGTTGACCCATTTATCGTTTGAAATATAATCATGAAAATATTTGAAAATATGGCGAAATAGACCGACATTTTATTTCGTAATCGTTTTAACCAGTCTAGGGTCGAACAATCTCTTACAAGACCGGGCAGCTCATCTGTCCAGCCACCCACGATCGGGCTGAACATATTCTTAGGATTAGATATTTTTTACTGTTTGAGAAACTTTGAAATATCCAGGAACGACAACTGGGGAAAAGTTATGTTAAGAACGCAAAATAATCCGCTGCTTCCAAAATCATTTGGGCTGCTCGTCTTTATAATTTTATTTACAAAGGGATAACATTTTTTTATAGGCATACACTTATAAATAAATAATGAGTATGTAAATTTTATAATTTAAAAAAAAAAGGTAAAATATAAAAAAACATTTGAAAAATAAATTTATATATATATATATATATATATATATATATATATATATATATATATATATTCTGTCCAATGTTTTTGATCAGCTACCATGCTGCTGCCAGTACAAAAACTCAAGAGAATTAAATGGCTCTGGCAGCCCGGCTGTGGAGTCTGGCTGGTTGTATTGACGCCGTCCAGTTCATACAACACGTGTCTGCTGTTTGTGACCGGCCAGACAAGAGCTGCTCACTATCTGCTGGTTACCCAGCCACTCTTTCAGCGCGGACTACCGAGAAAACAGCCGTTGGAGTACCTGCTGAGTTACCGAGCGCCGCCCCACCCCCTGTCAGTTCTCTGTTACCCGCTGAGGTTGTACTCGAATGCCCTTGAACGGGTGAGTTCCTTCAGGGCGGTGCCCGGGCTCTCACAGATGGCAGTGAGCGCCCTCCAGCTGGCGAGTCAAGGCTTTTACTATGAAAACAATGAAGTCACGTGCTACAGGTAGATTTTTCTCAATGATTATATATATATATATATATGATTATATATATATATATGATTATATATATATATATATATGATTATATATATATGTATGATTATATATATATATATATGATTATATATATATATATATATGATTATATATATATATATATATATATATATATATATATATATAATATATATATATATATATATATATATATATATGATTTTAAAAGTCAATGATTCTAGTTTCATGTTGGCCCTACTGATTAATTAATGATCTAAATGCATGTCTAGATGTCAGCGGCGGACAAGATTCAATGGCCGTGATCCGAACTTTGACCCAGCCCATGAAGATGGGTGTGACAACTTGGCCTCCAGTAGGGGAGATAACAATCAGAACTACAGGCAAATACTCTATCAAAATGACGACGCTATCCTCAACCAGTATGTATATATATATATATATATATATATATATATATATATATATATATATATATATATATAGAATACTGCCGTAAATGATCATTTAGTTTGTAATTACATAAATACTTTAACCACCCTCATTATCGCCAAGTTTGATCAAAACTGTAGTTAAGGCTAATTTGTTTCTGGGTACAACAGTCAACAGCCCCAGCAAGACACGCCCCAGCAAGACACGCCCGACATATTGGAGGAAGCCCCCCTGGTGCCAGACAATGTGAGCCGCACCCACCGAGAGACTGCCGAGAAGCTGGAAGACAACGATCAATCACTGCACCCCAGACCTGCAAATCTGCTCTCAATGGGGCTGCATCAATATGTGATTGGAGGGGAGAGCGAGGTGGATGGCATTGTTTATGCTAGGCGACAAGTGTACACAAGTAAGTGGTGACGGAAAAATCAGTCGTTTTTCTGCCGGTCAGAAGTTTTTTGTTTGAGCTAGAAGTATGCCTGTCTGGTATCACTATTAGCAACAATACTCTCAATATTTCAACGCTTCAACGCTACGTATCAGGCTGATGAAGCAGTGAGCTACTGCAGCTTGAATAAATAACACTTCTTAAAATATCCCCAGATCAAGTTGTAGAAAGACAAGCTATCGCGCAAGTCATACGGGCTAAATCCATGGTTACAGTTTCTCTACATCAGCTTTCTAATAATCGGGATTTCCCGAATCTAAATATAGATACTCAGGTTTTCCCGCAAGGTAGGTCCATGGTTTAGTTGTAACACCAAGATAGAGGTAACATTGTGATAGATAAGCACATACGGGTGGTGGGGGCAACGTTATGTTTAACTGTTGGGATACAATGGTGTTTGGTGGGCCAGGGTTTAATGGTGTTTGGTGGGCCAGGGTTTAATGGTGTTTGGTGGGCCAGGGTTTAATGGTGTTTGGTGGGCCAGGGTTTAATGGTGTTTGGTGGGCCAGGGTTTAATGGTGTTTGGTGGGCCAGGGTTTAATGGTGTTTGGTGGGCCAGGGTTTAATGGTGTTTGGTGGGCCAGGGTTTAATGGTGTTTGGTGGGCCAGGGTTTAATGGTGTTTGGTGGGCCAGGGTTTAATGGTGTTTGGTGGGCCAGGGTTTTAATGGTGTTTGGTGGGCCAGGGTTTAATGGTGTTTGGTGGGCCAGGGTTTAATGGTGTTTGGTGGGCCAGGGTTTAATGGTGTTTGGTGGGCCTGGGTTTAATGGTGTTTGGTGGGCCTGGGTTTAATGGTGTTTGGTGGGCCAGGGTTTAATGGTGTTTGGTGGGCCAGGGTTTAATGGTGTTTGGTGGGCTAGGGTTTAATGGTGTTTGGTGGGCCAGGGTTTAATGGTGTTTGGTGGGCCAGGGTTTAATGGTGTTTGGTGGGCCTGGGTTTAATGGTGTTTGGTGGGCCTGGGTTTAATGGTGTTTGGTGGGCCAGGGTTTAATGGTGTTTGGCGGGCCAGGGTTTAATGGTGTTTGGTGGGCCAGGGTTTAATGGTGTTTGGTGGGCCAGGGTTTAATGGTGTTTGGTTGGCCTGGGTTTAATGGTGTTTGGTTGGCCTGGGTTTAATGGTGTTTGGTGGGCCTGGGTTTAATGGTGTTTGGTGGGCCAGGGTTTAATGGTGTTGGTTACTCTATAGAAAACTTGATAATGTCTAAATCTAGTCTTCTGATCCTCAAAATGGTAATGCAGTGTTTGTTGTACTCAAGGTTTGGCACCGCGCACTGAGGGTACTCACAGTACAGCCAAGCAGCGTCGTGCATCTACTTAGTGGGTCAAGTTGTGTTGGAAAGGTCAACCTGATGGTCGGGGGGGGGGGGGGGGTTACTAGTATCCTAATTGAAATCGCATTGTTAAATTTACATCGTATAGGTTTTCAGAAAGCCCCCCCCCCCCCCCCCCCCCCTCCCCCCCCCCCCCAAAAAAAAAACGGTTTGTAAACTATCCCGTTCGTGTACGGGCGGGGCGAGTTACAAGACAACATTTGTTGTATAAAGAAACCTTAAAGCTCGTGTCTACTGACAGAACATTTAACTCAAGCCACACTGGATGGTGTGCTTGAGCTATGATACTCTCACTTAAGGATCGACGTCATAACAAGTGAGTAGAACTTGTTCACCTGATCTTATTACATGTAGAGAAAACCAAAGTTGTGAGGGGAGCAAGAGACTTGCAGACATTTGATGTTTTATTTGCTATTTATGTTAAACAACCTTTTGCATAAAATGTATAAGCATTTGTAAAAATAAATGAATAGTTTATATATATATATATATATATATATATATATATATATATATATATATATATATATATATATTTATACCAATTTCTATTTATACATATGTGCGTGTTTGTGTGTATGTATGATGTGTGTGTATGTTTAGAGTATTACATATATGCTTACGACTTTGTGCGAGGTATGTATCCGGCTCCAGCATTTGTATATAACTGAGCGTAAGTGTCCAATCCACGTCCACACATACACGTTGCAACAAGAGACTATGAAATGGCTTCCTACCACAGTATATCCAGATTATTTGTTTTGTCTTTTATAATTGTGTTATTTCATTGTATAATAAATCATTAACCTAACCAATGTAGAGTTTGATCCTCAAGAATCTAAAATATCGTTACGTCACAATGTTTGTTTTAGAAAACCATGTCATCTCACTCAAGTTTACATTGTTTCAGATTGTTTCTTAGCTTCATAAATGTATTTTCTTTATTACATTTAAGCACACTATCCAATACATATAGCCATTACATTTTGACATCGGCATTGCCTTGTTACATGATGAAGCCATACGCCAATATGACGAAAGTACAATATAGCTTAGGTTCAACACGTAGTAAGGTACAGTCTAGCCTTACGCGCAACTTGATCATTCGTGCCTGTACTCGCATTTTACACAAACCTAAATTAGAATTTCCCAAAACTATTTTTATTCTAGAAATGCAGTAAATCGGGAAAACCATTTGGATAAAAATAGTTCCGCACCGCTTGTTTCAAAACATCACTAAGTACGATACTAAAGTTAGCTCCCCTATCCCGACAGGCAAGAGATATTGACTTAATTAAAGCAGGAAAAACAGCAGATAGAAAAGTATTAAAACATTAGGCCTAGTGATTGATAAGAAAGTTGTAGCTAATATAAGTTATGAAAAAATGCATAAACATCATTAAAAAGCTATGTTAAAATAACCTTAAATTTAATCAACGTAATCACAATAAAACAAGTTTTATTAATCGGAATGAACTAGATCATTTACCATAATGTAATAAACATCAATACAAATATTATAGACTAAAACAATTATAAAAAAAAATAGATTTTAGCAGGGAGACCTAAAAAAAATGTCATAAGGTATGGAGCATTCTTAGCTTATTATTTTTGTATAAAATTTGAACTTTCAATGCTATAGAAATAATTTTAGTCTAACTGTACATGTGGTATTGATTCGTAAACATGTGTGCACAATTTAATATAAAAAACTCAAGTAGTTTTTCAGATCAAGTTAATCTACTGGTATTATCCGGTTAAAACGTGACGTTTTTAGAAAAGCTTGAAATTGTGAAACAAACTAATTTTAAAAATAAAATAATATGAAAACTAAAAAAAATAATTGTTAAAAAGCTCCCAGTTACATCAATTACACCTTTTTAATTGTTATGTTGCTAAATTTTGTTTATTACAGCTGAAATTAATTAAGTAATTATTCCAATTTTATAAAAACTTTAATTAAAACACTATCAAAATTTGGTTAAAATGCTCAGAATTAAAAAGAAGTTAAAAAAAAACAAAACTGAAACAAAACAAAATTTTAAATTTAAATAAGTATTTGAATATATAGGGGGGGGGGGGGTAACCTGCATATTTTTATGAAACACAAATAAACATAGCCTTTTATATTATACATTAAATAAAAAAACAACCTTAACATTAAATAGATGTTTAGCCAACTTAAAGCAGCGTTAAAAAGAAAAGGAACAAAAGAACAACGTAACGTATGTAGTGTTTGATATTAATTATGTACATAATGTCTATGTGATGTTTGATGCCATGTCATTGTCGTCTGTGTGGTAATTTAGTCTCGATTAAACAGTACTTACAATCGGCTGATACAAGGCTCCATTCACATAAATAACGGCGTTGTTAATCCTATTAATCCCATGTCAAGTTGCAAAATTAACTTGTGGAGTTCCAACTCTGAACGCCGCCAACTGTGTCACCAAGTCACCAATAATCCGCTTCAAGCAGGAAGGTGTGTCATACAAGTAGGGAAGTGATTTGTTGTGGTGTGTGTTGGGGCACAGGTCAGCACAACACAGACATCGAGTAATGATTGGTTCCCACTTGACCTTGACCCCTTGATTTACTGGCCAGTGTCGAGGGATTCATCTGACCTTGTTTGGGGTGGAAAACATCGCGCCGTGTAGTAAAGCTCACAGGTGAGAAGTGCTCAGGTCTGATGATTTCAGACGACATTGGCACATCGCACAACTGATTCAATAACTGTTTAAAAGTGTATTCAAACTAGTGAAACATTGTATTTTAATTTAAACATTACTTGAATAGTCAAAAGTATACGTATACTTATATATTTATCAGACCAAACGGTGTACGTGTAGTCAGAGGCGTAGCGAGGGGGGGGGGGGCGGGTACGGACCGCACAGGGTGACACCATTTAGGGGGGGTGACACCAAGGCAAAAAATAGCAAAATATTAGAAAAACTTGAGGGGGGGGGGGGGTGCAAATCGAAAGTTTGAGGTGGGGGGGGGTGCAAATCGAAAATTTGAAAGTTTGTCGCCGGGAAGGGTCGCTACGCCTCTGGGGGAGGGGGGGGGGTGACACCATTAAGTGCCGCACCGGGTAACACCCGATCTCGCTACGCCAGTGCGTGTAGTCCCTTACACGTTATAATGCCATGTGTGAAAAGTTACATTATTATACGTGATGTTGCAGTTACTAAACACACACGTGCCACAGTATAACACGCTAAACACACATGTAGCATCCCGTGTAACACAAGCATGATACAGCCACATCCTCCCCTCTGACAGTTTGATCACCAGCTACTTGAGTTCTCTCCGCTACGTCATTTTGATTTTCCAATGTTTTATTTTTAGCACCGCCACGTCACGATAAAGTTGTGCTCATAAATTAAACTGACTTTTGTGTGAACACAACTTCTCCCAGAACATTTAAAACACGAATCTGATATAATCAAGTTCTAGTGAACATTAAAACACTATGTGAAGGACGTTGAAAGCCTTTGGTTCACTATTTTGTGGAGTGGTGATCCCTTTTTATGAAAGTCAAGTGACCCTTGACCCCCCCCCCCCAAATAAATAAATAAATTAATAAATAAATATTTTGTTTGGTTTAGTCTACAAGTCGTCGACCCACTGGAGTTGTAGTCAACTATTTGTCCGACCACCGGCAACAACGTCTGAACCTGGAGTTGTAGTTGTAGTAGATGAGGACGTTGGTGCTGGAGTTGACGGCCTGGACAAGTTCCATGGCACCAACTACGGTCATATACAAGTTCCGGAACTTTCCGCCCAAAGAGAACTCTGGCACCAACATGGCGGTGATGGCGATGGAGATCTTGGGCGTGTTACACAGGATGTAAACCACAGAGATGAGCGCCACCTGTCGCGCCACGGAGTGATCTTTGGCTCGGGACTCAAGGCAGGAAGTGGAGGCTTTCAGTGGGCGGGGTTTGTTTGGAGCGGTCGTTTCCGGTTGCTGGTTGATGCTGGGATCTGGTCCAGTCTGTCGGTCACGTGACTTGGTGCCAGGAGGAGCGTCTGTCTGACCTGACTGACCTGACTGTCCGGACTGACCTGACTGTCCGCACCTGGCCGAGGTTTGCCGGAACCTGGAGGCCGCCCTCAGACTTCGCGTCATGACGACCAGGCAGACGACCACCACCAGCTCCGTCAGACACGTGACCGACACGTCACGAACTATCCAGACGTAATGCATGACGTCACCGCGTCTGCTGGACACCCACAGCGCCGGCCGCGTGACGTTGACCCTGGGGTCAAAGGTCGTCTTCATCTCCATGGAGACCAGAATGGGCAGATAACTCGCCACGGTTACGACGACAAACACAGACAGGATGGCCAAGCACCGGGCGCGGGTGAAGGTGTTTTTAAACTGCAGTGGCCGGGCCACACACATACAGCGGGCCACGGCCAGGAATGTTGTCGTCAGCACCGACATGAGGTAGATGAGGATGCCGATGTTGGAGAAGAAGACGTACATCCCGAACGGGTCGACCGGAAACGTCAAGCGCGTGCGGTTCTTCCTCTCGATGACGAAACAGCCGATGGACACGGCGTGGGCGGTCATGACGGCCAGGTAGGCGAGGTCAGAGGTCGCGAGGAACAGGAAGGACACGGTGACGCCCTCTTTAAGGCCGATGGCCAGGAACGTCCTGACGGAGACGATGTTGCCGCAACAGCCGAGAACACACAGAAGGGTGTAGAAGATGCAGAAGTATTCCACCAGGTTGATGTACGTCTCGTCTGCTAGGTACAGCTGGGTCACGTGACTCAATGGCAGGAGTTGGCTGGAGTTGGTGGGGCTGGTATATGAGTTGGTAATGATGTTGGTGCCGATGTTGGTGCTGATGTTGGTAGTGTTGGTGGTCCTGTTGGTGAAGCTGTTGGTGTTGATGTTGGTGCAGCCGGTGGTAGCTGCAGTCCGTGTATTCATGATGTTGTCTCAAACTCTGGCACCATTTCTACAGGTCAGTACAGGTAAAAGTTGAACACCTTCCCAGCGTACCTGGCCTCTACTCCCACACATCAAACTGTTGTCCCCCACACGAAGTGTGTGTCCCCCCACGCAATGTGTGTGTCAAATATTTCCCGTCATCAAGTAAACACATTACAATAAAATATCCTTGAAACCACACACAAATACAAATGACCTTGAAACCCCACACAAATCAACAAATGTCCTTGAAACCCCACACAAATCAACCACCGTCATGTGAGTGATATCCCGTCAGCTACACTGTCGCTATTCTAGACATTGACCAGTAGACAGACATTGAACAGCAGAAAGACAGACAGACAGGCATCTCCTACAGTTGCGATATGTGAACACGTGACCAGCCATTGACTGGCCATAGAGGCTTGGATACAAAGGCTCACAGTTATCAGCATCAATTGGATCAGTTGTGTGTTTGTTGCTTCAAGGCCGTGTCAGTCTGTAATCTCGGTATCCATGGTGTATCCAGCTAAAGGATCAAAGGGACGCAACTACTTGTGTCAACACACCAATCCCCGCTTATCTTCTCTTGTCCAATTAAATTCTCATGAGAATCGATCTCCACCAATAATGACGTGTTTATCTGCGTGTGACGATAATGTGTAGATTGTAGCTGATCGAACATCTGTCTTGTCTAGTAATACACAAGGGTAGAGTAGGGATGGGGTGATAGGTGGAGATTTACTGAAGGTCTTTTGTTGTTGTTGTTGTAAAAATGATTTGAATGTGAAATCAGCAGGCTTGACCACATATGTCTGCAGGCTTGACCACATATGTCTACTGTGAAGGCTTGACCACATTCCTGCAGGCTTGACCACATATGTCAGCAGAATTGACCACAAAGACCAGTAGACTTGACCATACATGTCTACGGGGTCTTCCATAAATGACGTCACACTCGTAAGGGGGAGGGGGTTCATAATTTTGTGACGGTGGGTGATGAGGGGAATGGGGGGGGGGGGGGGTTAGATGGTGTAACGTCATACTTTTGCATTACAAAAAAAAAGCAATGTTAGAAAAAGAATTAGCGTTATTTAGCGCTTTAGAAAACTGTTTTAATAAATTGAAATTGAAATTTATTAAAACACTATATGCTGACAGTGTCCAGACAAAATTTGTCGTTTCAAGAAAAATTCAACTGCAATTTTGAGGGGGTGTAGGATGAGGTGTCATTTTAGGGGGGAGGGTCTGGCTTTTTGTGACGATGTGTGACGTAGTGAAGAAGGGAGGTAAAAATCGTCAAAAAAGCGTGACGTCATTTATGGATGACCCCCACTGTGCTGACAGATTTAGCCAAAGACCAACTGGCTACTAGCTGGCTGGGCAGAACGATGCTGAATAAAGAAAAAAAAAAGGATGGGTTAACATTATAAACTCTATCTAGTTGAAGGGAGACAAATTCTGCAGCTGAGCTGAGTTTAGATTTCTTGGATTGTCTCCCATAAAAGAAAATTTGAGAATTTTAAAATCTTCGAGAAAGATTTTGGTGCCTAAATGACTAAACTAGTTCTTTCCAGCGGTCTAGTGTTCAAAGTCTAATATACATAACGGTCTAGTGGTCAACTTAACACCTAACATTTGTTAGCTTTCTGTCCAACTCACAAAATTGACAGACATGTTTACACCGCACAAGTTTAGACTACTAGATGAGATTTTATACTGTTGTAACTGTATTATACAATAGGTGAGATTTTATACTGTTGTAACTGTATTAGACTACTAAATGAGATTTTATACTTTTGAAACTATTATACAACTAGATGAGATTTTATACTGTTGAAACTGTACTAGACTAGTAGATGAGATTTTATACTGTTGAAACTGTAAGACTACTAGGTGAGATTTTATACTGTTGAAACTGTATTAGACTACTAGATGAGATTTTATATTGTTGAAGCTGTGTTTAACAGCTAGATTTACACAACAAAGGAAAATTCTTTTTAAGTATAAACACGGACATCTATTTTTAGCAACACAACAACCCACACAGAGTCCTACCAGCAACCCACACACAAACATTCGCACTCAACCCTCTCCCCTCCTACACACACTCACAACTCGGAACTACAAACACAATCAACAGACGACATCTGACTCACCCAACGATTCAAACACAGCCCACACAACAGAACACACACACCCTTCACACACACGGCCCACACACCAGCCCCCTCCACACACACACTGCCCACACACCAACAACACACCAACCACACACAGCCCACACACCAACCCACACACAGCCCACACACCAACCACACACAGCCCACACACCAACCCACACACAGCCCACATACCAACCCACACAAAACCAAACTTAGGAGCCATTGCTTATCACATGCAACATGTCGCATGCAGCAAACGCAGGCTGAGACTCTAGGCTTTCTACATCCTCCCCTTGAGTCCGCGGGTCATAAAGATCCGGTGTATGAAGGATTAAAGGCCGCCTGCGTCAAGTGATCAGGATTATTACAATCATAAATCCCGTCCAGTCGATGAGGAAATGCTGGAACATTCCATGGAGCCAAACAAGCCGTTGTTCTGATGTAGGATTACTCGTGGCTGTTGGATTCAAATGGATTGTTTCCCTTTAATTTCAGTGCCGATATTTTCCCAAAGTGATTTATTTAATTCGTGCAATTTAAAGGTGATTGTGCTAGTTTCAACATGAACCGACCAAACTAAAACGTGTTGTAAGAAGTCTTACCTGTGTCACAGTGGTTTACAAAAATTAAAACGGTCTTCAAGAAAATTATCCTTTAAATAGCTCCATCTTTCTCGATCTAATTTTAAAATTTGTAAACATACATATTAAATTATACATACATAGATTAAATATATATATATATATATATATATATATATATATATATATATATATATATATATATATATATATATATATATATATATATATGTATATATATATATATATATATATATATATATATATATATATATATATATATACACACACAAATGACTTAATCGTGTACATACTCTGGAAGCCTAACATGTATTCTTCACCAACCCCCTCCGTCACCATCTTCAATTATTTCATCACATTAGCCATATTGACTTTTCTATTTTATCGTCCAGTTTAAATTTTAGCAACTTAAAACTTAAAAAAAAATATCGCAATTGCTTTTGCTAACATATTGCTAATCAAAGTTTAATATGTCTATGTGTTAGACAGTAGTTGATTATTTTAGAATTATTTATTGTTATCAGCGTTGTGTAAATTATAGATTTGTTGGGACACAAATATTAAATTAGCGTCAGATTTTAAGTTTTAGAAATGTAATGTGTTTCCAAACCAGATATTTTCTTCCCTGTGTGTTATGTAATCTAGTTAAAGATAATGAAATAACAAGATAATTATTTAAATTATAGCTGATGTTCTCTTCTGATGTACTGATGTTAAACAAGGGGAGGTAATGATAAGTTGTCATGATTTAAAATCAATATGGTTCTCTCCTTAAGATCGAACTAGTCAGACCCAATAATTATAAACAATTATATCGATCTTTGTATCTTCCTAATTGAACGCCATAATTATAAAAAACGTATCGCACAATCAAGACTAGTTAAGGACATTATTAAATATTTGTGACGTTCACCTAATATAAATCATTTAGCAAAAATTATGACTAATTGGGTGCACCAATTACCCAAATGATTAGTCATTAAACTACCGTAATACCTGAGCAGTTTTTAATTAATAGATTTTCTCTTAAATACCTGGACCAAATTTCTATAAAACGGTTTTGGTTTTGGCGAAATTTAATGACACGTTTTCACCTTTCGATAGACTTCATTGATATGTCATTTTGTCATTTCTCACTCAGTTTGAGTGAGATGTCATTTTGTCATTCTCGTCAAGTTTTAGAATGAAACAAATTATTTTCATGATCTTATTGGCTTGAAAAATGACATTTTAATAGAAGTGACCAATTTTTTAACGAAATTCCTAAATACTTTAATATATAAGACGTAAATTGAGGCTAAACGACAATATATGTTGATGTTTTGTTGTGATGTCAAGTTTTACTGGCTAGACATGAGCTTGTTCCGTCCCTTTTGACTTTAAAACAGTGACGTCAACAGTTGGTTTGTTTTATCTATGCCACATTTAGAATTCGAACTCTGAATGAGGAGATGAGGTGACGCGCTACCTCACCCGACCACAGACTTCCCAAAAAAAATATTTATATCTCAGCGACTGTTATATAGAAGACAGCAGCCAGAGACTATCACGTGACACGACCACGTCACTAATATTTCCATCAAATAAATCTTTAAACCCCGCCTCCTTGCGGCCAAATTGCACCAAATGACCAATCCCCTCTTCCCCCCCCCCCTCTTCCATTCACCCCTCAACTTGAGTACCAGCCATATAGTAATTAGGAAAACCAGATGAAGGCTGGTAATGATAGGCTAGAAGAGGCTGATAAGGACACTGTCGACACGAACCATAAGGGCACAACATGTTTAAGTTGGTGTGGTGGAACTTCGGTGTGGTGATGTTGCACGTTTTAGGTGTCGCAGGTTTTAGATGTCGTAGGTTTTAGATGTCGTAGGTTTTAGTTTCGCGGGCTTTAGGTGACACAGGTTTTAGATTCACAGGCTTTAGTTGTCCCTATTTATTGCCTTGAGATGTTTTATTGATATCAGAAGAGGTTTTCAAGTTCGCGAGGATTAGGGCAAAAGCCAAGCCTGGGATTGAAAATGTTTTAATATCTAAACATTTTATGCCATTTTCCAACTAAAACGTTTTCCCATAGTTTGTAGGTATCGATGGATTTTCTTTCCTAACGTGAAGACAATGCTAAGATAATGCGACAAACTTGAGGCTAACATTTCTCCAACTTTCCCATGATGGACGATACAAACCTGACCCCAGATGACGTCACAACGTGTGTCTGTAACGTCACCGTCCTGGACACCGTGAAGGTCAGCGTGCCCCAGAAGCTGGTGACCGACCAGGACTACATCCTGATGTGCGGCATCATCAACATCCTGTCCGTGATGGTCTCGGTGCCCGGATGTGTGGGCAACATCCTGGCCATCAAGACGTTCATCAGGATGGGTCTCAAGGACGGGGTCACCATCTCCTTCATGTTCCTCTCCCTCTCCGACCTCCTCTACCTCCTCGTCCTCCTCGCTCACTCCATCGCTTCCGGTTTCTACCTCACGGAGATGCAAACCGGCTACCGGATATGGTTCGCCATTGAACCGTTCGGCGTGTACATCTTCCTGACCAACGCCGGCATCCTGGTCTACCTGCTGACCGTCTTGACCACGACATTCCTGGCTGTGGTCCGCTGTATCTGTGTCTCCATGCCGCTCCACTTCAAGAACACGTTCACCAGACGCAGGTCCATCTGCGTGCTGGCCGCCTTCTGCCTGGTCTCCGTGGCCAGTTACCTCCCCATCTTGGTGTACATGGAGATGAAGCCAGAGTTTGACCGCAGGGTCAACTCGACCCGCGCCGTCCTCTGGATCTCCAGCAGACGTGACAAAATCAAAGAGAACGTCTGGATCGTCCGGGACGTGTTCGTCACCTTCATGACGCAGCTCGTGGTCAGCGTCTGCGTCATCGTCATGGTCAGGTGTTTGAACACGGCCTCACGGTTCCGCGACAAGTTCCGCGACCGTTCGCTCAGCTTCTCCTTCCACCGCAACTCCACCGCTAGCCCGACCTCCTCCATCCGCTCCGTCACGGAGACTGTCCCCACCCCCACGGAAACCATCCCCTCCCCCAGCAGCGGGGGTGCGGCCCGACCCAGCAAGCTCTCGTCCAAAGAGCTGGCAGTGGTCAGCCAAGTGGTACTCATCTCACTGGCCTACATCTTCTGCAACACGCCCAAGATCCTGATTGACGTGGCCGTCATGTTCGTGCCTGAGCTGACACTGGGCAAACTCTATCAGAACCTCTACCTCTTCGTCATCAACGTCATGGAGCTGGTCCAGGCATGCAACTCCAGCATCGCCTTCCTCGTCTACATGCGCTACAACAGCAAGTTCAAGAAGTCGTGTGGTCTAAGGCTTGCTGCCTAGACTAGCGGCTTGCCGCATAGACAAGCGACTTGCCGCATAGACGCGTGGCTTGCCGCATAGACTAGCGGCTTGCCGCATAGGCCAGTGGCTTGCCGAACAGACTAGTAACTTGACACATAGACAAGTGACTTGACGCATATACTTGTGGCTTGCCTTAGACTATGGGCTTGCTGCCTACACCTACGGCGTTGACATCTTGACTTGCCTTCTCATCTTTCCACATCAAACAATATAGTGACGTCATTCACATGGAAAATACTCGATTTAAATATACTCAGTACTAGAAATATATTCGATTCTAATATAAATCTACTCGATACAACGATATACTCGAACACAAAATGGATTTAAGAATATAGACCTACTCGACACAACGAACAATAAACCTATTGAATGTTGACTAGAAAACTGTTGATAAAACAAACATATTCATCTGGTGTCAATTAGTCAACACATCCATACCAAACTTTTCAAAAATCATCAACTGAAATCATGGCGACGATTATTTAATGCGAAATAAATTGTGGCGGGAAAATAAGGATTGTTAGTGTCCAGATCTTTATCTGACCACGTGTTGTCCACGTTATGTCTAGACATAGTTACGTCATGTCTAGACATAGACCCTTGAAACGTGTTGCGATGTGCTGTAAAGAAAACGGAAGTGAAACAAGCACGTGAAAGAAGCGGAAGTAACCGCTGAACACACTGGAGAGTTTGACGGGAATGTGGTGACCACTGACCCGTGTCTAGCTCATCTAGCGACACGCAGGTGGTCACTAGACTCACTCGCGATGACGTTTTCTCCAGACATTGCCCCAGGTAAAATCATTGCTGTGTGTGTCATGAACACCTGTTAGTGATATTTTAATTAGTTGTGGGGGAAGGGGGGGGGGTCGTATATTGTATTTTAGTGCTAGCGGGGGCCATATTTAACATTTCAGTAATGTAGTTAGGTGTGTGAATGCTTGCGTACTTCACTGGTTTTCAAAACTTTGATCGGTTATAAGTTCAGGTGGTAGATTAGTTGACATTGAATTAACATGTACATTTGTAAATGGATTAGAGCTAGTTACTAGAGGCCTCGGTGGATAAAATATAACCGGATTCTGAAATGGCTTATCTGGTTCTCATGACCAGACGGGATTAAATCCTGCAGATGGAAACCATCAAGATATACAGGTAACTGTTCTTGTATTTGGTCAGTATTCTAGCAGCTCCATTAGGTGTTGATCACAAAGGTTAAGGTCACGGCTTGATTACCTTGTCCACACACCAGTAGCCCAACCCGCGTGTTGTTGTGATAGTTAAGTGAGGGACGAGGCGTAATGTTAACAGTTGTTGGTGTGGTGAATTTGTTGTGTCAGCTGACGTAACGTGTTCGTTGACGTCACGTGTGAATCGACGCTTTTGTTAGATGTAACAGTCATCGCCCTTTGTCATTGTATCAGTTAACGTCATTTGTCATTACAATAACTGACGTCATTCGTCATTGTAGCAGATGACGTCATTTGTCATTGTATCCGCTGACGTCATTTGTCATTGTAGCAGTTGACGTCATTTGTCATTGTAGCAGTTGACGTCATTTGTCATTGAAGCAGTTGACGTCCTTTGCCATTATAGCTGCACTTTACAGAAAGTTTCGGTCATCTCACGGTAATCGATGATCTCTCCGATCAATGATTAGCTCTCAATCAGGTGCGCGTGAAATTGATGGCCGGGTCACGTGGTCAAACCCAGCAGGTGGAGATGGCTCGTTAAGAAAGCAGTGACGTAAATAGATTTTCAAACGGTTAGTACAGGAGTGGACACGAGCTGGGTTATTGATTGGGTTACAGGTATCTGGACAGTCGGACAGGCAGGGTCGGCGGGAGGTCTCAACCTGTCTAGGACACGCAGGTAAGATTTGTCTTGGTCTTACAGGTAAATCTAAGACACACAGGTAAACTTGGAGTATGATGGTAAACTTGTACACACATGTGATACGCTATATTACATTACAAAATCAAACTATCCTTAAAGCATGATCGATTATTTTGAAATTTATTCTCAGCAATGGATGGAATATTCGAGTCTCTGAATAGCGTCACGAGAATTATTGACGTCACAAACCTCGCGGACACCACACACGTCAATGACGTCACAAGTATCACTGACGTCACAACACTGGGTGACTTCCCACGAGAGAATGACGTCACGACATCCCTCACCAACGCCACAGCTGCAGCCGCTAGTCAGAAACTGATCTCCGACGAGAATTTCGTTTTACTGTGTGCCGTCATCAACATTTTAGTCACCGTCGTGTCGGTGCTCGGTTGCCTGGGCAACGCGCTGGCCATCAAAACGTTTCTCGCCATGGACCTGAAAGACGGCGTCATCGTGTCCTTCCTGGTGCTGGCGGGATCCGATCTCGCCTACCTGGTGACGATGGTCGCCGACTCGGTCTCGCTGGGTTTCTACCTGGCCGAGATGACGTCACAGTACCGCACCTGGTTCCCGGTGGAGCCGTACGGCGTGTACATCTACCTGATCAACCTGGGCATCCTGCTGCACCTGCTGACCGTGCTGACTACCACGTTCCTGGCCGTGGCCAGGTGCATCTGCGTGGCGCTGCCCTACAGCTTCAAGGACCTCTTCAGCAGACGGCGCTCCATCTGGGTCCACGTGACCTTCTGTCTGCTGACCGTGGGGAGTTACGTCCCCGTCCTGGCCTTCATGGATATGACCCCGGAAGTGGATGCTCGGGTCAACGCCACCAGGGTCGTGCTGTGGGTCTCCAGCAAGCGTGACGTCATCAAAGAAAACGTGTGGATCGTCCGTGACGTTTTCGTCACCTTCATGACCCAGCTTGTCGTCACGGTCTGCGTGTTCGTCATGGTCCGGTGCCTGCGGGCAGCCTCGGACCTTCGGCACAAGCTACGTCACTACTCGACCAACCTCAGCGGCTCAGTCAGACAGGGCAGCGGCACCCCCACGGGCTACCCCAGGCGAGGGCAGGGGACCCAGGAACCCACGGGCTACCCCAGGCTAGCCCGCAAGGAGTTGTCTGTCGTGATGCAGGTGGTGCTGATATCCGTGGTGTACATCGTCTGCAACCTGCCCAAGGTCACCATCGACATCACCGCCATCTTGGTGTCAGAGTTCACGCTTGGCCGCTCCTACCAGAACATGTACCTGGTGGCCATCAGCGTGATGGAGCTGTTCCAGGCCAGTGGCTCCAGCCTCAACATCCTCGTCTACCTCAGGTACAACTCGCTCTTTAGGAGACATTGTCACCTGGGCTGGTAGTAAGGTCAAGGTCGTCTCGTCTACCTCAGGTACAACTCGCTCTTTAGGAGACATTGTCACATGGGCTGGTAGTAAGGTCAAGGTCGTCTCATCTACCTCAGGTACAACTCGCTCTTTAGGAGACATTGTCACCTGGGCTGGTAGTAAGGTCAAGGTCAAGGTCGTCTCATCTACCTCAGGTACAACTCGCTCTTTAGGAGACGTTGTCACCTGGACTGGAACTATGGTAGAGGTCACAACTGACTAAAGTGAGATGAATTGATTTAGTCATCATAACGTTGTGAAATATATGCTCGCTGTGATGTTTCAAATATTGCCTTGATCCATGGGAAAAAAACATGATCATTGAAAAGTTTGTAACTGATTTTAAAGACCAGAATTGTAAACGGATTTTTGCCGCGGATTTTTTCCATTGCCTGTAAAACGATAATGAGACAGCTATGGAAGAATTTCTCTCAAGTTTTGTTGTCTTGTTTCTGTTACTTGTATGTATTGATCGACTGAACATGTAGAATTTGTTCGCGGTTGTCCACTGGACATTTGAGAAAACGATGGTGGTTGTCCACTGGACATTTGAGAACACGATGGTGGTTGTCCACTGGACATTTGAGAACACGATGGTGGTTGTCCACTGGACATTTGAGAACACGATGGTGGTTGTCCACTGGACATTTGAGAACACGATGGTGGTTGTCCACTGGACATTTGAGAACACGATGGTGGTTGTCCACTGGACATTTGAGAACACGATGGTGGTTGTCCACTGGACATTTGAGAACACGATGGTGGTTGTCCACTGGACATTTGAGAACACGATGGTGGTTGTCCACTGGACATTTGAGAACACGATGGTGGTTGTCCACTGGACATTTGAGAACACGATGGTGGTTGTCCACTGGACATTTGAGAACACGATGGTGGTTGTCCACTGGACATTTGAGAACACGATGGTGGTTGTCCACTGGACATTTGAGAACACGATGGTGGTTGTCCACTGGACATTTGAGAACACGATGGTGGTTGTCCACTGGACATTTGAGAACACGATGGTGGTTGTCCACTGGACATTTGAGAACACGATGGTGGTTGTCCACTGGCCATTTGAGAACACGATGGTGGTTGTCCACTGGACATTTGAGAACACGATGGTGGTTGTCCACTGGCCATTTGAGAACACGATGGTGGTTGTCCACTGGCCATTTGAGAACACGATGGTGGTTGTCCACTGGACATTTGAGAACACGATGGTGGTTGTCCACTGGACATTTGAGAACACGATGGTGGTTGTCCACTGGACATTTGAGAACACGATGGTGGTTGTCCACTGGACATTTGAGAACACGATGGTGGTTGTCCACTGGACATTTGAGAACACGATGGTGGTTGTCCACTGGACATTTGAGAACACGATGGTGGTTGTCCACTGGACATTTGAGAACACGATGGTGGTTGTCCACTGGACATTTGAGAACACGATGGTGGTTGTCCACTGGACATTTGAGAACACGATGGTGGTTGTCCACTGGACATTTGAGAACACGATGGTGGTTGTCCACTGGACATTTGAGAACACGATGGTGGTTGTCCACTGGACATTTGAGAACACGATGGTGGTTGTCCACTGGACATTTGAGAACACGATGGTGGTTGTCCACTGGCCATTTGAGAACACGATGGTGGTTGTCCACTGGCCATTTGAGAACACGATGGTGGTTGTCCACTGGCCATTTGAGAACACGATGGTGGTTGTCCACTGGCCATTTGAGAACACGATGGTGGTTGTCCACTGGACATTTGAGAACACGATGGTGGTTGTCCACTGGACATTTGAGAACACGATGGTGGTTGTCCACTGGACATTTGAGAACACGATGGTGGTTGTCCACTGGACATTTGAGAACACGATGGTGGTTGTCCACTGGACATTTGAGAACACGATGGTGGTTGTCCACTGGACATTTGAGAACACGATGGTGGTTGTCCACTGGACATTTGAGAACACGATGGTGGTTGTCCACTGGACATTTGAGAACACGATGGTGGTTGTCCACTGGACATTTGAGAACACGATGGTGGTTGTCCACTGGACATTTGAGAACACGATGGTGGTTGTCCTTTGGACATTGTCCTTGTGTGGGGATATTCTGTTCGTGTTGACATGACCGAGTCAGCGATCATGTCAGATCCAGGATGATGACCCAGTGTTTGTATCTGTCAGCTGTTTACATCTGTCAGATAAAGACCAACTATCTGTAAGATAAAGACCAACTGTCTGTCAGATAAAGACCAGCTATCTGTCAGTTCCCAATCTGCATTATGCAGCTAAATGCTAAAAACCAAAACATTTTAAACGTTCTGATGATGTAAAACAATGGACTGAGACGACGGGTCGCTGGATGGGTAGTCTAGCCAACCAAGCTTGAATCGAACAACAACTTTCATCTCTCTAGTCTATCAACAAACTGTGTTCAAGTAACACTGTAAAAACCAGACGGAAATTTCAAATGAAACAATGGACAGCAGAATAACAGGGTAGGTAATCGATGAGAAGTTTCAAATCTTTAAGCTATGAAGAGTACAAAGTGGGTTGCAAAGTGTGTCCCGTGTATCTCACTTCACTGAGGTTATCTCATTCTTCAACCAGATTTATCTCATGGACCAGTTGAGCCAGGAGCAAAAGGTACGTGATTGTTTGATATGAGATCAACTGATCAATAGACGGACTAATTTATTTGTCTACTTACTGGGTGAAACGTCTAAATGACGATTTAAAGTACGTTCAAATGTTTTTATAACAAATCCAAAAGATTTCTTAAAAGCTTTGTTATAATGACGATACAATGTTTAAAAAAAAATAATATAGTTCAAATAATCTTTTTAAAGCAACGACAAATAAAAATTTCAAAACTAATCAGCCGTAATTAGTGTAATATCGAAAAAAGTGAAAGAACGCTATTAGCACAAAATGTCTGTAACCTTTGTGTACTAACTAGTATCACCAAACTAATGAGGCCAAGATGGCCTCGATAAGACTCAAACATCAAACACCGCCTGTCTAAAGATTCTAACAGGGTTGGTCTCCAATAATAGTACATGTCTTTAAACGTGCGTCATTGTAAACTATTTCAAAATCTGCACTCTAAATTGGTCTGCACTTTAATAGCTTACTATTGGTATCGTGTGCAGCATACAAAAAAATGTCTGCTGTGGTTGATGTAGGTTGTCCCGTGCTGTATTGTCCACGTCACGGCCAGTAGTGCTCGTCTGCTTCAGCTCACGTGCGCTCAATTCTCTAGGTGTGAGCATCCCACGTCTGATGTCTGTTACTCAGGTGTCAGTAACAGTTTACTGGTGTCAGATGACAGTGTCAGATGACAGTGTCAGATGACAGTGTCAGATGACAGACTGGTGTCACATTCAGGTGTCAGTAACCGTTTACTGGTGGCACAACTACTGGTGTCAGATGGCAATGTCAGATGACAGTGTCAGATGACAGTGTCAGATGACAGACTGGTGTCACATTCAGGTGTCAGTAACAGTTTACTGGTGGCACAACTACTGGTGTCAGATGGCAATGTCAGATGACAGTGTCAGATGACAGTGTCAGATGACAGACTGGTGTCACATTCAGGTGTCAGTAACAGTTTACTGGTGGCACAACTACTCGTGTCAGATGACAATGTCAGATGGCAGTGTCAGATGAAAAACGAACTGGTGTCTGATGTGCGTTGATAAAATATTGACGATCTATTAAATCAGATATCATCGATGTTTTAAAATAAATATATTGTATTATTAGATAGTACCTGGCATCAACGAATTTTGTTGTATCAAATTTAGTTGCATTACAAGAGCTAGGCTCACTGGTCTACACTATATATATATATATATATATATATATATATATATATATATATATATATATATATATATATATATATATATGTGTGTGTGTGTGTGTGTGTGTGTGTGTGTGTGTGTGTGTCGTTCAGCTACAACCGGAAGATAAGTTTTATTTACTTTTCTCATCTTCCTGAATTTGATTTGAAACTCTTAAAAATTGGAGTCTAATTAGACTTTCAAAAAAAAGTAAATTACACAAAAAATTAATTTCCCCCGAATTTCGCCGAGGTAATTTGACATGATCGATGAAGATAGCTGGTGTTGCCTGTACACAGATGATTGGCATCGATCTGACTTATTGAACTTTGTTTACTTTTGCCTCGGGTCACGTGCAACAACAAAGGGAGAAGAACTCGTCCTACGCCGTCCAAACATTACGTCAGAGAAAATTCGAATCAATGAAAATGTTCTAATTTGCCGCCATGTAAATTTACATACAATTAGTGAAAAAAAAATCGATCATGTATCGATTGCTTAAACGTTTAAAAACAGCTTGAAACCCCGAGATAAAGTCGGTAGTTTAAAAGTTCACGTGGTGAAATTTCTACCAATTAGATCAGCAGTCGGTAGTTTCATATCTCAGCTAATTACATTTTATTTTGATAGTTTTTATTTGGGTAATTTAATACTTAAAGTTATTACAAAATTTGATAATTATTTGGAATGAAGTATAATTATTGTTTGTAAAAACTGGGATCCAATTTTGAACTGGGACAATGAAATGATAAATTTAAATAAAGAAAACAATTACAATAGTCAACTAATATAATGATACTTTTTTTGGAAATTAAATTTGTGTTACATTTTACAAAACATTTATGAGCAATTTTTTGTGATGGCAGGAAAGTTATAAACCTGTTACACTAGCCTGTACCAGATGTGTTTTGGTGATCAGTGGTCAGCATGTGGTCGACTCGTGTAGAAACTGGTTCGTGTGTGTGGCTGACTGATGTTTCATGTGAAGACAGGGGTGACAGGTTGATGTCCAGCGTCGTGACGTCATGGTGGGCTAACATGACGTTGCGTTTAACAGTTCAATTTCGTTGACGCTAACTCTACTTTTACCACGCACCACGAACGGTAACTCTAAGATTTAAAAGAAACGACAATTCTAAGTTAACTACGAAAAAGTGATTCATCATCATGAACGACAACTCTAGTTTCACAACGAACGATTACTCTAGCAACACAATGGATGATAACTCTAGCTTCACTAAGGACGGTAACTCCAGTGACTCCCCCCAAGCCGTGACACAACTGTTTATCTCCGACTCTATGTACGCCCTGCTGGTCGAGATCTTCATCTACCTGTGTCTCTGTCTGTCTGTCGTTGGCTGTCTGGGCAACACCCTGACCATCAAAACTTTCCTGACCATGGGAGCCAAAGATGGCGTCACCCTGTCCTTTCTATTCCTCGCCCTCTCCGACCTCGTCTACCTCCTCGTCATGGTCGCACACTCCGTCTCGCTGGCTTTCTTCGTCGTCGAGAGGAAGAGCAAGTTCAAGGTCTGGTTCCCGGTCGACCCCTTCGGTGTGTACGTCTACTTCTCCAACCTGGGGATCCTGGTGTACCTGGTGACTGTACTGACCACCACCTACCTGGCCGTCGTCAGGTGCATGTGTGTCGCCATGCCTCTCCACTTCAAAAACACCTTCACAAAAACCAGGTCAAGATGGACGTTGTTTACGTTCTGCGTCCTGGCCGTGGCGAGTTACCTGCCCATGCTGGTCAACATGGAGATGGTGCCCGTGTATGACGTCAGGACCAACTCGACCAGGTCCGTCTTGTGGGTCTCCGACAGTCGGGATGACGTCAAAGAGATGATCTGGATCACCCGTGACGTCACGGTGACCTTTGTCACTGAGGTCATCGTCATCGTCTGCCTGGTCGTCATGGCCAGGTCTTTGAGGGCCGCGTCCAGATTCCGTCAGCAGACAGCCGGACACGACAGCAAGACAGCCGGACACGACAGCAAGACAGCCGGACACGACAGCAAGACAGCCGGACACGACAGCAAGACAGCCGGACACGACAGCAAGACAGCAGGTCATGACAGCAAGACAGCCGGCCATGACAGCAAGACAGCAGGTCATGACAGCAAGACAGCCGGACACGGCACACATAAAGTCGGTCACGGTACACAAATAGCCGGACCAGATACCCCAACGGCCGGTCACAACACCATCACGGAAGAAATAGAAAAGTCTCCTACACATCCATCAAAGCACAATGAACCCTTCAGCGGTCACCACATCAAAAACCAACGTAACCTTGACCTTGCAAAAGAGGTGACCAACACTGCCGGCCACCCAAACCTGAGCCGGATCTCCCAGAAGGAGTTGACCATTGTCCGGCAGGTGGCGCTCATCTCACTGGTCTACATCCTGTGCAACACGCCCAAGGTCATGATCGCCCTGACGGCCATGTGTGTCCGAGACTTCACCCTGGGGAGAACCTTCCAGAATGTCTACCTCACGGTCCTGGGCATCATGGAGCTGTGCCAGGCCTTCAACTCTAGCATCAGCTTCGTCATCTACTTCACCTGCAACGCCAGGTTTAGGAGGCATGCTGGGATGTGTAGCAAGTAGCCAGGGTGTGTAGTCACATTCTGGTGTGGCGTATAGAGAAATGGAGCTACAGTTTTAGAGATTTGTGTGTCAGATGATATTGACGGTATGTTGAGACCAGCCATCGGCCCACCAAACAAAACACCCAACAGCTCTCAATAAACTAGGGACGTAGAGTGCTGATGTTGTACATATGGTGTGCTCAGAGCGGAGGATGCTGTAGTTTGTCTAGTTGTAAGTCGTTCTATAATTCCTGTATCCCTTACAACTGTAGTGCACCAGTACCTGACTTAAGTGCACTGAATTACCTCTGTTAACCTGACACTACCGGGTGTTGTACAAGGATATGATGGGGGCGTCTAGGACTAACCCATCGAACACTGGCCTCAAGATACCATCATAAATAACACGTCTGACACAAGTTTGGTCGTGCCGGGAAGTAAATGGGAAAGTTTTGTTTAACTTTCCGTAATATTTTTTTTTTATAACCAGACGGATTTATTTTGGTGTTTCTGCCTGCATACAACATACATACTGGCCATTTATATCAGAACTAAGATATCAGCCAATCAGTAGTAGGATATCTGACAAAAATTAGCAAAGATATCTGCCAATCAGTGTAAGAACTAAAATATCTGCCAATCAGAGCTAAGAAATCAGCCAACCACCTTAAGAGCTGAAATGTCAGAGCTTCAATTATCTGACGTGTTAAGCAAACGTCCAAGAGAATTCAACTCAAAGAAATCCTTTAACAAAAAAACTCCTCTCATTAAAATGCTGTTTGCCGTGATAGATCTAGGATCAAAGAAAAAACTTGTTAGCGAATAAAAACTGGAATCGTTATTTTGATTTGATTTGTCGGCAGAGCTACATCAAACACGGATGTTACGTCATCGTTGGATCTTATCCCGTCCCCCGGGGGGTCGGGGTCGGCAGCCTAGTGACGAACCACAGTGTCCGTTTGATCTGATGAAAAAATTCCCGAGTATGATGGGGAGCGGGGTGCTGAGGGGTGGACCTTCTCCGCTGTAAAAAAAAAAATACTTTCATGTAGATTCAGGGGTCTCCAAACTACGGCTCGCGGGCCGAATGCGGCCCGCAAGGTCTTCTCATCCGGCCCGCGGAGATCTTTTTGTCTACGGAAGAATTTCCGAATATTAAAACTTTTGTATCAAAGTACCTATCAAATTTTGAACAAAAAATTTCGAGAATGAAGTACATAGAGAACAATTTGAGAACAAACTTGGACCTCGAGTGTGTTGTCTGCCACCGACAGTGTTTCTTTCAGACTTTTTTCTCCGGGGAGGGGGACACTTGTATATATTTCAGTATAAATTATATTTCGTGTGTGGGGAAGGGGGGGGGCGGTAGACATTCTTCGGGGTGGGGGGCATCGCCAACCCGAAGAGATGCCTGGAAGAAACTCTGGCCCCCGAACTGATATTTGACAGTTAATGCGGCCCTCGGGCTGAAAAGTTTGGAGACCCCTGATGTAGATGTAACACACACGCGTTTATTTTAAATCCCTGTCTCTTCATTAGCGTTCATTGAACTTTTCTCTTAGCTGGATCTACAAGCTTTTTTTGTTCATTTCAAATTTTAAAATGGGATTAATCACAGAGCTAGTTAGCTGTATATTAAACAAACAACGCATACATCTAGACACGACAACAACTGTGACGTATAAACTTCCGGTTTGTCTGCACCTGCTAAATAGGTGTTTACGGTACGCAATGTTCACTTCTGTAATTTCCGTTACCCATGATATCATTTTCATTACCCATATTATGATTTCCGTTAGCCATGTTGTGATTTTCGTTAGCCATTTTATGATTTCCATTAGCCATTTTATAATTTTCGTTACCCATGTTATTATTTCCGTTACCCATCATGTTATAATTTCCGTTACCCTTGTTATGATTTCCGTTAGCCATTTTATAATTTCCGTTACCCATGTTATAAATTCCGTTAGCCATGCGCCGATTATTGCCATGCAGATTTTACAGTGACTTTAAAATTAAAACAAACAAGTCTATGTTCTTTGTCTTTTTTAAACTTCGTATTTCCTGATTTATATCTAAGCACGAAATTAACTTTAACCAAAATCTAACACTACATTTGATCTCAAGCCTAAACATATCCTAAAACTAACCCTAAACCCAGTCCTTAATCCTAAATCTTACCTTAATCCTAACCTTCTAAATTCAGCCAGAAAAAAAGGACTATTTCTGAGTTTAAAATATCGGTCGAGATAATTTCATGTTCTTAAAATAAGCAGATGAAGTAATTTCGACACAGTATGTTGAGGTATAACCTTGAGATTTAATTAGTCTTAATGACAGCGCACCTCCGTGTAAATTACTGCTCTAATTTGTTGATACCCCGGCAGCAGATGTGAATCAATTTTCTTATCTTTGTTTCCCGCGCCCGTCACCAGACTGATAGGGCATGACGACAGCCGCCATTGTTGGAGGTGTGGCCGGGTTTTCTTACGCTATTCGGCAGGCGTGTCTACTTCCTGGCCAGGTACTCTAGTTATGCAACAGCTAAACTGATTTATGGCTAACAATATTTAGTTTTACATTGTAGTTGAAGATGGTCTTGTAGAAAAGTATTTTCATTGTGTAATTAAAAAAAAAACTTTTTAAAGTTTTTTTTTCTCTTTGATACATTTGACAAAAGTAAGAAAATAAAAGTATTCTAATGATTGATAATTAGAATTTCCATTAAAGTGTTACATCTAATCACCGCCAGTTTCATTTTTTTTAATTACATGGATGCACGTTAAAAACCCAATCTACTAATTGGTAGAATGGGTCATATGAATGGATATCGTGGGTTAGATATGACGAAAATTCAATCAATAAGTAATTGGTCAGAGTGCTAACGATGCTAATTAATTCGTCCTTTTTAAAGTTCAAAAAACATCCCACACGTTGAAAAAGACGTGACTATATTGGTGAAGAATTTTTATCAAGTTAGACGCTCCATATTTTTTATATTTTAAAAGATAAGGTCTTGACCAAACGTATACAACACACACACACATACATACACACACACACACACACACTCACAAGCAGTAATTTACAGACATGTCTCAATGAGACCCACACAGATATCAGCCAATCATCGACTTGGGTGGGGGAATTACCGCAAACTTTATATTTTTATTGAGCCCTAAGGTCTGCTGATTTATAATCCCACTTGCCAGCAAGTGCATCTCGTCCAAACCGTCTACCCTCGACCTCCGGCTCGGCAATGGCTCGTTAACTCGGGTAGAAGATCGGGACAGGTTGTTTCAGTGCAGTCTTGTTGGTCAGTCGAATCTTCTCGCTGTAGGACAGTCAGGTCTTGCTGTACGACAGTCAGGTCTTGCTGTACGACAGTCAGGTCTTGCTGTACGACAGTCAGTTGACGCTGGACAGTGAGGATCTGTCAGCCCACGTGTTGCCGTTGGTCCACCTGTAGCAGACAGCAGACAGCAGACATGGCTGAGCGTGTCTGACAACTCGCGGACTTTTTGTTTACAAACACGTGAGTCACATCTTTGTTATTCATGGCTGGACATTTTCTATGGACATTTTCTTATGAACATTTTCTTATGGACATTTTCTTATGGACATTTTCTTATGGACATTTTCTTATGGACATTTTCTTATGGACATTTTCTTATGGACATTTCCTTATGGACATTTTCTATGGACATTTTCTTATAGACATTTTCTTATGTGGACATTTTCTTATGTGGACATTTTCTTATGGACATTTTCTTATGGACATTTTCTTACGGACATTCTCTTGGACATTTTTATTTACATTTGGTTTATGTTTTCGTTGGAATATCTTTTGTTGAGATTATTGAAGGATACTATCTTAAAAGATGGCTTGATAAAATAAATGAATTCACGCTGTAAAACATTTGATGAATTATTATCTCAAGACGCTATTTGTAGAAGATTAGAAATATTAAACTTTATCTTTTACTTTAAGTGTGTTACCCGGCCCTCCAGAGGCATGAATCAGACGACACCCACGTCACACACCGCTGTGCCGGGAGACGACTCGTCCACCCTGGTCCCAGGAGCGTCGTCTGTCGTCGTCCAGAAACTGATGTCAGACGAGACCTACGTCTGGACCAGCCTCGTCTTCAGTGTCGTCTGCACCGTCCTCTCCCTTCTGGGCATCGTCGGCAACGCCCGGGCCATCCGCGCCTTCCTGTCCATGGGCCTGCGGGACGGCGTGACCATCTCCTTCCTGTTCCTCACCTGCTCAGACCTCGCCTACCTGACCGCCCTCGCCGTGCACGCCGTCTCCCTGGGGTTCGCTATGGCCGAGCGCTGGACCAACTACCGGACCTGGTTCTCGGTTGAACCCTTCGGCGTCTACGTCTTCTTCTCCAACGTCGGCATCCTCATCTACCTGCTGACAGTGCTGACCACCACCTACCTGGCCCTGGCCAAATGCATGTGCGTGGCCATGCCCTTACACTTTAAGAACACGTTCACGAGGAAACGTACTCTGGTCATCTTGACCGTGTTCCTGGTGCTGACCGTGGGGAGTTACCTGCCCGTGCTGGTGTACATGAGGATGGTGGATAAGTTCGACCCGAGGACCAACTCCACTAGGTCTGTCTTGTGGATCTCCAGCAAGCGAGATGACGTCAGAGACTACGTCTGGCTCGTCCGTGACGTCACCGTCACCTTCGTCACGCAGATCATCGTCACGTTCTGCGTCATCATCATGGTCCGGTGCCTGCGAGTGGCTTCCAACTTCCGGCAGAAGTTTATAGGTCACCGCGTCTGCTTAGCGCGGAAGGTCATCGCGACCGATGTATCCTCGTACAACAAAAACTCCACCAACAGTGACGTCAACACGACCTACATTCAAACCGTGTCACAGCGCATCCGGTTGCCGCCCCTTGCAAGCCCGCCAAGCGTCAAACTGTCGTCTGCTGACGTCAGCGTGATCCAGCAGGTCGTGCTGATATCTTTTGTCTACATCGGCTGCAACACGCCCAAGTTGCTGGTCGACCTGACCGCCATGTTGGTGCCAGACTTCACCCTGGGCAGGCCCTACCAGAACGTCTACCTGACCGCCATCAGTATGATGGAGCTCTGCCAGGGCTTCAACTCAAGCATCAGCTTCGTCATCTACCACAGGTACAACACCAGCTTCAGACAGCACTGCGGCTGGGGCAGAAAGTAAATACCACAGGTACAACACCAGCTTCGTCATCTACCACAGGTACAACACCAGCTTCGTCATCTACCACAGCTACAACACCAGCTTCAGACAGCACTGCGGCTGGGGCAGAAAGTAAATACCACAGGTACAACACCAGCTTCGTCATCTACCACAGGTACAACACCAGCTTCAGACAGCACTGCGGCTGGGGCAGAAAGTAAATACCACAGCTACAACACCAGCTTCGTCATCTACCACAGGTACAACACCAGCTTCGTCATCTACCACAGGTACAACACCAGCTTTAGACAGCACTGCGGCTGGGGCAGAAAGTAAATACCACAGGTACAACACCAGCTTCAGACAGCACTGCGGCTGGGGCAGAAAGTAGACTATAATCTGGGGTAACGACCTTTAAACACTAACTTAATCCAAGTTAACCTTTTTAACTCTTACAAGAGTAGGTTAAGACCGTTAAAATCTAACTTAGTTTACAGACGTTAAAGTCGGACTTATCTAGGATCATCGGTTGTTAAACCCTGACGTTTCTAGGATTAACGGTACGAAAACCCAAACAAGGATTAGTGGAATGTCTCCATGTGTGAAAGTACCAAGTCCATGTTTCAACGCGTCATTAGATGACGTCTCACATTATAAGTGTCACGTGTTTTCAATCGTGGGACGTGTCAACGCGTCATCAGATGACGTCTCACATGAACTGTATAACTGTCACGTGTTTTGATGAACTGTAAAGTGCCATTGCTATTTATTTGCTCAAAGTATATTTAGATTGCTAATTGCTGTTATAATCAAAGAGTGCCATATAATTGTTTAATTGTAATTGAATTGATTAAAGCAGGTGATAATTATATGTTGTAATCAATTATTTTGAAAATCTAGACAAGGTCAACATTGTAGCAGTCCTGTCTTGGTGTTATGGTGTCATTTTTGGTTATGGTGTCGTGTTGGTTATGGTGTCATGTTGGTTATGGTGTCATGTTGGTTATGGTGTCGTGTTAATGTGTCATGTTATGGTGTCGTGTTGGTTATGGTGTGGTGTTGGTTATGGTGTCATGTTGGTTATGGTGTCATTTTGGTTATGGTTTCGTGTTGGTTAAGGTGTCATGTTGGTTATGGTGTCATGTTGGTTATGGTTTCGTGTTGGTTATGGTGTCGTGTTGGTTATGGTGTCGTGTTGGTTATGGTGTCGTGTTGGTTATGGTGTCGTGTTGGTTATGGTGTCGTGTTGGTTATGGTGTCGTGTTGGTTATGGTGTCGCGTTGGTTATTGTTGTCATGTTTTTCATAAAATAGTCTAGACGTGACATATTTACGCCAATGAGTGAAAGTGACAGATGAAGGCTATTGGATGAACGTGACAACGTGACGATATCTGATCCCAAGTATAATCTGGCGACTAATCTCAAGGTCTGAGCTTCAGATAACTATGAGCCTTTAATCCGGCCAGTTTTATATCGAAGGGGTTTACGCAATGATTACATCGAAAATCGATAAAAGATTAATCCGCATCAGATTTAATCCGTAGCAATTTGTCATTCGTCCCACCCCATCCCACCCACTATTGAAAGATTTAAAAACTTTATTTAGTAACCAACCAGACAAACAGAAGTGGTATTCAAACGATTATAACTAACTCAATTTAATTAGTGTTAATATATGTTTATATATATATATATATATATATATATATATATATATATATATATATATATATATATATATATATATATATGACCTTTTCCGACTAGTTTTAATAAGTACAGGCTTTATATACTGGTTTATATATATATATATATATATATATATATATATATATATATATATATATATATATATATATATATATATATATATATATATATATATATATATATATATATATATATATATGACCTTTTCCGGCCAGTTTTTATAAGTACAGGCCACACGATGGTTTAGAAAATACAGCCACCATAAATAGCAGCAGCATCCAACCAGTTGTTTGCCGGTCAAGACTTGAAAAGAAAATGCCGACAGTCTACTTTGGCCGAGAACTTAATGGATTGAAATTTGAAAATTGCTCACATTTTGCTGACGAAGCGCGACGTAATTCTCCGTCCGTTGAAAGGTGAAATAAAAAACTGTAATTATCTTATGGACGTCTTGTCTGCTTCCGTCAGACGCACAAAAGATGTCAGTCACGTGATGAATCGTGTGGTTTTGTACACATAGGTCGTCTGACTAGAGGTTTAAAAAATATATTTTGTGTGAACTGAATTTAGGGTTTTTAAAAATGTAATTTGTGTGACGTTATCTTACCAAATAGCGAAAAGCCTCTATCTCAACCTGATAGGTCCCGCTTGCACCCCTCTACACCCCCCACCCCCCTACACACACACTCCAACACCACACACACCAACACCACACGCATATGTTTGCCCAGGAACCACGCAAAAATTAAAAATACGTGTATATCGCACGTAACATCCCAGAAACTGAAAAACAAAAAAAACCAACGTTCACTAAAAAGATATACTTTTTTTTTCCTCTAACACCACTCCAGTATTTTGATTGTTGTCACTGAGTACAACCTTTGAACTTTGACACAATGAAGACGTCGCTGATTTGATTCAAACTATTACTATGCTACGTGCTATAATTTTATTTTTAGTAACTCTAAAATCTCTAAACCAAATTGTCTGTCGCCAAAGGTCGTCTAGACCGGAAATGGAAATTTCCTTCAGTCTGACGTAGTGATGCAGGCTGTAGACAGGGTCAAGTCCCGACATCGAACTCAGTTCTGATTGCTGCTCACTCGAAGCCACGTCGTACTATCAAAAACCGGAAAGGTTTTTAATTTAAAAAACCGTTCGCTTCTTATTTGATCTACGCTCCAGTTGGCCCAAGATGGCTTCAGCATCGACCTCCCGTACCACAGATAGCACGGCGCTGCTGTCGTCAACTAGGACATCGCGCCGCTCCACGCTTGACAGTGTGTCCTTGGTGGATGACGCTAAGGAGGCGGAGCCCTCGGCCGAAGTTTCGCTAGCCAAGGTGGCCTCAGAGAAACAGCTGCCGTGGATATACGTCCCGCCCCCGCGACATTTCATAGAGGTCTACTACGGTGGTAGGTTTCTTGGTCTAACGACATTTTGTTGAGGTCTAAGTCTTACGACATTTTGTAGAGGTCTAAGTCTCACGACATTTTGTTGAGGTCTAAGTCTCACGACATTTTGTTGAGGTCTAAGTCTAACGACATTTCAGTGAGGACTACTATGGTGGTAGGGTTCTTGGTCTAACGACATTTTGTTGAGGTCTAAGTCTAATGACATTTCACTGTATTAAACTGTATGCTTACATCCCCTACTGTATGCTTACATCCCCTACTGTATGCTTACATCGCCTACTGTATTAAATTGTATGCTTACATCCCCTACTGTATTAAATTGTATGTTTACATCCAATAGTGTATGCTTACATCCCCTACTGTATTAAACTATGCTTACATCCCCTACTGTGCTTACATCCCGTACTGTAATAAACTGTATGCTTACATTCCCTAGAAATGTGGCCTATGCTTATGAACATCAACTGCAAGAAATCAGTGTTTCTGGACTATATTAGAAGAAGGATCCCACCGATAGCTGGTAGGCCGGCATCTGTTCTGGTGTTTGGTGTGTCGTCTGCTGAATGGTAAACCCAACCCCTTGTTTGGTGTGTCGTATTTTGTATGGTAAACCCAACCCCTTGTTTGGTATGTCGTCTGCTGAATGGTAAACCCAACCCCTTGTTTGGTGTATCTTCTGCTGGATGGTAAACCCAAAATCTAGCCCTAGCCCTTAGCCTAGAGCACTGATCCTATCAACTTAAATTTCAACTCACAACACTAATCCTTATTCACCAACCCATTCACTCACCAACCCATTCACTCACCAACCCATACACTTACCAACCCATACACTCACCAACTCATTCACTCACCCACCCATACACTCACCAGCCCATACATTCACCAACCCACCCACTCACCAACCCACCAACCCACCCACTCACCCACCCATACACTCACCAACCCACCCACTCACCAACCCATTCACTCACCAACCCATTCACTCACCAACCCACCCACTCACCAACCCATTCACTCACCAACCCATTCACTCACCCACCCATACACTCACTCACCCACCCACCCACTCACCAACCCATACACTCACCAACCCACCCACTCACCAACCCATTCACTCACCAACCCATTCACTCAACAACCCATTCACTCACCAACCCACCCACTCACCAACCCATTCACTCACCAACCCATTCACTCACAAACCCATTCACTCACCAACCCATCCACTCACCAACCCACCCACTCACCAACCCATACACTCACCAACCCACCCACTCACCAACCCACCCACTCACCAACCCACCTTCTCACCAACCCATTCACTCACCAACCCATTCACTCACCAACCCATTCACTCACCAACCCACCCACTCACCAACTCATTCACTCACCAACCCATTCACTCACCCACCCATTCACTCACCAACCCATCCACTCACCAACCCACCCACTCACCAACCCACCCACTCACCATCCCATTCACTCACCAACCCACTCACTCACCAACCCATTCACTCACCAACCCATTCACTCACCCACCCATTCACTCACCAACCCACTCACTCACCAACCCATTCACTCACCAACCCATTCACTCACCAACCCACCCACTCACCAACCCATTCACTCACCAACCCATTCACTCACCAACCCATTCACTCACCAACCCACTCACTCACCAACCCATTCACTCACCAACCCATTCACTCACCAACCCATTCACTCACCCACCCATTCACTCACCAACCCACCCACTCACCAACCCACCCACTCACCAACCCATTCACTCACCAACCCATTCACTCACCAACCCATTCACTCACCAACCCATTCACTCACCAACCCACCCACTCACCAACCCATTCACTCACCAACCCATTCACTCACCAACCCATTCACTCACCAACCCATTCACTTACCAACCCATTCACTCACCCAGTCGAATCGATGGAGCTGTGTGATTTACAAGGCAATGTTGTGGGGATCGCCAACGTGGAGCCCAGTGATTACGTCATCAATTTGTTCCAGCCTGGCTTCATCTACATCACGTGTGAGATGCTCAGACAACGTACGTGTGTTTTAGGTGGGGGTCAGGGGTCAGGGGGTCAGACAACGTACGTATGTTTTATGTGGGGGTCAGGGGTCAGGCAACGTACGTGTGTTTTATGTGGGGGTCAGGGGGTCAGGGGTCAGACAACGTACGTATGTTTTAGGTGTGGGTCAGGGGGTCAGGGGTCAGACAACGTACGTACGTTTTATGTGGGGGTCAGGGGGTCAGGCAACGTACATGTTTTATGTGGGGGTCAGGCAACGTACGTATGTTTTATATGGGGGTCAGGGGGTCAGGCAACGTACATGTTTTATGTGGGGTCAGGTGGTCAGGCAACGTACGTATGTTTTATGTGGGGGTCAGGGGGTCAGGCAACGTACGTATGTATGTGGGGGTCAGGCAACGTACGTGTGTTTTATGTGGGGGTCAGACAACGTATGTATGTTTTATGTGGGGGTCAGGGGGTCAGGCAACGTACGTATGTTTTATGTGGGGGGTCAGGCAACGTACGTATGTTTTATGTGGGGGTCAGGGGGTCAGGCAACGTACGTATGTTTTAGGTGGGGGTCAGGGGGTCAGACAACGTACGTATGTTGTATGTGGGGGTCAGGGGGTCAGACAACGTACGTATGTTTTAGGTGGGGGTCAGGGGGTCAGACAACGTACGTATGTTTTAGGTGGGGGTCAGGGGGTCAGACAACGTACGTGTGTTTTATGTGGGGGTCAGGGGGTCAGACAACGTACGTGTGTTTTATGTGGGGGTCAGGGGGTCAGACAACGTACGTGTGTTTTATGTGGGGGTCAGACAACGTACGTATGTTTTAGGTGGGGGTCAGGCAACGTGCGTATGTTTTAGGTGGGGGTCAGGGGTCAGGGGGTCAGACAACGTACGTATGTTTTATGTGGGGGGTCAGGGGGTCAGGCAACGTGCGTATGTTTTAGGTGGGGGTCAGGGGGTCAGACAACGTACGTGTGTTTTATGTGGGGGTCAGGGGGTCAGACAACGTACGTGTGTTTTATGTGGGGGTCAGGGGGTCAGACAACGTACGTGTGTTTTATGTGGGGGTCAGACAACGTACGTATGTTTTAGGTGGGGGTCAGGCAACGTGCGTATGTTTTAGGTGGGGGTCAGGGGTCAGGGGGTCAGACAACGTACGTATGTTTTATGTGGGGGGTCAGGGGGTCAGGCAACGTGCGTATGTTTTAGGTGGGGGGTCAGGGGGTCAGGCAACGAGCGTATGTTTTAGGTGGGGGTCAGGGGTCAGGGGGTCAGACAACGTACGTATGTTTTATGTGGGGGGTCAGGGGTCAGACAACGTGCGTATGTTTTAGGTGGGGGTCAGGGGTCAGGGGGTCAGACAACGTACGTATGTTTTATGTGGGGGGTCAGGGGTCAGACAACGTACGCATGTTTTAGGTGGGGGGTCAGGGGGTCAGGTGCTCAGACGACGTACGTATGTTTTATGTGGGGGTCAGGGGGTCAGACAACGTACGTATGTTTTAGGTGGGGGGTCAGGGGGTCAGACAACGTACGTATGTTTTATGTGGGGGTCAGGGGGTCAGACAACGTACGTATGTTTAAGTGGGGGTCAGGGGGTCAGACAACGTACGTATGTTTTAGGTGGGGGTCAGGGGGTCAGTGGGTCAGGCAACGTACGTATGTTTTATGTGGGGGGTCAGGGGGTCAGGCAACGTACGTATGTTTTAGGTGGGGGGTCAGGGGGTCAGACAACGTACGTATGTTTTATGTGGGGGGTCAGGGGGTCAGGTGCTCAGACGACGTACGTATGTTTTATGTGGGGGGTCAGGGGGTCAGGTGCTCAGACAACGTACGTATGTTTTATGTGGGAGTCAGGGGGTCAGGCAACGTACGTATGTTTTAGGTGGGGGGTCAGGGGGTCAGACAACGTACGTATGTTTTAGGTGGGGGGTCAGGGGGTCAGACAACGTACATATGTTTTAGGTGGGGGTCAGGGGGTCAGGCAACGTACGTATGTTTTATGTGGGGGTCAGGGGGTCAGACAACGTACGTATGTTTTAGGTGGGGGGTCAGGGGGTCAGGTGCTCAGACAACGTACGTATGTTTTATGTGGGGGTCAGGGGTCAGGCAACGTACGTATGTTTTAGGTGGGGGTCAGGGGGTCAGACAACGTACGTATGTTTTAGGTGGGGGTCAGGGGGTCAGACAACGTACGTATGTTTTAGGTGGGGGTCAGGGGGTCAGACAACGTACGTATGTTTTAGGTGGGGGTCAGGGGGTCAGACAACGTACGTATGTTTTAGGTGGGGGTCAGGTGCTCAGACAACGTACGTATGTTTTATGTGAGGGTCAGGGGGTCAGACAACGTACGTATGTTTTATGTGGGGGTCAGGGGTCAGACAACGTACGTATGTTTTAGGTGGGGGGTCAGGGGTCAGACAACGTACGTGTTTTATGTGGGGGTCAGGGGGTCAGACATCGTACGTATGTTTTATGTGGGGGTCAGGGGGTCAGACAACGTACGTATGTTTTATGTGGGGGTCAGGGGGTCAGACAACGTACGTATGTTTTAGGTGGGGGGTCAGGGGTCAGACAACGTACGTATGTTTTATGTGGGGGGTCAGGGGGTCAGGCAACGTACGTATGTTTTATGTGGGGGTCAGACAACGTACGTATGTTTTATGTGGGGGGTCAGACAACGTACGTATGTTTTATGTGGGGGTCAGGGGGTCAGGCGACGTACGTATGTTTTATGTGGGGGGTCAGGCAACGTACGTATGTTTTATGTGGGGGTCAGGGGGTCAGACAACGTACGTGTGTTTTATGTGGGGGGTCAGACAACGTACGTATGTTTTATGTGGGGGGTCAGACAACGTACGTATGTATTATGTGGGGGTCAGGGGTCAGGTGCTCAGACAACGTACATGTTTTATGTGGGGGTCAGGGGGTCAGGCAACGTACGTATGTTTTATGTGGGGTTCAGGCAACGTACGTATGCTTTATGAGGGGGGTCAGGGGGTCAGGCAACGTACGTATGTTTTATGTGGGGGGTCAGACAACGTACGTATGTTTTATGTGGGGGGTCAGACAACGTACGTATGTTTTATGTGGGGTCAGGGGTCAGGGGGTCAGGCGACGTACGTATGTTTTATGTGGGGGGTCAGGCAACGTACGTATGTTTTATGTGGGGGTCAGGGGGTCAGACAACGTACGTGTGTTTTATGTGGGGGGTCAGACAACGTACGTATGTTTTATGTGGGGGTCAGGGGTCAGGCAACGTACGTATGTTTTAGGTGTGGGGTCAGACAACGTACGTGTGTTTTAGGTGGGGGGTCAGACAACGTACGTGTGTTTTAGGTGGGGGGGTCAGACAACGTACGTATGTTTTATGTGGGGGTCAGGGGTCAGGCAACGTACGTATGTTTTATGTGGGGGTCAGACAACGTACGTATGTTTTATGTGGGGGTCAGGGGTCAGGCAACGTACGTATGTTTTATGTGGGGGTCAGACAACGTACGTATGTTTTATGAGGGGGGTCAGGGGGTCAGTCAACGTACGTATGTTTTATGTGGTGGTCAGGCAACGTACGTATATTTTATGTGGGGGGTCAGACAACGTACGTATGTTTTATGTGGGGGTCAGGGGGGTCAGGCAACGTACGTATTTTTTATGTGGGGGGTCAGACAACGTACGTGTGTTTTAGGTGGGGGGTCAGGCAAGGTACGCATGTTTTATGTGGGGGTCAGGGGTCAGGCAACGTACGTATGTTTTATGTGGGGGTCAGAAAACGTACGTATGTTTTATGAGGGGGGTCAGGGGGTCAGGCAACGTACGTGTTTTATGTGGGGGTCAGACAACGTACGTGTGTTTTATGTGGGGGTCAGGGGGTCAGACAACGTACGTGTGTTTTATGTGGGGGTCAGACAACGTACGTATGTTTTAGGTGGGGGTCAGGCAACGTGCGTATGTTTTAGGTGGGGGTCAGGGGTCAGGGGGTCAGACAACGTACGTATGTTTTATGTGGGGGGTCAGGGGGTCAGGCAACGTGCGTATGTTTTAGGTGGGGGGTCAGGGGGTCAGGCAACGAGCGTATGTTTTAGGTGGGGGTCAGGGGTCAGGGGGTCAGACAACGTACGTATGTTTTATGTGGGGGGTCAGGGGTCAGACAACGTGCGTATGTTTTAGGTGGGGGTCAGGGGTCAGGGGGTCAGACAACGTACGTATGTTTTATGTGGGGGGTCAGGGGTCAGACAACGTACGCATGTTTTAGGTGGGGGGTCAGGGGGTCAGGTGCTCAGACGACGTACGTATGTTTTATGTGGGGGTCAGGGGGTCAGACAACGTACGTATGTTTTAGGTGGGGGGTCAGGGGGTCAGACAACGTACGTATGTTTTATGTGGGGGTCAGGGGGTCAGACAACGTACGTATGTTTAAGTGGGGGTCAGGGGGTCAGACAACGTACGTATGTTTTAGGTGGGGGTCAGGGGGTCAGTGGGTCAGGCAACGTACGTATGTTTTATGTGGGGGGTCAGGGGGTCAGGCAACGTACGTATGTTTTAGGTGGGGGGTCAGGGGGTCAGACAACGTACGTATGTTTTATGTGGGGGGTCAGGGGGTCAGGTGCTCAGACGACGTACGTATGTTTTATGTGGGGGGTCAGGGGGTCAGGTGCTCAGACAACGTACGTATGTTTTATGTGGGAGTCAGGGGGTCAGGCAACGTACGTATGTTTTAGGTGGGGGGTCAGGGGGTCAGACAACGTACGTATGTTTTAGGTGGGGGGTCAGGGGGTCAGACAACGTACATATGTTTTAGGTGGGGGTCAGGGGGTCAGGCAACGTACGTATGTTTTATGTGGGGGTCAGGGGGTCAGACAACGTACGTATGTTTTAGGTGGGGGGTCAGGGGGTCAGGTGCTCAGACAACGTACGTATGTTTTATGTGGGGGTCAGGGGTCAGGCAACGTACGTATGTTTTAGGTGGGGGTCAGGGGGTCAGACAACGTACGTATGTTTTAGGTGGGGGTCAGGGGGTCAGACAACGTACGTATGTTTTAGGTGGGGGTCAGGGGGTCAGACAACGTACGTATGTTTTAGGTGGGGGTCAGGGGGTCAGACAACGTACGTATGTTTTAGGTGGGGGTCAGGTGCTCAGACAACGTACGTATGTTTTATGTGAGGGTCAGGGGGTCAGACAACGTACGTATGTTTTATGTGGGGGTCAGGGGTCAGACAACGTACGTATGTTTTAGGTGGGGGGTCAGGGGTCAGACAACGTACGTGTTTTATGTGGGGGTCAGGGGGTCAGACATCGTACGTATGTTTTATGTGGGGGTCAGGGGGTCAGACAACGTACGTATGTTTTATGTGGGGGTCAGGGGGTCAGACAACGTACGTATGTTTTAGGTGGGGGGTCAGGGGTCAGACAACGTACGTATGTTTTATGTGGGGGGTCAGGGGGTCAGGCAACGTACGTATGTTTTATGTGGGGGTCAGACAACGTACGTATGTTTTATGTGGGGGTCAGGGGTCAGGCAACGTACGTATGTTTTATGTGGGGGTCAGACAACGTACGTATGTTTTATGAGGGGGGTCAGGGGGTCAGTCAACGTACGTATGTTTTATGTGGTGGTCAGGCAACGTACGTATATTTTATGTGGGGGGTCAGACAACGTACGTATGTTTTATGTGGGGGTCAGGGGGGTCAGGCAACGTACGTATTTTTTATGTGGGGGGTCAGACAACGTACGTGTGTTTTAGGTGGGGGGTCAGGCAAGGTACGCATGTTTTATGTGGGGGTCAGGGGTCAGGCAACGTACGTATGTTTTATGTGGGGGTCAGAAAACGTACGTATGTTTTATGAGGGGGGTCAGGGGGTCAGGCAACGTACGTGTTTTATGTGGGGGTCAGACAACGTACGTGTGTTTTATGTGGGGGTCAGGGGGTCAGACAACGTACGTGTGTTTTATGTGGGGGTCAGACAACGTACGTATGTTTTAGGTGGGGGTCAGGCAACGTGCGTATGTTTTAGGTGGGGGTCAGGGGTCAGGGGGTCAGACAACGTACGTATGTTTTATGTGGGGGGTCAGGGGGTCAGGCAACGTGCGTATGTTTTAGGTGGGGGGTCAGGGGGTCAGGCAACGAGCGTATGTTTTAGGTGGGGGTCAGGGGTCAGGGGGTCAGACAACGTACGTATGTTTTATGTGGGGGGTCAGGGGTCAGACAACGTGCGTATGTTTTAGGTGGGGGTCAGGGGTCAGGGGGTCAGACAACGTACGTATGTTTTATGTGGGGGGTCAGGGGTCAGACAACGTACGCATGTTTTAGGTGGGGGGTCAGGGGGTCAGGTGCTCAGACGACGTACGTATGTTTTATGTGGGGGTCAGGGGGTCAGACAACGTACGTATGTTTTAGGTGGGGGGTCAGGGGGTCAGACAACGTACGTATGTTTTATGTGGGGGTCAGGGGGTCAGACAACGTACGTATGTTTAAGTGGGGGTCAGGGGGTCAGACAACGTACGTATGTTTTAGGTGGGGGTCAGGGGGTCAGTGGGTCAGGCAACGTACGTATGTTTTATGTGGGGGGTCAGGGGGTCAGGCAACGTACGTATGTTTTAGGTGGGGGGTCAGGGGGTCAGACAACGTACGTATGTTTTATGTGGGGGGTCAGGGGGTCAGGTGCTCAGACGACGTACGTATGTTTTATGTGGGGGGTCAGGGGGTCAGGTGCTCAGACAACGTACGTATGTTTTATGTGGGAGTCAGGGGGTCAGGCAACGTACGTATGTTTTAGGTGGGGGGTCAGGGGGTCAGACAACGTACGTATGTTTTAGGTGGGGGGTCAGGGGGTCAGACAACGTACATATGTTTTAGGTGGGGGTCAGGGGGTCAGGCAACGTACGTATGTTTTATGTGGGGGTCAGGGGGTCAGACAACGTACGTATGTTTTAGGTGGGGGGTCAGGGGGTCAGGTGCTCAGACAACGTACGTATGTTTTATGTGGGGGTCAGGGGTCAGGCAACGTACGTATGTTTTAGGTGGGGGTCAGGGGGTCAGACAACGTACGTATGTTTTAGGTGGGGGTCAGGGGGTCAGACAACGTACGTATGTTTTAGGTGGGGGTCAGGGGGTCAGACAACGTACGTATGTTTTAGGTGGGGGTCAGGGGGTCAGACAACGTACGTATGTTTTAGGTGGGGGTCAGGTGCTCAGACAACGTACGTATGTTTTATGTGAGGGTCAGGGGGTCAGACAACGTACGTATGTTTTATGTGGGGGTCAGGGGTCAGACAACGTACGTATGTTTTAGGTGGGGGGTCAGGGGTCAGACAACGTACGTGTTTTATGTGGGGGTCAGGGGGTCAGACATCGTACGTATGTTTTATGTGGGGGTCAGGGGGTCAGACAACGTACGTATGTTTTATGTGGGGGTCAGGGGGTCAGACAACGTACGTATGTTTTAGGTGGGGGGTCAGGGGTCAGACAACGTACGTATGTTTTATGTGGGGGGTCAGGGGGTCAGGCAACGTACGTATGTTTTATGTGGGGGTCAGACAACGTACGTATGTTTTATGTGGGGGGTCAGACAACGTACGTATGTTTTATGTGGGGGTCAGGGGGTCAGGCGACGTACGTATGTTTTATGTGGGGGGTCAGGCAACGTACGTATGTTTTATGTGGGGGTCAGGGGGTCAGACAACGTACGTGTGTTTTATGTGGGGGGTCAGACAACGTACGTATGTTTTATGTGGGGGGTCAGACAACGTACGTATGTATTATGTGGGGGTCAGGGGTCAGGTGCTCAGACAACGTACATGTTTTATGTGGGGGTCAGGGGGTCAGGCAACGTACGTATGTTTTATGTGGGGTTCAGGCAACGTACGTATGCTTTATGAGGGGGGTCAGGGGGTCAGGCAACGTACGTATGTTTTATGTGGGGGGTCAGACAACGTACGTATGTTTTATGTGGGGGGTCAGACAACGTACGTATGTTTTATGTGGGGTCAGGGGTCAGGGGGTCAGGCGACGTACGTATGTTTTATGTGGGGGGTCAGGCAACGTACGTATGTTTTATGTGGGGGTCAGGGGGTCAGACAACGTACGTGTGTTTTATGTGGGGGGTCAGACAACGTACGTATGTTTTATGTGGGGGTCAGGGGTCAGGCAACGTACGTATGTTTTAGGTGTGGGGTCAGACAACGTACGTGTGTTTTAGGTGGGGGGTCAGACAACGTACGTGTGTTTTAGGTGGGGGGGTCAGACAACGTACGTATGTTTTATGTGGGGGTCAGGGGTCAGGCAACGTACGTATGTTTTATGTGGGGGTCAGACAACGTACGTATGTTTTATGTGGGGGTCAGGGGTCAGGCAACGTACGTATGTTTTATGTGGGGGTCAGACAACGTACGTATGTTTTATGAGGGGGGTCAGGGGGTCAGTCAACGTACGTATGTTTTATGTGGTGGTCAGGCAACGTACGTATATTTTATGTGGGGGGTCAGACAACGTACGTATGTTTTATGTGGGGGTCAGGGGGGTCAGGCAACGTACGTATTTTTTATGTGGGGGGTCAGACAACGTACGTGTGTTTTAGGTGGGGGGTCAGGCAAGGTACGCATGTTTTATGTGGGGGTCAGGGGTCAGGCAACGTACGTATGTTTTATGTGGGGGTCAGAAAACGTACGTATGTTTTATGAGGGGGGTCAGGGGGTCAGGCAACGTACGTGTTTTATGTGGGGGTCAGACAACGTACGTGTGTTTTAGGTGGGGGGTCAGGCAAGGTACGCATGTTTTATGTGGGGGTCAGGGGTCAGGCAACGTACGTATGTTTTATGTGGGGGTCAGACAACGTACGTATGTTTTATGTGGGGCTCAGGTAGCATACGTATGTTTTGTGGGGGTCAGGTGTGGGGTGTTGTGATCGTGTATGACTATAGGTGTGGGGTATTGTGATAGTGTGTGACTATAGGTGTGGGGTATTGTGATGGTGTATGACTATAGGTGTGGGGTGTTGTGATGGTGTGTGACTATAGGTGTGGGGTGTTGTGATGGGGTGTGAAGATTAAACATAGAAATTTGGGACTACTGGTTGTAGTTTGAAGGTGGGGGTGGGGTCGGCACCAAAGTCTATATGTGATTGAATAAGAGGCGTATTTAATATATGAAATCAAATTAAAATATTTTCGACCCCCCCACCCCCCACCCCACATATGATCAAACTTTTCTCACGTGTGACGCTTTAAATTTCATTGCGTTGTCTTTTTGTTTTCTTTCATGAAATTTGTGTCTAATTGCGTATAAAAGCAACAACACAACATAGCTAATTTAGTGAAGCTATTCTAAGAAATAATGAGCTGGTTGATTAAATGAAGCAATTTCTGCTACAGTGGCTACATCATTAGTGTAGCTTTGTGAATTCAGTTCATTTTGTTTAGTTAAACAAAAAGATTTTAATGGCAACAAGCGCTTTAATCAGCTGGTTAATGGCTTGATGTTGTCGTGAGGGTTTGACCCAGTCGAGCGTTGGCCTCTAACCTCTGACCTTTAATCAGCTGGTTAATGGCTTGATGTTGTCGTGAGGGTTTGACCCAGTCGAGCGTTGGCCTGTAACCTCTGACCTTTGACCTCCTCAGATGGCTACGTGGCGGACATCAAGCCCTGCTTTGGTGAATGGGAGGAGAGGTTTCCTTACATTAAAGGTCAGTGTGACGGCATGCGTCTGTGGTCAGCAACAGCTCGTGTGACGTCATGTGTGGTCAGCAGCCTCTTGTGTGACGTCATAAGTGTGGTCAGCAGCTTCTTGTGTGACGTCATGTGTGGTCAGCAGCCGCTTGTGTGACGTCATGTGTGGTCAGCAACAGCTTGTGTGACGTCATGTGTGTGGTCAGCAGCCTATTCTATGATTATTTGTGTGGTTAGACATTGATGACCTTGGTGAAGGTTAACCTTGACCAGATAACCTTAGAGGGATTATCATTTAAATGACCTTCAACGTATAATCTTAACTAAGGTTAATCTTTAATTAATGACATTGCTGCCAATTAACTGATGCCTTTGATGTCGGTTAACGTTAACCTGGCGACCTTGGTTGCATTAGTTACCAATGACCTTGTTCACTTGATGACCTTTGTTGACCTACCCGTCTTCTATCTCCCACAGAAGGTCTGGCCGCCTGGATAGAAAAGACCAAAAAAGGTACACCTTTCGTCCACTTCTCCTCCCTCCCCACTAGCACTCTATAAACTGGTCCCGTGTACGCTGATGACATCACATCCTGCTAGTCTGTAATCGTCGGGTCAAATTACATTCGGACGTCACTTCCTGTTTTAGTTTGTGAAGAATTAAGCCAAGTCTAAAGAGGCTTGATAAGTTGACATCTAAATCTAGACTTTTTTAGTTAGAGATTTTTCGGAGAGTAGGCCTACATGAATCTTGTGAGAAATAAGTTGCCAGCGGTCTTCAAGCTAGTTTGGGGGTATAATTGGGTTTAATGACAGTAACGGTACCACGGGAGTTTGATGCGCACACACAGAATGGGTTAGTTCCTGAAGGACATTTGTCTTTTATTTAGCGCCAGTTGACGCCAGTTGAACGTCGTGCAGCCTACACGAGGCAGGGTACGGCGGGGGTTTGGTCACATGTCACGGTGGACTGAGCGTTAATAGTCACATGACTTTTACACCATAGGACCTAGTTTTTACTCCCCCACCCTACTGGCGTAGACCCCCTTCCCCGCCATACTGGTATGTAGTCAACCACTACACCCCCATTGCTACCATTAATTAGAACCCCCTCGTGACGACCTTGACATTGTTTATACCTGACAAACACCGACTAACGTTAAACCCGCGCCTATTCTCAAAACCCGCACCTAAAACCCGCGCCTATTCCACAAACCCGCACCTAAAACCCGCGACTATTTCCCAAACCCGCACCTAAAACCCGCGACTATTTCCCAAACCCGCACCTAAAACCCGCGCCTATTCCCCATACCCGCACCTAAAACCCGCGCCTATTCCACAAACACGCACCTAAATCCCGCGCCTATTCCCCAAACCCGCACCTAAAACCCGCGCCTATTCCACAAACCCGCACCTAAAACCCGCGACTATTTCCCAAACCCGCACCTAAAACCCGCGACTATTTCCCAAACCCGCACCTAAAACCCGCGCCTATTCCCCAAACCCGCACCTAAAACCCGCGCCTATTCCCCAAACCCGCACCTAAAACCCGCGTCTATTCCTCAAACCCGCACCTCAAACCCGCGCCTATTCTCCAAACCCGCACCTAAAACCCGCGACTATTTCCCAAACCCGCACCTAAAACCCGCGACTATTTCCCAAACCCGCACCTAAAACCCGCGCCTATTCCCCAAACCCGCACCTAAAACCCGCGCCTATTCCCCAAACCCGCACCTAAAACCCGCGCCTATTCCACAAACCCGCACCTAAAACCCGCGACTATTTCCCAAACCCGCACCTAAAACCCGCGACTATTTCCCAAACCCGCACCTAAAACCCGCGCCTATTCCCCATACCCGCACCTAAAACCCGCGCCTATTCCACAAACACGCACCTAAATCCCGCGCCTATTCCCCAAACCCGCACCTAAAACCCGCGCCTATTCCACAAACCCGCACCTAAAACCCGCGACTATTTCCCAAACCCGCACCTAAAACCCGCGACTATTTCCCAAACCCGCACCTAAAACCCGCGCCTATTCCCCAAACCCGCACCTAAAACCCGCGCCTATTCCCCAAACCCGCACCTAAAACCCGCGTCTATTCCTCAAACCCGCACCTCAAACCCGCGCCTATTCTCCAAACCCGCACCTAAAACCCGCGACTATTTCCCAAACCCGCACCTAAAACCCGCGACTATTTCCCAAACCCGCACCTAAAACCCGCGCCTATTCCCCAAACCCGCACCTAAAACCCGCGCCTATTCCCCAAACCCGCACCTAAAACCCGCGTCTATTCCTCAAACCCGCACCTAAAACCCGCGCCTATTCCCCATACCCGTACCTAAAACCCGCGCCTATTCCCCAAACCCGCACCTAAAACCCGCACCTAAAACCCGCACCTAAAACCCGCACCTAAAACCCGCACCTAAAACCCGCGCCACTTCTCAGTCCATCAGCCAGCTATATTGACCGCCTCCTTATCTCTAGTCTGTCTAAATTATGAACACGCTCGCGTGTATTGCTCAACTTCCGGTTCGTCATGTCCGTGACCTAAAGTTAGCTCCCCCCCCCCTCGGGATTGTCCTGACGGCACCGTCACGACGTGTATCCGGCGACCTGTTTGGGTCACGCGGCCATTGATAGGTCTAGCTTGAGATAGAAGCCATTGATAGGTGTAGCTGGAGATAGAGGTCATTGATAGGTATAGCTGGAGATAGAGGTCATTGATAGGTCTAGCTGGAGATAGAGGTCATTGATAGGTCTAGCTGGAGATAGAGGTCATTGATAGGTCTAGCTGTAGATAGAGGTCATTGAAAGGTCTAGCTGAAGATAGAGGTCATTGATAGGTCTAGCTGGAGATAGAGGTCATTGATAGGTCTAGATAGAGGTCATTGATAGATCTAGATAGAGGTCGCTATTTTTTCCTGATGTACCCAGTATCAAGCCATTGATTACCAATTTTTATAGTATACAGTCCATTGTGTACACAGGATCCATTTTACATCTTTTTATGCACCAGTTTTGGGCCATTGTTTATTTCACCATTGACCTTGGCTTGATGTCTAGAGCGCGCTCTCCACCTGGGTGATGTGTTGTAAAGCGTGGTGCTATTTTTACCCTTTCGCGTGTCATCATAAATATGATTGAAATAAACAATCACAAGCTTGATTTGTGTTTGAAGTTTGTGTGTTCTTTCACGACAAGTGTTCATTTCTAAGTTTTTCACTCACCCTTCTGGATTTATCACCCATTTGAGGTGTGTGTGTGGGGGGAGGGGTGGAGAGAGAGAAGGGGGTGGGGTTGAAGCCACGAAGCTAAGTTACTATCAGTTCAACCAGCAGTCGATCCGCTGATAGAGAAAAGACAAGATTCCACCAGAACTTGAATAGGCTGGAAAAGCTGGTTCCTAAAGGTTTCAAATTTGTGTTGCCAGATAGCACATTTTTTAACCAAAATTGAATATGTTATTACATTTGTGAAAAGTTAAAATTACTTCCGGTTTATTAAGGCTAGAAACAGTTAAAGAAATAACTACTAGTAATAAAATAGTTATTTAGAAAACATTTTTATTTTTAATTTAGATTACTAGAGTCAGGGTGTTGTGGTGATTAGGGATGTTATGTTTTTTAATATAAATACAATACTACGCTATACTCCATAGATCACTGCTGTGTATTTTATCATAGAGAACAATTGTTCCGACTTTTCTATTCTCCCTGACTATACCGGGTGACTTCAAGGAGGGGTTAATCCGTTTTTGAAAATGGTTGAATTGAAAAAAAAAATAATAAACTGTTTTACAACGGCTTATATTCGATATAAAAATATAAAAATACGTGTAAACGATGGTTCACAAACGGCTTTAAATTTTCAAATGTAACTATAATTTTATCGCATGCAATATTTTTTTAAATATTTTTTTTCAATAATTTATTCTGATTACATAGACTTTGTAATCATATTGACCAACACCAGACAACATATTGACCAGCATATTAACCAAATGTAGACAAAACATTGACCAAATGTAGACAACACATTGACCAAATGTAGACAACACATTGACCAAATGTAGACAGCACATTGACCCTTACAGACAACACATTGACCAAATGTAGACAGCACATTGACCCTTACAGACAACACATTGACCAAATGTAGACAGCACATTGACCCTTACAGACAACACATTGACCAAATGTAGACAACACATTGACCAAATGTAGACAGCACATTGACCAAATGTAGACATCACATTGACCAAATGTAGACAACACATTGACCAAATGTAGACAACACATTGACCAAATGTAGACAACATATTGACCAAATGTAGACAGCACATTGACCAAATGTAGACAACACATTGACCAAATGTAGACAACACATTGACCAAATGTAGACAACACATTGACCAAATGTAGACAACACATTGACCAAATGTAGACAGCACATTGACCCTTACAGACAACACATTGACCAAATGTAGACAGCACATTGACCAAATGTAGACAGCACATTGACCAAATGTAGACAGCACATTGACCAAATGTAGACAGCACATTGACCAAATGTAGACAACACATTGACCAAATGTAGACAACACATTGACCAAATGTAGACAACACATTGACCAAATGTAGACAACACATTGACCAAATGTAGACAACACATTGACCAAATGCAGACAGCACATTGACCAAATGTAGACAGCACATTGACCCTTACAGACAACACATTGACCAAATGTAGACAGCACATTGACCAAATGTAGACAACACATTGACCAAATGTAGACAACACATTGACCAAATGTAGACAACACATTGACCAAATGTAGACAACACATTGACCAAATGTAGACAACACATTGACCAAATGTAGACAACACATTGACCAAATGTAGACAACACATTGACCAAATGTAGACAACACATTGACCAAATGTAGACAACACATTGACCAAATGTAGACAACACATTGACCCTTACAGACAACACATTGACCAAATGTAGACAGCACATTGACCAAAAGTAGACAACACATTGACCAAATGTAGACAACACATTGACCAAATGTAGACAACACATTGACCAAATGTAGACAACACATTGACCAAATGTAGACAGCACATTGACCAAATGTAGACAGCACATTGACCAAATGTAGACAACACATTGACCAAATGTAGACAACACATTGACCAAATGTAGACAACACATTGACCAAATGTAGACAACACATTGACCAAATGTAGACAACACATTGACCAAATGTAGACAACACATTAACCAAATGTAGACAACACATTGACCAAATGTAGACAGCACATTGACCCTTACAGACAACACATTGACCAAATGTAGACAGCACATTGACCAAATGTAGACAGCACATTGACCAAATGTAGACAACACATTGACCCTTACAGACAACACATTGACCAAATGTAGACAGCACATTGACCAAATGTAGACAACACATTGACCAAATGTAGACAACACATTGACCAA